CTCTTTGCATCAAATTGTGATTTTCTAATCCCTGGATTCCAACGTCGTAAACCTTTGAAATTTCAAACTATGACTTTTGTTAGATCAAAAAATATAAGTTTGAAATATCAAAGGTATTGAAATTACGTTTACAGTCCCTTTAATATCACTATTTCCTGCAGATTTGCATATATGCATTAATTGGTGGTGTTTTATGTAGTTATTACCTTCCTATATACCCTTCCATTTCATAATATACCCTTTCCTTCCATTATATACCCTTCCATTTCATAATATACCCTTTCCTTTCATAATATACCCTTCCTCATGGATACTTTATTAAGAGGTATTTTATTAAGTGTAGATTTTATCTTAATCATGTGTTGAGCTTTCAAGGCCAAACATGCATATACTATATCTTAGTTTAAAATATTCGGGAATTTTTTCGTTTTATTTTTGTTATGTTCATTTTTAGTTTTTTATTTTCTATTTTTTGTTTGTTTGTTTTTGATATTGTGTTATTTATTCATATTTTTTCATACTTCTGTTGGCAACATTGTACAGCCTCGCTTTAGAGTTCTGTAGTTTTTGATTATATACCTTAATTTTTTAAAAATTGTTATAATAAAAAATCCAAATTATTGTATCGGTACGCTCGTATACGAATTATTATATTTTGTTGATTTTCATCAATAATTTTCGATGATTTTTTATATACATATTACACGCATATGATAATTTGTGTGTATAAAACATTATTTAGATTTATGATTCTAAATAGAATTGGATTTGATGGTTTAAAGATTTTTTTTAAAACATTTGGAAATAAAGATATTTTCAAATCGTAAGCTCGATTCTTTTTTAAATCTCATTTTCTCGTCCGAGCCAACTCTAAATCCTCGTCCTTCCTATATTATTTTTAGTGTCTAGTTCTCCAAGATAAAACTATTTTTTAAGAATCGGGCCACGTTAGGGCATTAATGAAATATTGAGTTTTAATAAATCGAAAAAAAATAGTTTTAATAGAATTGAAGTTTTCGAGTTATATATCCTAAAAAATGTTCACCATTTTTACGATTTTCAGATATTCCTGGTGTAGACTGCCGCAAATAATTCCGAGGATAAAGAACTTTATTGTTAATTAGAGTGAAAACCATAGATTTTTTCCGGGTGGTTCCATGGGGAAAATGATAGACAGAGATATGCAAAATATTTTGCTATTTATTTTATATCGCGAAGGTTGGCCATTACGGTGGCAGAAGAGTTTTAAGTTTTACCTAAATAAAGTTTGACATCATTTTCATGTTTCTAAAGTTTCAAACATGATTTAATCATTGCAATACTTTAACCTATTCATTTTTATGCCTTAAAGTGACTAGATTTGTTAAAATTAGTTTTATCTACAAGAATTAGAAACTTTTAAGCACATAATAATCAAAGGACGAGGATTTCGAGGTGGTTCTGACGAAAAAATGAAGAGAATGTGGCTCGGAGGAGAAGTTGTTGTGGCTTAAAGCCTTCCTCCCCTCGTCGAATGTTTTTTAGAACCAAGACGAAAAAATGTCCCCCTCAAAAATTGTGGGGACGTCCCCCTCCCTGGAAAATTATTTTTTTTATTTTGTCTGCATCGCCACTTTTTCTCGAAAAATTAATAATTTGCATAAAAATAGAAATCATTCAAACACATTTTCCACCTTCCCCCCCCCNATGGTTTTGACATAAAAATTACCAAATTATCTATAAAACATTCCAGAGGGACATTTTTATATATAGAACTCTAAGTAATTGCTTTTTGTTTTTAGTTCTTAAGAATTAATTGGCAAAATTCTTATCTCTTTTTGTGTGTGAGCTTGTAAGTGTTGAACCATTGAGATTTAAAACAAATTGTTGAGTCTAAAAGTCATCTTCTTATTCCACAGTTTTTTGGGTTCCACTGTAGCTCTGAGAGACACCCATTATGTCTTCTTAAAATTTAACACGTCCCTCAGGATTTTGTAATTACTGTAATTAGTCTAAATGTAAACATCAGTCACTCATAACCGTAACAAATTACATTCTTTCAAACTTTTTTTTCAGAATAAAAAGCTAAAACAAAACTTTTATTTTAATCTGTTTGTGATATTGCAAAGTTTTATTACTTCACGTACACACTACTTATATGTATATGTAAAGCCTACACAATAAATCTTAAACCGTTCAATGATTGGGTTATTTTACTCTTTACTTTCTATTAACTTGAAGCCTTGAATTCACGTGTTTTTGTATTACAACTATCGTGAATGAGTCGGCCATTTTGTTCTGTATGTTTTGTAGGTCATTTCACCAAACAATGACATTTAATAAAATAACAGCACGTTCATGTTTTAAACTCAAATATAGACTTATTCATTATTTTCCAAATCTCTATCTGAAAAAAAACATAAAATGCAGAATATCAAAATGAAAACAAAATTAAAAAATTTCCGCGGGTTGATTGAAAACGACGTTTGAAAATTTCTGCAGCTTGATTACATTTGAAGCCTGCAGTTAATACCATTCAATCTGTATTCGTCACTTTACCGTGAATTACTCAGCAGAATTTAGGACACTTCCCATTCCCCAACATAATCTACGATTCTTCCACTTCCCAAATATAATCTAGGACACTTCCCCTTCCCCAACATAATCTAGAACACTTCCCCTTCCAAACATAATCTAGGACACTTCCCCTTCCCCAACATAATCTAGGATACTTCCCCTTCCTCAATATAATCTAGGACACTTCCCCTTCCCCAACATAATCTAGGATACTTCCCCTTCCTCAATATAATCTAGGACACTTCCCCTTCCCCAACATAATCTAGGAAACTTCCCCTTCCCCAACATAATCTAGGACACTTCCCCTTCCTCAATATAATCTAGGACACTTCCCCTTCCCCACTATAACATATCCAATTCTTTCATAATATACCCTTCCCTTCCATAATATAACAATCCCTTTCATAATTTACACTTCCTTTTCGTAATATATCCTTCCCTTCCATAATATACCCTTTCCTTCCATAATTTATCCTTTTGCTTTCACAATATACTTTTTCCTTTCATAATATACCCTTCCCTTCCATTATATACCCTTCCCTTTCATTATATACCCTTCCATTTCAAAATATACCCTTTCCTTTCATAATATACCCTTCCCTTTCATAATATACTTTTCCCTTTCATAATATACCCTTCCATTTCATAATATGCCCTTTCCTTCTGTTATATACCCTTCCCTTCCATTATATACCCTTCCATTTCATAATATACCCTTTCCTTTCATAATATACCCTTCCCTTTCATAATATACTCTTTCCTTTCATAATATACCCTTCCATTTCATAATATACCCTTTCCTTCCCTTATATACCCTTCCATTTCATAATATACCCTTCCCTTTCATAATATACCCTTTCCTTCCCTTATATACCTTTCCATTTCATAATATACCTTTACCTTTCATAATATACCCTTTCCTTCCATTATATACCCTTCCATTTCATAATAAACCCTTTCCTTCCATAACATTCCCTTTCCTTTAATAATATACCATTTCCTTCACTTCCACTTCCTTCCCTTTCATAATATACCCTTTCCTTCCATTATATACCCTTCCATTTCATAATATACCCTTTCCTTCCATTATATACCCTTCCATTTCATAATATATACCTTTTTCTTCCATAATTTATCCTTCTCTTTCCATACAATATCCTTCAAATTCATAACATCAACTTCCAAATCCAATTTCCAAACCCAAATTTACCCTTACCATTAACTTATTTATTTTTGAAAAAGCCAGTTTTAAATGTCGTCTTCTGAATACATTCTCAGTAGATGAAATCATTTATATGTTATGCACTTGGATTAGTCGTCTCAGAAGGATACAAATATATTCAAAAGTAAGCCAAGAAGATTTTTTTGTAAATATGAATTTTTTATCTTTTACATAACACCATATCCCAAAAACTTGTGTTGATGCCATAATGATGTTAGAAAACCACTAAATGTTAGAAAACCACTAAATGTTAGAAAACCACTTGACTCTACATGTTAGAAAACCACTACATGTTAGAAAACCACTGCATGTTAGAAAACCACTAAATGTTAGAAAACCACTAAATGTTAGAAAACCACTAAATGTTAGAAAACCACTACATGTTAGAAAACCACTGCATGTTAGAAAACCACTGCATGTTAGAAACCCACTACATGTTAGAAAACCACTAAATGTTAGAAACCCACTGCATGTTAGAAAACATTAAATTTCTTTCAAAACTATTACAATTAAATGTTCTTAAATAATAAAACATTACATGTTCACAAAACCATTAGATGTTCTTAAAACCACTACATGTGAAAAAATAACTATCTTGTTGCAAAAACCTCTGGCCATTTATAAACCACTACATGTTTCAAAACCGGGCTCTGGATGTTCCAAAACCCATTTATATTCCAACCCCCTATATATTCCAACCCCCTATGTATTCCAAACCCCTTTATATTCCAAACCCTTATTCATTTCAAAACCCCTATGTATTTTAAAACCTCTTAAATTCCGAAACCCCTTTATATTTAAAGGGAGTGTTCGCGAAAAATGTAAGGTGGTATAGGCTTAATGCGATAAAAAAGCGCTTTTGATCGCTACTTATCTTACTTCTTCTGTTGCGTCTATAAGGAGAAAATTGTTAAAGACGTCTCATACCGAATAACTTAGCGTCCATACAAATTAAGAAAATTGCAACATACGACTTAGACAACTATATACAAATGTGGCGAAAGATAGTCGATGACGTCTAAAATCTCTACTTATTCCAATCATGGTTCTCGGACTTATTGACTGTCCCAAAAAACCAGAGTCTCGACCCAATTTGGATTTGTTTGTCTTTATTCCAAAGACCTAAGAGACCAAGACCGTCCCAGGATCTCTGATTCTTTGACAAAACATTCACAATATAGTCGGAAATGTTAATTAAAGAAATACTGCAATTCTATCAAAATCATTTTGAAAATTTTGTATTTATATGTTGTGCAAAAAAAACTTTTTAAACATTCTTTGTTTGTTTCCAACTAATTGCTCTTATCAGCAATTGCATCGTCCCAACTAATCGCTATTTACAGCAATTGTTTCTTCAATCCATTCCAAGAAATAAGCTACTTCAGTGTACACACCAGGCTTATCTGGCCTAAAAATAAACTTAAAAAGTGAATTTTCTCTTGAGAAAACAGTGTAACTCCAACTTTAAGAAAAAAATACTGATATTGTTGAATTCTTTCAGGAACTGTTAGCGCAGTTTCAACTAGGGTTTCCAGCAAAAAGGGTAAATCGTTCAGCGAAAATTTCGCATTTTTCGCGCTTCATCTCTCGCGAACAATTAAAAAAATACGGAAGAGTAATTAATAGTTATAATATAATAAAACTTCTAATGCTGAGCTCTCAGAGCAAAGAATTTTACAATTTTTTTGCTCAATTAATTGTTGCAGCTATGGTTTTCGGAGAATTTTTTTTTCACAAATTATTTTAGAATTTTTTCGCTTAAATCATTTTCGCGAAAAAATGCGAAATTTTGCGAAAGAGTTTTCAAAATACAAAGGAAAATTTTCGCATCTTTTCGCAAAAGTTTTCACCCAATTTCAAGTGACCCTTCATTAAAAGTGAGCAATGTCCGTTTCACAACAAAGCTCTTGAAAGCTTTGTCATGTTTGAATGGAGGATCACTTGAAATTACGTTTACAGTCCCTTTAATATCACTATTTCCTGCAGATTTGCATATATGCATTAATTGGTGGTGTTTTATGTAGTTATTACCTTCCGCAGCCCTGACCCTATGAGGTTACTCCTGTAATAAATTTCATAGTAAACCCTATACCTGTAAACCTGTATATATTATGTTGTGCATTGTCTGTGTTCCAACTACGCTGGTACTTAATTAACTGTGATTGTAGATAGCTATGTAAAACTTGTAATTCTAACTACAACTTGTAATTCTAATTTGTCCCTCGTCTAGCAAACGAGAGGGGACCTGAGTCACAACATGAAAGTATTGAATTGTATTTTTAAACAGATACCTGAGAATACAGATAGAGCTATATCCAGATTAATATTGACCAAGGTGTTATGGAGGAATCTCCAGTTCAAGATTAAGTGTATCTGGAAGATACAGTATTGAGGAATCTCCTGTTAGAGATTACGTACCTGGACGATACAATACAGTATTGAGGAATCCCCAGTTCGAGATTAATTGCATCTACACAATACAGTATTGAGGAATCTCCAGTTTGAGATTATGTAGTATCTACACAATACAGTATTGAGGAACCTTGAGTTTGAGATTGAGTTGTATCTGGTAATACAGATAGCTGAGTATACTGAAGGTTGTATCTGGATTGGTATGGATTAGAGTAGGGCATTCATTATAATCCTGCACGAACAACCTCCCCAGCGGATCAAAGAGAACAGACTAATGGTTATTACCTTCCACAGCCCTGACCCTATGAAGTTACTCCTGTTAGAACAACCTCACCAGCAGGACCAAGAGAACAGACTAATGGTTATTACCTTCCACAACCCTGACCCCATGAAGTTACTCCTGTTAGAACAACCTCAACAGCAGGTACAAGAGAACAGACTAATGGTTATTACCTTCCACAGCCATGACCCCATGAAGTTACTCCTGTTAGAACAACCTCACCAACAGGTCCAAGAGAACAGACTAATGGTTATTACCTTCCACAGCCCTGACCCCATGAAGTAACTCCTGTTAGAACAACCTCACCAGCAGGACCAAGAGAACAGACTAATGGTTATTACCTTCCACAGCCCTGACCCCATGAAGTAACTCCTGCTAGAACAACCTCACCAACAGGTCCAAGAGGACAGACTAATGGTTATTACCTTCCACAGCCCTGACCCCATGAAGTTACTCCTGTTAGAACAACCTCACCAGCAGGACCAAGGGGACAGACTAATGGGCCTCCACTGTCTCCAGAGCAAGAATCCTGAAAATGGTATTCAATTTTCAACTCTTTTTTATATTTTAGTTTTTTACAACAAAAAGGAACAGTATATAAACCCATTTTACTCCTTAGTTCTGTTTGTGTTTCTTCTTAAATTTCTTTATAAATCAATTAAAGAATTTAACAGTTAAACAGCACCCTTGACTAACCAGGGTGAGATGCATTTAGTTTCTTCTAATTAATTTCAAACATGTGTGTTGGTCTATAATAAGAACTGAACCGTGAAATCCGCGTGCATGAGGGAGGTACAGCTATAACCCTCCCTGGCTATTGAGTTCACCTACTGCTGAAAGTATTATTTTTAAACTGTGATTTGTATCACTGATTTTTAGACAACGCCGCAAGCTGATCACACACAAAATTGAATTTAAGAATGTTTATGGAAAGGGTGTGATCTAAATTTAGTTTTAAAACTTCTCTAAAAAGACGCAGGAAATGAAAGCCAAAGATAGAAGAAATCTTGTTGTATAACAGTGGGACCCTAACACTGTGGAAAATGAAGACGACCTATATTCATCTTAAATGTATTTGTTGCTAATAAGCAAATAGTTTTACCATTAGTTTAAAAACCAATTTATCAAAGGAAATGGGTCTGTGTACCATGGACAATGCTGTGTCTCATCAAAGGATTATTTAAGATCATAAATTAAGTCTGGGCCAGTCGTGTACTTATTCCAAAGTTTACTGATGTCACAGTATGCTGGAAAAATCTAAAATTACCAAAGGCAATCCAAGCAAATTACTTCAGTCCAGAAAAAAGTTTTCTAAAGATTGTTTGATCTGTCTTTTCTCATTTAGAGAGATCGGTCAGTGATCACAATGATATTTCTCTTGTCTCAGCACAAAATTTTCAGGTAAAGTTAAAAACATTATTTACCTTGCCATCCTCTCCCCCGGCGCAAATCATGTTATCTCTAAAAAAATGGCGTTTTAGCCACAAACTCCAAGTTTTTAATTCTTAAACCATTGCAACCCGTTACCTTAAACATTTTAAACTATGCATTCTGTTAGATCAAATAGTATATTTTTGAAGTCGGGTTTTCAATTGGAATTCCGTCGCGCATCTCAAATTGCACATAATTGAGCGGAATTGAGCGGAGTTTACATGACTCACAATTGTATGCAAGTAAAATCCACTTGAGTTAAAAACCCTAGTTGGAAGTATCTAAGGTTTGCATCACCAGGTTACAAAAGTATAAGGATTAGCAATTTTGGGTCAACAGCTCACCTCCTTTAAAAACATTAAAAACGTGAAAATTTATCAAATATACACAAGAAATTGTTTCGAATTCATCTTTTAAAAAAATTTGTTGGCTGACCTCATGAGATATCCATACTTCATAAAACAGTCTTCATCAGCCACTATGGGCACCTCAACCTTTACCAAAATAAAATATTAGAAAAACTCTAATTCTAATAACAACTGGAAACCCTGTAATCTCACTTAGTGAACAAGCAACACCTCTAGAGATAGCAAACAAAAGACAATTCATAGGATTAAAACAGGGACTCTGAAGTAGCTTCTTTCTTCCAAACTAATTTAATTAATCCATCAATAAACTAACAAATCAACAAAGTAATCAATCAATTAACCAATCTATAATACTTATAGTAATTCAGTATTAAGTAAAAGCATCTATATTAGGGGGGAGTGAATTTCCAAAAATAAAAAACAATTTGCTTGAAATCATTACAGCGATAGTCAATTCTTATGTAAAAACAATTATAAGAACAGTTTCTTTTATGACACTTTTTGATTAGAAGTCGTCTTAATTAGCTAACTGGCACTGCAAGTTTTGACCTTTATGTCTTTTTCTGAGATCTGTGACATAAGTAAAATGCTTCCAATCATTATGCATTTAAATGCAAAAAACAATTCTAAGAACAAATTCTTTTAAGACAGTTTTTGATTGGGGGTCGTCTTCGTTAGCTAACGGACACTGCAAGTTTTTACCCATATATAACTTTTTTCTGAAATCTGTTATTTCGCAATATGCTTCCAATATTCATGGCCATAGTCATTTCTACTGTAAAGATCAATTCTAAAAACAATTTCTTCTATGAAACTTTTTTATTGGAGGTCGTCTTCTTAAGCAAACCGGCACTGATATTTTTGACCTATAATTTACTCTTTTTCTGGACCTGTGTGCCATTTAGCATAGGAAGACGATCTTCTATCAAAAAGTGTCATAAAAGAAATTGTTCTTAGAATTGTTTTTTACGTAAGAATTGACTATCACCGCAGTTCTGTGATAACATTTTTAAACTCACTCCCCCCTAATCTATTTTTTTTGCTTTTTGCTCCATTTGAGCTGACTGATACTATGCAAAAAAAACATGATTTCAGTGGCAAATTATCAAATTGATACTAAGTGAAATGAATTTTACAAACAAGGACAAACACAGATATAAGTTTGGATTGGATTATAAATTCTGAACTAGAAGGGAAACAGAGAGATGAGATGAATTCGCCAAACTAAAAGGGAAAGTGTAGTGCTCTGTGAGGGACTATACAGATTATAGCGCTCTCTGCTTCATAACAGAAATAGAACTTCATCTGCTTAAGAATTGGATCGCGGAGAGGTTGTTTGAGCTTATTGTCAAGATAAAGAATCTAATAATTTGACCTTCTGTAGGTTTCCAGCTAGGAACATTCCTCCCTCCTCAGTAACTCCCCAGCCTGTTGTTGTACACAATACACCAGCCTCAGGTTCAATATTCAAGCTCTGATTTATACTCTGAACAACATCAATTAAACTTTAGTGCTGAGGATATTAACAACATTAAGCTTTTTGGATCCAAGGAAAAATATCAACAAAAAACTGTAAAAAAAATTTTTGCTCTCAAAAACCAAATTTAAACTATTAAAAAAATTATTAAAAATTTCTTTTTTCTCTGAAAGGTTTTTGACATAAATAGTTAACAAAAGGAGAAAAATAATTTCCGGATCTTTATATAACGAAATGGAACCTATGAACCAAATTTAAATAAAAATCTTGAAAATATTTTTTCAATGCAAAGTAATCAGACTGTGAGGGAAGTGGATGCTTCTGCATCATCACTTTCTCAAGGTAGTAACTTTTAAATTTCATTTTTAGAGCACAATGCCTCCCTTTGGATAGAGAATCATTTTTTCGAATTAAAAAAAATGTGGTGGTTAATTTTAACAGCAAGGGGCGAAACCAAAATTGCCGTGTCAGCACTCAAAACTAGAGATTTATACCTTTATATAATCTGTCATTCTAAGAGGGGAATTCAACTTGACTAATCCAATATCAAACTCCTAAAGAAATAAACTAGAATTATTAAGTTTATAATACTTACAATTTACTTTTCCAAATATGATTATTGTAACAACAGAGTTCCCTTAGTCATTTCTGGAAAAAGTAAAAATTGAAGATGACATATTGGAAATGCCAGGACTAGAAGAATTATTAAATTATGGTTCACCAATTAATGCGTCAAATAAATTCAAAATTCAGAGACAACCTTCATCTTCATCAAATACAACCATCTTTGTACATACAATAGATAAATATACATATATATGATTATCTCCAAATGTAATTTATGAAGTAAAAAAAAAATTAAGGAAAATGTATTTTTTTTAATGAAAAATATCATTGTTATTTCAGTAAAATACTGTATGGGCATTCCTTTTAAATAATGAAAAGTTTACAACCTTATCATTCCAAGTGTAGTTAGGGTGCATTATTCCTAGATCAATTCGTCGGATCTAAACAGCATAAAGAATAACTAACTGAAATGTCCCACGTTGCCATTGTTTAATATTCATAGTCATAGTTACTCCCACCGTCTTCCCCCACTAAGTATAAAATCATGATTTAGCTTATGTAATACCCGGAATTGCCTGTGGAATAAAGAAAAATTCTGACATTTTTTCAACCACCACCACACCCCTGGGATACCCGTAGGTTCCCTCAACTGATTTCAGCCAACTTGATCCTTTTGGTAAGCTACAGCGAATATATAAAAATATATATATGAGCAAGAGCTTTATCATTAAGATTACAAAAATGGATAAATGTATAAAAATAACTACCTCTTCATGAATATCTGGTAGATGAATGTTGTGCTGTCCTGAAAAATGGAATCAAGGTAGACTAAAAAGAAACTAATATGATGAATTAGGTTGGTAATTCTTTTAAGGGGCCAATGTGATATGATGGAAAGAGACCGCTGTGTCACAGAAAGTTTACTGTTACTAAGTTCTAGCCACACTCCCTCCCTGGAACCACTGGACACACTGTGGAAATATACAACAACCCCCAAATTCTACACCTTTATTTATTGATTAACTTGAAATATACAGCTTCATGCAGCATCTCTTTCAAGCTAGGTAGGCAGGGCAGTCTGCGTCAATGATCCTTCTATGACTACCTGTTCTGTGGTAAAATGTTAAATAAAACATACCTGCCACAACCTCATACTGAATAGGAGTCAGTCCATCCAGACAATGAGCTGAAATAATTATAATCTTCTACCCTATTGCAATCACAGTTTTCTAAAATCTCTTGGAATGGCGCATGAAGAGGTTTCGTAATTAGGATAGAAATATTACAACACAATATTGTGTATTTATTTTTGTATTTTACACTATTAAAGGGAGTGACCGGCTATGTAAGTCAATTGAACTGAGTATGCAGTGTTGTCGAAAACTTCTTTAGGATTCATTTGAGGCATATTTCACTTTTTAAGGATCTGTAAATCCTGAGTTTGAGCGCAAATTTGACATTCAAAACTCCTGATTTGGGGGTGGATAAGCTTTCAGAATTAGTTTTTTTTTTAATTATTGAGTAACGACAACGAAAAATAAAGTAAAAATTATACAGTAATCATATTAGATGGCAAGGAACATATTTCACAAAAGAAATTTGTCAATAAATCAATGCTAAAATCGATTATTTCATTTTCATTATTATATTGAATTTCTAATTTTCTTTGAATTTATTCGCAGATTTCTTCAAATTCTTTAAATGTCGTCTTTTCAATAATAATTATAGAAAATCTGCGAACATCTTTGTGAATAACGAGAAACTAGAATAATGAGATAATAGAAAATAATAATTGAACAAGATTACTTATTTTCGATGATAAGATTAATTTTTATTTTCTCAAAATGTTCCTAATGTCTGTAGTTTATTGTAGAATATTTTTACATTTTATGTCGTCGTTAATTAATAATTTTAAAAAAAACTAATTCTGAAAGCATATCCACCCCCAAATCAGGAGTTTTGAACGTCGAATTTGCGCTCAAAATCAGGATTTACAGACTTTTAAAAAGTGAAATATGTCTCAAATGAATCCTAAAGAAGTTTTCCACAACACTGCGTCCTCAGTTCAACTACTTTACATGGCCGGTCACTCCCTTTAAGCATCTTTTTCAGGTCTATGATGAAAATCTGCGCCGCTAAAATATAGAAGATTCTGAAGAGAATGTGAGGTCTCCAATTTTATATATGAAAGTTTCTCTCCAGTGAAAATTTGGAGTCTTTACTGAAAAGTTTGTAAATCAAGTGCATAAAAATATACAATTTTTATGTAAATTATGTTTATTTCTTTGATCATCTTGAAAATGTGAATTATGACATAATTTGATTAAAATTTTTTAATTTCAAGAATTTTTAATTTTAACTATTTTGTCAACTTTTAGTTTATCTTATTAAAAGTAAAGTACAAAGAAAATAGTTTGAAGGTACTGAACTAAAGACATAACTTTAGGTGACCTTCTTTTTCAGGGTGGTATGTCTGAATCACAATTAAAAATAATCAATTCTTAGCTAAAGAGATCTGAGGCCGAATTTAAAGAATCTGAGCTGTGGCATTAATTTAAGCCGCAGCTCAAATATGGTTGGTTCCACTTAAAATTGTATTCAATTTTTCAAGATTTAAGCCGGCGCTCAATTGAAACCAGTTTTTGGGAATTTGAGATGTGGCTTAAATTAATTAAATTCTGACACAGGATATCTTATTTATACTCGATCAGAAAAAAATGCAATGTTACGAATCGGACATACCACTTTGCAAAAAAAATGCCACTTTAGATTATCTGTACAGTCCCTTTAATGTCCTTTAATAGAAAGTAAAAGTACCTGCAGTAAGAATCCATGAAGGATGTATAATGGTTCCCCCGCAGAAATGTGAAATACCAGACAGAAAGTTACGAAGAGAAACCTGATATCAAACAATGTATTGTTTTAAATAAATAAAAAATTAGACATCTTGTTTTAATAGTTCTGAGCTGAAAACTTTAGAATGGTGGATATCAGGATTAATGATTAATTCAAACTTTTTCTTAATCTCCAGATTAAATATGGCTTGTTCTCCACATGAATTTAATCTCCAGAAAAGTCAACAGATCGGGATTAAGGATATCACATTTTAACGTTTTCAGCTCAGGTGCAAGAGAGGATTTTAAAAATTTCAAAAGTACGTCGAAACTTACGTCCTATTTTTTTTAACGCTGACCCGCCGCGCGCAGTTTGACCCAAAAGAATTATGCACATGCTCCAGAGAGAGAACCTGCACTCTACGCCGCATGCGCGTAAATCCGATGGGCTACTGCCTTTTGATTTATTGTTAAGGGTTAAACCAGCTTTGACATAAATGGAAATTATGCAAAACTAGAATGAAATTAAACCTAAAGTGCACTCATTTATAAATAGTAAATATTTTTTGTTCAAAAAAAATTGGTTTGGTTTGGCAAATATTATATGCAGATTATTTCCTACTTTCCGAAAGGTTTTACATCAGTATGTTTAAGAATATCTACTCGATATAAAGCAGTATTTATCAATGCTTATTTTAACTTAACCGTCTTAGATAAAATATGTCGATTTAAGAAAGTTTTAAAAATATATTTGCAAATATCCAGAATAAAAAGTTTTTTTCAAAAATTAAACTTTATCCGGTTTATAAGACAATAAAAAAATATGTTAAAAATAATTTGTGACACCCTTAGGCTTTGTACGGCTATATAATTTACCAAAACCATTCTAAAAATCCTTCAATTATCAAATGGGAAAATTTAATCTTTCTAAATATCCAAGGGGAAGATTTTACGCCATCTTTATCCGATTTCATATCATAAATATAAAACATTTTTCATCTTCTTAATATCTCTTCAATAAGATGAGTTAGGATTTTATAACATAAAATATCTTACGTGAAATTTACTACTGTATGGTGTGTCTCCTATATACTCACATTGTACGCTTATCAAGAAATTTTTGGTGGGGAAATCCGCGATAATTTCTGGGAATCCGCGGAATATATATATATAACTAAAAAAACCTTGAGTAATTCTGTTGGATTAACGAATCTAAGTTTGAAATACCAAAGATCTACTCTGTTAGGTTGCACAGATATTGGGATTAGAAAATTAGATTTTGTGACAAAGACTCAATTCCTTTCTAGGAATCCGCGGAATGTATAACTAAGAACCTTGAGTATTTAAAAATCTACAACAAAAAAAACATCCTTAATTCTCACCTGCCAGGGAAATTCACCAACCTCTGCCTCCTCCCCTCCAACAATCCTAGTTTAAACAGTTACATTTTCGTTTAAAAAGGGACTGTAAGCGTAATTTCAAATGACCCGCTATTTGTATAAAGTGGTGTGTCCTATTTGGGAGGGAAGGCATACGCTGATTTAACAGTTCGGTCCTTATCCCAAATGAAAGAAACCGAACACATCTAACCCTGGTTAGTCCAGGATGAGCAAAAGCATTCATTTTTCGGCCAGACCCCGTTAAGGCCGTCTCAAAGATAATTTTTCGGCAGTGCTCTCACAATTGTTCTCCGTCCGACCGTACATTTATTTCGTCCGGCATTATTCATGTTTTCTTTAAATGTTGTTTTCTCTGTATTAAAGTATTTTGTTATTTAATATGGATTGATTTTGTTTATAATGTACTTTTTTAAAGAAATAAAATCGGTTAGAAAATCAACAAAGAAAATTTTTTAAAAAATTTATATTTACATTATAATTTTTGAAAACCGTGTTGGACATACAGAGTTACGCACAAATGTTGAGCCTTGCTGTACATAATTTATATTGTCAGTTTCCTTATATTCATTCCCTGCCACTGTATAAACGTGTTTCTTTCTTAAAGCCGTGTGTACATAATTTATATTGTCAGTTTCCTTATATTCATTCCCTGCCACTGTATAAACGTGTTTCTTTCTTAAAGCCGTGTGTACATAATTTATATTGTCAGTTTCCTTATATTCATTCCCTGCCACTGTATAAACGTGTTTCTTTCTTTGTCAAAACATAAAAAAAGCCATAAGATTTCAGCATCTAAGGGTTCGTCACATTTTAAGAGTTTCCGGTCGTCTTTGGAGTCTCATCCTTTGTGGGTAACCGTGTAGAAAAATCTGGATACGTGTGACATCAGCTGCTTTGAGTTCACACTGTACGCTAGCGCACGGCAAGACGACCACCATTTTAGAAAACAAACGCAAAGTGTTTTCCTTACCCTCGTTGATAAATTTTAAAGGGACAAAAGTGTTTCGTTGTGAATAGGACCAACACCTCCTTTTTCCTGGAGGAGGACCAACACCTTTTTCCTGGAGGAGGACCAACACCTTTTTCCTGGAGGAGGACCAACACCTTTTTCCTGGTGGGTTAATTGAAATCACGAATGTACGGTCCTTTTTTAAACGGGCTCAATTAATTTTTAAAAAAGGAATTCATTTTTTGGACCTTAGCTTTTTTTATTTATTATTATTTTTTTATTTCCTACCCAATTGTTCTAGCTGATTTTTAGCAACAAAAAACTAAATGTTTATAAATTGTCTTTTTTTTTCAGGTGAAACGATCGAACGAGCATATCTCTTTACATAAATAATGATTATTTGTATTTAATTAACGTCAAACAGCTAGTAGGTCCAAATTTGTTTAGCGTTAATGAGCAAATATATCATAAAGATGAGAAAGGGACAAAATAATAGTTAAACATAACTTTGCTAAAAGATTCTTGGAATGTTTGACGAAATTATATATCACAGTACCGGGATCAATCTGTAGTTGTAAATAGGGCTGGGCGTCGTTCTTGAAGAACAATCATTCTTTTACAAGAACAAACGGAACTATCAAGAACAATCCCATCGTTCCGAAATTGAATGGAATGCAAAGAACGCGTTCTCAAAAATATTGGAACGGAACAGAACAAAATGGATATTAGCTTAAAAGAACGTTTACATTCAGGAAAGTTAGGAACTTTTTAAAATAAAATCGTCATTTTTTACATTTTAAACAGCCTATTTTCTACATAGCTATTGTCTTGGACATCTCTAAGGTAACACTACCCCCTCCCCAATCCCTCCTATCTTCTTGACTAAGAACGGAACGGGGGATGAAAACGTTCTTGAATAAGAACAGAACGGGGGGATGGAACCGTTCTTTGACTAAGAACACAAAGAACGGAACAGAACGGGATGATCGTTCTTAGACTAAGAACGAAACGGAATGGGATGAAACGGAAAGGAGAACGAAACAATCGGAAAAAAGGAATGAGAACAGAACAATCTAGCAAAAGTTCTTAATTCTAGAACGGAACGGAACTATTTCAAAAAAGTCGGAACGTGCCCAGCCCTAGCTGTAAATGTCATTAAAGGGTGTATAAGATGTAATATTCACCGTAGCATTCTTCTGTTGAAGAACTATTAAGGTATTCTACAGTTATAACCAGAAAACTGTGGAATAGGAAGACAAAATTAAAACAAAAATGAAGTGTAATTGATGTTGTTGTAAACAAGGGCGTATACAGGGAGGCAGGGGGGCAGTGCCCCTAGAACTCAGAGCTATCACACTTTTCAAATCTTAAACTGAAGAATGAAGAATAGGATTGGTAAAAGGTAGATTACTACTTTATATAAATTAATGAACGTATCCGTTTATAAATAACCGTTACAGTCTTTCAAACCTGATATTTTGAAGCTAGTTAATCTTAAATAATATAAAACTTTCTGAATAAATTCCTAAGTGAGTGTGCCATTTTTTGTATGTTATCGCTGAGAACCAAGATATGCACGCCCTTGTTTAAAATATTAGCCCAAAATTTTAGCCCAAGCAAATACATTGTTTTTAAGTCGAAGCAGCTGTCTAAGAAGCTGTCTAAGAAGTTGTTTAAGAAGCTGTCTAAGAAGCTGTCTAAGAAGCAGTCTAAGAAGTTTGAAAATAACTTTCACAGTTGTCTAGGTATCAATGTTAGAAACGTTTATATTAAAGAAAGGGTCGGCTAAGTACGTAAATTTAAGGACCTGGGCTGGCGACACCTAAAGCTTGGACATATCCCCAACGAGAATAGAATATATATTAGAGGGGAATTTACTAGAAAAAAGTGTAAAACGGCCATTTTGTTGTACTGTTTCCATACTGCATGTAGTACACATGCAGTATGCAGTACACATATTTATGCTATATAACCTTTTGGGCCCTGAAATATTATTCTATTCTCTTTGCCTGTCCGCTTTGATCGACTGTATCCTTGTTCAGGTTTTAGGCTTAAAAAGTATGATGACCGAATGAATAAAATGAGGAAAGAAAAATCAAAGACATCAATATTTTACCTATTTCCTGACGCCCCTGATGCCGGATATTTGCTTCCGAAACAAAATCCGATTAAAGTTAAGAGAACTACACATCTCATATTTCTATCTTTATTCTAAACGAACTAGCTAAACATAAAAATAAGTTCTTATCTCTACTGCTAGTTTATCTTTTGAAATTAAAAAAAAAATAAAGGGCGTAGGAAGTACTTTCTTAAAGAAGATAACTTTCAGGGGCGCAATAGTACTTTTCTGAGGGGAGGGAGTGTAATCAAATCTTCAAGGATTGAGGGGGGGGGGTACAGGGGGAATCATAAGAGGTATGTGGGGCAGTAGTGCATTAACCCCCCCCCTGAGTGTGTTATTTTTCTTAAGTTCAGGGGTCTTTTGGCTCCATTAAATTATATTTTTAGAATTTATTGTAAAAATTTGTTTGCCTTAATTTGCATTTCACTATATCTATCAGTTTCTTTCAGGGATCAAAAAGGAAAGGGGAAAGTGGGGAAAAATCCAAATTTTAAAGCCAATTTTTTGTTGTTAGGGGTGGGGGGATTCTAAAAGGGATATTAGCCTTTTCTTCAATACAGGGGGATGTAACAAACAGAATTCAAGGGAGGGGAGGGGGGGGGGGGGGTAAAACACTTTTTTGTTCACTATTTTGTTTCTTTAACTAAAATTCGGGAAAAAACTTCTTTTTTAAGCCACATACTTTACATTTTATGCTTTTTTGATCTAAAATGTAACTTAGGTTATCTACAAAATAAAAAGTTCTTCGCTCAATATATATACATATGCATTAGCTATATCTGGCCAAACGGTTGGACAACACTTGGCTGAATTTTTGAGAAAGCCTATGGGTAACATAGGCTAAAAAAATTTCATATTCCCCAATTTTTTGCCAAAGTGTTTTTAAAATTCCACGGACAACGCCGGGCACTTCGACCAGTTTCAAATAGAAGAAAGTGAAAGGTTTCTTTGTACTTGACTTTGGAACTTTCTTTCTTAGTGATGAAAACCAAACTTCTCTTTTTATTTTTTTACGATAGCAGTACTTGTGAAGTGGTAGTATAATACATGTCATTTTTTAGTGTTAATATTAAATAATATTTATTTGGGAAAAACTCTCTCTTTTGTCTATTTTTTAAAATGTATAAAATATTTTCATATATTTTTATTTAAAATTTTTTGATAAATTTACAAATATATATATGTATATTATTCCGATTCTTTTGTATATGTATTATATATTTAGTAGTATTTAAACGTTTTTTAGGCTTAAAGACGAATTACAAGATTTTTTCTTGGTCCGTTGTATTTTCTGTGTCGGTAGAGTGGAACCGGAAACTGTGTTGATGAAACTACTTCCGGTTTGGAGATTTCCTGATCAGTTAGCCATTTGACAACGGGGGAGGGGCGGGAGGAGTAGTAGTCTTTAATTCTAAAGAAAAAGGTTTGTTTTCATGGTTTTTACACAACAGGGTCGGTTGAGTTACGAGTAACGGCAAAAATGAAATTACGTATTTTTTCTTCCTCAAAAGTATGAACAATTTGTTTCCGAATGTGTTTCAAATTTCAATTTGTTTCCGAATATGTTTGTATGCATATTTGACCACAAAGGATATGACTTCAGAGACAACTGTACGGAATTAACACTGGCTGTTCCCTTATATAGATTATTCACAACTGTAAAGAATGTGAGTCTAATCGTATAATTCCTATATCTTTGCAACTTGATGGGGTAAACCATAAATATTTCAAACTATGAATTCGTATAGATCAAAAAGTCTAAATTTTAAATAATAAAGGTTTACACCATCAGGTTGCAAAGATATCGTGATTAGCCCATTTGAGTTTGTGCAAAATACTCAATTCCTTTTTTCTTTTATGTCTAATAATTAATTACATGGAAACGTATTCGTAGTATTATCCATTGTGGGTAACCTCAAGTAAGAATTAATTATGAACCAAAAAAATTATTAAACTGACTTTCTTTACAAGGAGGTCTTTATTTATTTCGTGATCCCGATCGCACAATCATAGATCGCAAAATCATAGATCGCAAAATGAAAGATCGGAAATTTAATAGAATAAAGACAATAAGTAAAGACATTTTATAGATTGAACATTTCTGGGAAATTCTCTAAAAAATCCTCTCTGATTACGAAATGTTTCATTTAAATGAAATGTCCTGTTTTTAAAAAATATCATATCTATGAAATGTCTGTCTATGACATGTCCTGTCTATGAAATGTCCTGTCTATGAAATGTCCTGTCTATAAAATGTCCTGTCTATGAAATGTGAAATGTCCTGTCTATGATATGTCCTGGCTATGAAATGTCGTGGATATAAAATGTCTTCTATAACATGAAATGTCCATATATGAAATTTCCATTTATAAAATGTCTTTTTATGAAAAATCCATCTTTATGAAATGTCCATCTAAGAAATATCCATCTTTGAAATGTCTTTTTATAAAAAGTCACAACGCCCAAGTACGGAAGTTTGACTCTCTGTGTATTTAGAATTATCGTTCAAATTTGTATACTTTTAATTAAAAAATACCAAAAGTTTTTATAAATCTATCATTCACGTTTTTTTATCAATCTCTATTTTCAGTTTTTACCTGGCGTTCGAATTTTGAAAATATACTGTTTCAGTCAATGCTTCTGGCCAGTCCTAAAACATTAAGTTTTTCAGTAATCTAAAAAGAAAAATATAATATAAACTTTTCTTAAAGGGACTGTTTGGAACTTCCATTTACAGAGAGGTTCATGTTTTATTCTCTTTATAAAAGGAAGGTTAGTACAAAGAGTCAAGGTAATTACTGATGTTTCTTTAATTTGTTTGAAAAAAGGAAAATTTGTAAATAAAAAATATGTTTACCTCTATTGGATAGTCTAATCCAAAGCTTCCTCGGATGGTAGAGAAATCAGCGACAGAAAACCCGATTCTTTAAACATGAAAACTTTTTTCTCATTTTCATAAAAGAACATTTTTAATTTCCATTAAAAAAGAAATATTTTTCTTTGAGGTTTGAAAATAGATTCTATCGATATTTTATAACATACTTAAAAAAAAAAACATCCAACCCCAACTGTTTTATAATTTAGCTGGTAAGTTGGCAAGTATGTTTGTTGCAATAAGAATTTCACCCTGCATTTAAAAATTTAAATCATCAAATGTTAAGAAGTTGTAAATTAATTGATTTTTATAGCGCGAATTCTTGTTTGATTACAATATTATCATCAAAACTTGCGGTCACATTTAAACGGACCTATTGACATTAAATCATGTAACCCTCGATTATTAGAGTGGCAATTTAGATCTATGGCGGTACTTTTTTAAACTTTATATCAGTAACAATGGGTAAGATATTGCCGTTTTCATATTTTAAAAATTGTTGAAATCTGTCATTCCTATATTTGTCTTTAATGCATAACTGCGCCAGCCACTTGTTTAAAACTGAAATTAAACTAGTTATTTTTTCAAAGAATCCCGACAATAACTTTTGCGTAGACAGTTAGGTTTAAAGGTTACCAATGTGAACTGCTTCTTGAAATTGCGTCTTTTGGCTCTTTAAGCTCTAAATTATTCTTTTATTGAAAAATGTTCTAATAATAATGATCTAAAAGTATTATGAACCTAAGCAATAAGAATATGATGATTACTCTCATAGTTTCTCTGAGATATAGAAATATAGTAGAAAATATACAACCTTTATATTCTCTCTCTCTCTCTCTCTCTAGTTCAAGTAAGGAACAAGCTACTGAAGGAAATAATTGAAAGTATTGTCTATCCTATAGCTCATTTTTTTAACCTTTCTTTTTAAACAGGATATATCCCTAGTGATTATAAATGTGCAAAAATAATTCATATCTTTAAAACTGACGAAAAAGATAAATTTAATAACTACAGACCAATTAGTATTCTCCCAGTAAACTTCTTGAAAAAATAGCTACGACACAAATGTGTGATATATCTTAACAAGTTAGAGATTTTCTATCAACATCAAAATGGATTTAGACCAAAACATAATACTAATCAACCATTACTACATATAATGCAAAAAATCTACGAAAACCTTAATAAACCCCAACCAGAATTTAAACTGGGAATTTTTTGGTTTAAAGAAAGCTTTTGACTGTTCTTTAAGAAAAACTCGAGTACTACGGTTTTTTAATTGATGTATAAATGGTATTTTTTCTAAAGAAAAAACAATTTCCCAGGGAAGTGTTCTTGGGCCCCTACTATTTCTCATGTAGATAAACGATTTGACTTTAGCAACGTCTTTTTTTACTAATCTATTTGCTGATGACACTAGTTTTCTAAAATCATCTGCACATATCGAAACTTTAGTAATTGTTGCCAACTTTCAACTAAAAAAGGGCAGCTGCATGGTTTCAGGCAAACCGTTTAACACTAAATGTTTCCAAAACAAAGTTTATGATATTTAGGAATAAAAATATGATCCCGAGAACTGCAAATTAAAAATTGGAAATTAGATTCTAAAAAGAACTGTACAAATAGATAAATTTGTTGGACTCAAAATTGATGAATTTTAAAATTGGGACTATCACACTGAACGTGTCTCCTATAAGATTGCTTGCTAAATTTTTTGCTCTGAATTAGATTAAAAACATTTTACCATTAAACATTCGTCTACTGGTATATAATGTACTTCTAAGGACACATATTGAGTATGGAATTATAACATGAAGGGGGGGGGGGGCGTAAAAAATGCTAAACTAAAGAAAATCAAATTTTTGCAAAAAAAGGGCAATTAGAGCAGTAAATAATAGTTCATTTAAGGCACATTAAATCCAATATTTTTCAGATTAGAACATCTAAATCTTGATGATACATATAAACATATCTTTTATGCATAAATACTTTTATGAAAGCCTTCCAACTTCCTTCCATGATATGTTTAATTCTTTAGCTCAACCAAATAGAACAAAATCATATAAACTTGAGCGGGTTCTTTTTAAAACGCTAGCATGTTTTCCCTCTGCTTTATTTCCAAAATTCTGGAATTCGATTGAATTAGAGCTTAAAGAAACTAAATCTGCAAAATCGTTTAAAAGAAAAGTCGCCAAGAACTATTTAGATAGTCATGCAAGTTATATCTGTAAAAAAAACCGTGTTTCATGTGGATAAACTTAGTCTTTACTATTTTCTTCACCCTGTAATTCATAAATATGACTCTAATAATATATGTTCCAACCCTTCCGCTGAGTACCTTCCCTTTCTCTTAAAACCTCTTCACCACCTCCTTACCTTTTTCCTGATTTATCATCAGTGTTATGTTTAAAATGTACACTGTACAGTGTACACCCATATATTTATTTACAATTCTCATTCGCTTATAATGGGCCAACCAACAACCTACTCTGGTTAGGTAAGGCCAAACTACATAGTAAATTGTGATTTTTTATTTGTATTATCTCGTGCTTTGTAGTTGAATACAAATATGAATGAATCTCAAGATCTACAAATCTCTTGATCAATGATCTTAAATACTTGATATGTAATAAATATAGCAATAACCCCCATATCTTGGAAACCTGAACCTACCTGTATATATAAATATTACGTTATAATCACCTGACCGTATTATCGGTCGATTTAATCTTTATTTGTAACTTATTCTAAAATATAGTTAATTCAATATAAACTCTGTTTTATTACAGTCGATCAGACGTGTTAGCTCTCGGTAGAGAGTATAGAGTTTGAGAGAGTTGTATCTGGATTGATTCATAGGGAAGAGCGCATGCCGCAAATTCATTTTTGACGCCATTTGGGTGTCGGATGTTTTGAAGTATAAAATTGAGTTGAAATGATTAAAACACATAAGAGTGTAGACTCTCTTTACAGGACTAGTGCACCTGTCGACAACACAGGTGTAAAAATAGGACTTCATAGGGAAGAGCGCATGCCGCAAATTCATTTTTGACGTCATTTGGGTGTCGGATGTTTTGAAGTATAAAATTGTGTTGAAATGATTAAAACACATAAGAGGGTAGACTTTCTTTACAGGACAAGTGCACCTGTCGACAACACAGGTGTAAAAATAGAATGTCATAGGGAAGAGCGCATGCCGCAAATTCATTTTTGACGTCATTTGGGGGTTGGATGTAAAATTGGTGTTTGTTGCTTTCCCCCAAATATCCGGGGCATTGATCTAAATGTATGTTTCTGATAAAATTATAAGTATATGTTTATGTTTCGCTTAAAGTATTAGGTTTACGATGACGACGAATTTAAGAAAATTCTAATTCTGTTTTATCATTGACGCTATGACACGATGAAATGATAACATCCTGGATCTTTATATCCTGTTCTATTAATGCAATTACTTCTAGAATATAATTAGGTTTATTGGAAAGCAAGATTTAGCTAGATTAGAACAGCTCTAAAGATAAATATTTTTACAGAAATTATAATTCTTGCCAGCGGTGTTTATGCGGATCCGGGTCCTGGGTCCGTACAGGAATTCACGTCATAAACATATATTTAAGATACCAGCCAGGTAGTCTGAATATTGTAGTCTAGGACTAGCACAAGCCAGGTAGTCTAATTATTGTAGGCTAGGACTAGCACCAGCCGGGTAGTCTAAAAATTGTAGTCTAGGACTAGCACCACCTGGGTAGTCTAAATATTGTAGTTTAGGACTAGCACCAGCCGGGTAGTCTAAATTTTGTAGTCTAGGACTAGCGCCAGCCGGGTAGTCTGAATATTGTAGTCTATGACTATAAGCACCAGCCGGGTAGTCTAAAAATTGTAGTTTAGGACTAGCACCAGCCGGGTAGTCTAAATATTGTAGTCTAAGACTAGCGCCAGCCGGGTAGTCTGAATATTGTAGTCTATGACTATAAGGACCAGCCGGGTAGTCTAAATATTGTAGTTTAGGACTAGCACCAGCCGGGTAGTCTAAATATTGTAGTCTAGGACTAGCACCAGCCGGGTAGTCTGAATATTGTTATCTCTAAACACCAACCAGGAGCTATTTCTACCTGGATACCCTGCAGAAAAACATCATCTTTAACAAACCAAGAAAAGAAATAAATAAATAAATAAATAAATTGTCAATCATCATTCCGTGGAAATCAAGTCAGACCCCCTTTCAACATAACCGCCAAAGGACGCGGAAACTAATGTAACAACAATTGGTCATTGACGTAATCGTTTAATCATTAATATTACAGATTAATATTACTAGAAAATCAGATTCCTTATAATTACTAAACCAACTTTTAGGCTGCTAGAACAAGTTGTACAGTATGCACACACACTACATAAATTTCACTAAAAGGGGATCATTCATTTGGCGCCTGTCCTGGTTTGCCTTACATAGGCTGTTATTTTACTGTACAGCTTGCTCTAGCTGGTTAAAAGTCGACCCGGTACTTGAAATGAACAAGAGTTTACTAAATACGGTAAAACGCTTAAGTCACTGAAATAACTTTGGTTTTGGCTTCTTCTATATATATTATATTTGTTAACTATATACATTGGAAATTAGTCTAGGTGCCTAGAGATCGTCCCGGTATTCTTCTATATATATATATTTGTTAACTATATACATTGGAAATTAGTCTAGGTGCCTAGAGATCGTCCCGGTATTCTTCTATATATATATATTTGTTAACTATATACATTGGAAATTAGTCTAGGTGACTACAGATCGTCCCGGTATTCTTCTATATATATATATTTGTTAACTATATACATTGGAAATNATTACAGAGGACTAGCCCCACCTTTAAAATACAAAGGGATGTCATAGCTTATAGTGTTTTCCCAAGTAACAAGAATAATGACGTGTTTAAAATTTTAAGAAAAAAGTCATTTTAACAGATTGCTGAATGAAAAAATGGTATCAACTAGGGTAGAAATAAAATGAATATTGTTATAATTTTAAAAGAATTTTAAGAATGTCCTCAAACATTTACTTGATTATTTAATAAGAAAATTTAAGAGTTCTTATTTTATTTTTTTCTTCTTCTTTAATGAAAATACTTATGATTTTTATACGTTGTTACCCTTGTACAAGAGATCAAATACAGAAATTATGCACTCTTTTTTATACATAGTTACTCTTGAGGTCAATTTATAAACATTCCAGGTTATGAGGTCAATTTATAAACATTCCAGGTTTTGAGGTCAATTGATAAACATTCCAGGTTTTGAGGTCAATTTATAAGCATTCCAGGTTTTGAGGTCAATTTATAAACATCCCGGGTTTTGAGGTCAATTTATAAACATTCCGGGTTTTGAGGTCCATTTAGAAGCATTCCAGTTTTTAGAGCACCGCACGTGCATGTCGTCTTCATTCCCCATTTTTACAAGCCAGCCTGTTTTGAATCATGTTATATATTTTTAAGCAAAAGTTTATATAAATACTTTTCTCCCCTACTTGTGGATTTCAAAGAAATTAAGTCTTAGCCACAAGCTCTAATTTTTAACTCCCGTTATCTTTTCAACCTGATGGTGTAACCCTTTGATATTTCAAACTTAGAATATTTGATCCAACAGAATTTATAGTTTGAAATATCTAAGATCTAAGATATTGGGTTGCAAAGATATAGGGATTAGAAAATCAGAGTTAGCGGCAAAGACTCAATTTCTTTGTCGCTTAATGAAAATTAGAATTAAATTTTAAAAAAATTAGATTCATGAAATTTGTTAAAGATGTTTTCCTTGATATCATTTTCATTCTCAATTGTTGTATTTGGATTCACAGTTGTTTCTTCAGCCGCCTGAAACAAATAACAAAATCAGCTGAACAAGTTCTGACCCAACACAAAGGAATTCGAGTTTTTGCCACATACTGTGATTTAGTAAACCCTTTTTTTCAATCATGTCGTTTAATAGTTCAAACTATGATCAAATAATATAAATTTGAAATATCAAAGGTTTACATTATCCGGTCGCAAAGATATAGTGACTAGAACATTTAAGCTTGTATTGGGTCAAAACTTTTGGACATGGATCTTGAGGCCGAATCTAAGGAATTTGACCCTCAAATTTGAGACGAGGCTCAAACATGATTGGTTCCACGTGAAATGGAACCGGTTTTTGGCGGTTCAGCGACGCGGTTTAAATTCTTCAAATTCGACCTGTGGATAAACAATCATTAATCCGTATCTGTGCAGTCCTATGGAGACATTGCGGAATTCGTACTTCAACGTGATCACTTTAATCGAGAGATCAAGCACTTGAATCGATCCCTCAAAAAATTTACCACGATGGATATCAAGATCAAATGCTGTCTGAGCACGCTTAAATAAAATAAAACGACATATCCAGGAAATTCTAGCGCATTTCTATAGAAATACAGTGACACCAATAATTGTGCACAATTCCGTTACTAGTATTTTAACAAATCTCGATTTTACTTTCGCACTTTAGCTAAGGATATTTTTGAATTTGTTCAAGGAGGGCTGAGCAAAGTTTCTGTAAAAACGGAAGTTATTTTGAAATTAATGAAAAATGACGCCAAGAAATGAAAAATGACGCCAAAAAATTAAAAATGACGCCAAGAAATGAAAAATGACACCAAGAAATGAAAATAAACAAATGGTTTCGCATTACAGAGGACTAGACAAAAAGAGAAAGTAAATTGTAATAAACACTTACTTTAACTAAACAATTTACTTTAGTTTTGAGTGGTATGGGCCTAATAATTTTACTAACTATCAGTGATCGGATTAAAAATGTTGTCACGTGCTCAGTCCTAGTCCTGTAATGTGCCCAGCCCTAGTCATGTAACGTGCCCAGCCCTTGTACTGTAACGTGCCCAGTCCTAGTCCTTTTAAAGTGCCCAGTCCTAGCCCTGTAACGTGCCCAGCTCTAGTCCTGTAACGTGTCCAGTCCAAGTCCTGTAACGTCCCTAATCCAGTAACGTGTCAGCCCTAGTCCAGTAACGTGTCCAGCTCTAGTCCTGTAACGTGCCCAGCTCTAGTCCTGTAACGTGCCCAGCCCTAGTCCTGTAACGAGTCCAGCCCTATTCCTGTAACGTGCCCAGCCCTACCTCTAGTTGTTTGAATCCGTGTAAAGCCAGCCAAAGAGCTCCCCCCGCTCCCCCTGATAATAATATTTTGAACCTTTAATCAGAAATCTAAGGTTTAAAAACGTTTTACCGCCTTTGACGAACCATGATTCCTCCCCCCCCCCTCTCCCAAAATGATTTAAACTCTAAACAAATTGTTCGCTTTTTTCGAAATGAAAACAGTATTTCGATTTGTAATGACGTCATGTAGCACGGCATCAAAAAAAAAATATTCAAAATGGTAAAAACGTACCTTTGTTAATCTGAGGTCAATCCTAGGACCTGGGCCATCAGTAACATCAACCTTTTTCAGTTTTAAAATTAAATAAATATATTAAATAAAAACAAACTATTGTCTAAAAGATTTTTTTTTAAACCCAGAAATGTAAGATTTTATTATTTGTAACCAAGTTTCGTTATATTTCCTTTAACAATATAACAATAACTTTTTTCTTTTGTCAAAAAAAAACAATAAATCTTTTTTAAAATAAAATTTCTTTAACTATAGATATTACTAGTATTTTGTTTTTCTTTTCTAAAGAAAACATATTTTCAAAATTACGTTTTTTTGGAATAAGCGTCGAATAATACTTTTTGTTTGTCAAACTGTCAGAAGATGAATTAAAAAACAAAATAAACAAATGTGAAAAATATTAAAATCATCATTAATCTTTCATTTTTATTGTAAAATTTTTTTTCATAATTTAAACGAAATTAGAAATCATTATTTATATTACTAGGCTTTTAGGGCGCTTCGCGCCCATATTCTATTTAAATTGTGAACATGTTCTTGTTGTTTACATTTTAAAACAACGAAGAAAAAATTTTTGCGGATTTAAAAAAAAATTCGCGGATTTTCAAGAATTTTTTTTTTTACAAAATTAAAAACCTTTAAAACACTTTTATTAATTTTTAAAATTCATAAACCTTCCCTGTGGTCACGTGATGTCCCACAAAAAAATTGGGTCCGATCGCTTCAGCCGTTTGTTGGATACAAACAAACAGAGAGACTGACAATCCAAATTTATATATAGATTATAATACCTCAGTCCAGTCACTTTCCTGGCCGTTCCCAACAGCTTTAAACCTAACAGTATTTTTTTAATTGTTTATAAAACATTGTCTTCAATACTCAGTATATTACTTTTATTTCGTTAGCATTAGTAAATATATCTATACAAATGAATTAAAAAATTAGCAGAAAATTTTTTAATTGTTTTTAAGAAATTATCGCCTTATAACAGGGCTAAAAAGTAACATTTTCACCCTGGTATTAAATTTCAAATTTCATACCTAATTTATCGACCTGCTTTTAAATAATTTGAGTAAAATTGAGTATAAAGATATATGTTATTGAAATGGGTATCATGCGTGCGAAAAAGTTTTTGCTGTGATTTTTAATTTTACTAGTTTGTTCTCGATCAAAATAAAAATGTACTTTCATCTTGATCTTAAACAAACAACTTTTTCGCACTTAATACTACCCATTACAATGAAGTAAATAGATAGAATCTTTCATTTTTTTGTTCCTTCTGAGAAAAAATCTCATTTATAAGTATGAAAGAAATGTTTCTAATAAATCATTCATTACGATATGTTGTCATAAACTTCTATAAACATGTTCTAAATAAACTTATTATAAATAATGTATCATTGTGGAAAGTACGTACAACGTGCATATATTTATTTCTATTTCATTAAGCTATATTTAGTCCATATTATTCACATTATTAGTTAGAGTATATTTATTTATATTACCACGTCAGAATTCATTTTTATAATCCCAACCACCCACACAAACAATACGGTGACAATGTTTAGGTGTCATTCTTATCATTATCAGGGGCGTATACAGGACGCGGGGAAATTACTACAGGGCTGATCGATTTTTTTTTTAAGTTACAGAGTTCCAAGGAATATTATTTATAAATGTTTTGTAATAATTTAGCTTTATATCTTGGTCATGTATATATATAAAATAAATACTAACGTTGCATTCGTTTGTAGCACGTTTATTACCGGTGTCATGCATGGAGCGGACTCTTACCTGGGGCGGACTCCATTTTAAGCATTTCAACACAATGTTATACATAAAAAGCAATGTTATGACATTTTCCGATATTTATGAATGTATTTTGATTTGAAAACACATTAAAATAGAACTATGTCTCGAGTAAATATTAATTGATGGATGATTTGAATGGAGGTCGACTTTCTAGAGGAAATAACCTTTTCTTTGCCTTTTTACCCCCTTTAAACACATTTAAGAACTAAATAGGTATTTAATAAATGTCAACTAATAATTTTTAATGTTTTAACATTGATTTTTATGTCTACCATTGTGTTAAATGGTTACAACTTCAAGAGTTGGATGAGTCCGCCCCAAGAAAGAATCTGCTCAATACAGGACACCGGTCTAATTTTATTTAGAATTTCATGAATGTAAGTGGGAAAAATCACCGAAATTATATGAAGATAAAATGGCGACTTGACAAGCTAAAACTGTTAAAAGAAAGAGCTGCGAGTGTTTTAAAAGTCTGGAAATACAGACAATTGCAAACCTGGCAAACCTGGCTGAACTACGTACCGCCGGTTCAAATCCAAAACCACCGATTAAAAATAAAAAGTTCACGAAGATTGTAACTAACCTGTATTTCCCTGGGATCAGTAGTCTCCAATATTCTCCCCTTTTAAAATCTTTTTTTCAATTTATTTTTTAAAAATATGTCAACAACAAGGACACAATATTCATATTCATTCAATTCATTTTCATTCAATTCATTTTAATTCAATTCATTTTCATTCAATCCATTTTCATTCAATCCATTTTCATTCAATTCATTTTCATTCAATTCATTTTCATTCAATTCATTTTTATTCAATTCCTTTTCATTCAATTCATTTTCATTCAATTCATTCTCATTCTATTTATTTTCATTCAATTTATTTTATTTCAATTCATTTTCATTCAATTCATTCTCATTCACTTCATTGTTATTCAATTCATTTTCATTCAATTCATTTTCACACAGTTCATTTTCATTCAATTCATTTTCATTCATTTCATTTTCATTCAATTCATTTTCATTCAATTCATTTTCATTCAATTCATTTTCATTCAATTCATTTTCATACAATTCATTTTCATTCAATATTTTCATTCAATTCATTTTCATTCAATTCATTTTCATACAATTCATTTTCATTCAATTCATTTTCATTCAATTCGTTTTCATTCAATTCATTTTCATTCAATTCATTTTCTTTTTCATTTTCATTTAATTCATTTTCATTAAATTTATTTTCATTCAATTCATTTTCATTCAATTCATTTTCATTCAATTTATTTTCATTCAATTCATTTTCATTTCTTTAATTTAAATTCCTATTGAATTTTAAACGTGATCATGTCTTTTTGTTTTGTGTAAAACATCCAAATGAACGACGGAAAATAATGTTATGGGAAAATTTTATTTAATTTAATTATGATTTTGAAAGAAAAAAGAATAAAAAGAAAATCGTTTCTTTATTTTTGACGCCGTTTTTGAGGTTCTTCGCAAAAAAAACTTATTATATGACAGATCAGTACAGTGCCCTACTGTATTTCAAATATCTAAATAATAAAATGATGAAAAGATATTTCCCTGCTCGTTGTTGTGATTATCTTCCCCTCCCCCTCAACTATCACTTCAGCATCTAAATACAAAAATATCAATTATCATAAAAAAAAAATTTGTAGGAAATCACAAACTGATAAAAATGAACGTTTAACTCTAGTTTATTAGAAATAAAATAAAAATATTTATCAAGGTCTGCAAAGATGATGATGAAAATTTAATCACTAGGGAATGAGAAAAATTAAAAGTTGTCCTGAGATGGAATTTAAAGAACTTGAGCCGCGGTTTAAATCTGCCAAAACCCGGTTTAAATTTAGCGCCGATTTAAATCTTGAAACATTTGGTACAATTTTAACTGGAACCAACCATATTTAAACCGCGGCTTAAATTTAAACCGCCGCTCAAATTCTTTAAATTTGGCCTCTGCTTTGGAATGATGAAGATTTAAGTTTACCCGAAAGGAAAATAGGGAATAATAAAAATAAAAGCTCACCCACAACAGGACAATTACAGCATGATGAAAATGAAAGTTCACTTGCTAAGAAAGAATGAAAATGAAAGTTTACCCGCTACGCTATTATTAAAATGAAAGCTTACCTTCTACGGAAAAATGAAAATGAAAGTTTACCTGCTACAGAATGATAAAAATGAAAGCTTACCTACTACGGAATAATGAAAATGAAAGTTTACTTGCTGAATGATGAAAATAAAAGTAAAAGTTTACCTGCTAGGAAATGATGAAACTGAAAGTTTACCTGCTACGGAATGATGAAAATGAAAGTTAACCTGCTACGGAATGATGAAAATGAAAGTTAACCTGCTACGGAATGATGAAAATGAAAATAAAAGTTTACCTGCTACGAAATGATAAAAATGAAAGTTAACCTGCTACGGAATGATGAAAATGAAAGTTTACCTGCTACAAAATGATAAAAATGACAGTTAACCTGCTACGAAATGAAAAAATGAAAGTTAACCTGCTACGGAATGATAAAAATGAAAGTTTAACTGCTACGGAATGATAAAAAATGAAAGTTTCCATGCTACGGAATGATAAAAATGAAAGTTTACCTGCTACGGAATGATGAAAATGAAAGTTAACCTGCTACGGAATGATAAAAATGAAAGTTTACTTACAACGAAATGATAAAAATGAAAGTTAACCTGCTACGGAATGATGAAAATGAAAGTTAACCTGCTACGGAATGATAAAAATGAAAGTTTACCTGCTACGGAATGATAAAAATGAAAGTTTACCTGCTAAGAAATAATAAAAATGAAAGTCAACCTACTACGGAATGATGAAAATGAAAGTTTACCTGCTACGGGATTGTTGTTTGAGTCCATTACCAGTCCTCTCACTGCTTTCTCTGCGGACTCAATGTACGCCAACATTGATTCTTAAAATACAAAAAAAGAATATCTCACGCAAATTCAAGAGTAAATTCTAAAAAAATGTTTGCCAGGGTTTGTTTGTATCGAGACAGATTTCAATAAACTTGATTACATCTGGAGTTCAAGCTTAGGCCTAGTTTAATATGAATATCTGATTTTAAATCTATTTTCGAAAAAACGGAAGGACACATTTTGAGGACCATTTGGCAAACATTATATCGCTCAAAGTTTCGATCATTTTGGTCCTCAGGAACATCTTTGAGCGGAAAGATTGATTTAAAGAGACTGTAAACACGGTTTGAAGTGACCATCCATGCTAAGATGACTAAGCCCTATTCACAACGGTACCCTTAAAAGCAACTTGCATATTTTTACTACAGGAACGCATTATGGAATTGTCAGAATAAAACACTTTTAAACCTAGAAGCACGACAATTTCTTCCACATTGTTAATGATTGTGAATCGGACACTGTCATCTTTTATTGAAATTACTGATCCAGTCCCTGTAATTATGCTCCTAATATGAAAATTATGTTTAAAGTATTTAAAGTATTTAACTCACCAATATTTTTAGCATATTCACCCTGTAATTTGTCAGCTCCAGGTTTCTGAAATATCAAACAAAACATTACGGAATTAAGAAAAATTTTTTTTTTTAAATTTAAAATCATAGCATCAAAAAATAAAAGTTCAAATTTTATAATGTAAGATCAAAATATGTGTTATTTTTATACCTTATTACATGATAGTTCGACAGTTATCTCCATGCAGTTTGTAAATAGATAGTTAAAATCTTGCATACCTGAAAGTTATCAAAGTTAAGTATTCTAGTCTCTTGATCATGCCATTTTTTAGCATGTAAAGAGTACTTGCACATTCACTTGTAAGGAGTGTGTGCAAAAAAGTTTGCTAAATTTCTTTGCAAAAATTATGCTTTTATATAAAAGCTAAACATTATATGAAAAACAACCATGCACTATATAAAAATGGGCCAAAACAGAGGTTTATGTCGGCAAAGAAAAAAATAGGTATTTAGGAAGTGTACCGAAGGAATTAGTTAGTTCGTGATTAATCCAGTTTTGAGAAAAAGTATGAAAATTTTAACAGCCTCAGAGCAACACTTTTAGAGTTATGAAAAAAAAATATAATTTGGGTTTAGATTAAAAATACCTCCAGCGATTGGATACCAATCAACTCCATTAGTGATTCCATCTTCAAAGTAATCAAAGGACCCGGCGGACACACAGCTGGCTCCACCCTGACAAAAAAAAAATTTCAAGATTTTCAATTTGAAAAAAAGTGACTCTATGACTTTTCTCTGAAATATCTACATAAAGCCAACTACGCATGTCAAAATTCTGTTTTTTTTTTAACTTTAATTTTTCATATTTTTGTGAAATAAAGTGTAACTGCAACTTAATACGATCATTCAGGGATGATAAAAGGTAATCTTGATATGACAGCTATTCAATAAGTATCTATAAGTAGGAATTCAGAGGCGTACACATACATTTATCACAGGGGCGTATTCATGTTTTTGTCTAGGGGGGGCTCAATTTTTTTTCTCTTTCCAGGTGGGGGGGGGGGAGGCTCAGCACTCGTTGGGGCCTGATAACCCCCTGAAATCAATAGATTTCACTTAAATACTTACAACATGCATAGTAGTATGCCTGGATGAGTAAAGCTTGGCCAGGTTCTCAAAGACCTTGGTGTCCGGGGATCTATTATTCTCCCCATCAGAAAGAAACCGTTTAGATACAGTAGAGGGTCTGCAGACAATATATTTATTTATAAAATAATCAATCTAATCAAATGTTTCATCAATCAATAAAATGTCAATTCTCCTCAAAAACTTAATAATCATTTGATTTAATAATCTGAAAATATGTCCATATATATTTAAAATTAAAAATGCAATATTTTTCAGAAAAAAAAATAGAAATCTGTAAATAATCAAATTTAACAATTATGAATAATCCATCAATTGTACATCAAACAATGTAATATCTATAGTGAAATACTGATAAGAAAACAGTGGAATAATTTTTCTATTTTCTGTTATGAAAATAATTTGTAACTGAAATTTTCTTTAAAATCAGACATATTTGAAAGAAAATAAAAACAGATTCAAATTTTAAATGATTAGCTCAGAAACATTAGCTGGAATTTTGCAATAAAAATATGAACATTGTCCATTCCTAGCTGGCATGATGCAATAATAAAGTGAATTGTCTCAAAGTTCTAGTTGAAATGATGGAATGATGCAACAATAACATTATTTTGCCAATCACTATCTGGAATGATGCAACAACGACGTTAAAGTTGCCAAGACCTTGCTAAAATGTTGCACTACTGACACAATTGTCCAATTATAGTTGGAATGACGCAACATTAACATTAAAAACAAGCTTTAACCGGAATGATTCAATAATAACATTAGCTTTACCCTGTACTTTAAGGAATGGTGCAACAATAACATTAAATTTACCCCGTTCTATCTAGAATGATGCAACAATAACATTAACTTTACTCAGTTCTATCTGGAATTATGAAGCAATAACATTAAATTTACCCAGTTCTCGCTGGAATGATGCAACAATAACATTACCTTTACCCAGTTATATTTGGAATGATGCAATAATAACATTATCTTTACTCAGTTCTAGTTGGAATGATGCAAAATTAACATTAACTTTACCTAGTTCTAGCTGGCATGATGCAATAAAAAAGTGAATTGTCCCAAATTCTAGTTGAAATGATGGATTAATAATACAAATTATGCCTAATACTGGCTGGAATGATGCAACAATAATAATAGGTGTACCCAGTTATATCTGGAATGATGCAACAATAATATTAAATTCACCCAGTTCTCTCTCTCGAATGATGCAACAACAAACTTTGTATAAATATTAATTGTTTCCTCATGTTTCTATCATCCCAAGGGTAGTTAGCAACTACAGCACCATCATGAAAGTTTATTGAAAGTAGGAAATCATTGTCAAGAATCCAATCTATCATTGCTGCAGTCTCCTTCTCCTTTCCTTTCTATTAATACATTAATCTCTATATAATAAAATACATTTATATGTTAGCTATAGCTGGCCAAACGATTGAACCATGGTTGAACCAAATTGGCTGAATTTTGTTGAGGAAACTCATGGGTACCCTGGGAGAAACAAAAGATAACAAATCATATTTTTTCAAACTTTTTTTTTAATTTTACGGGCAACGCCGAGCACTTTAGCCAGTTTATATATATATATATATACTATCTCTGTGTGTATGTTTGCATGTCCAACTTACAAAGCTAATGAACCTGTTGACCAATTTGCCTCAAATTTTGGTTGGGCATCTCGGTAGCACCACGGGAAATGTTTTACCTTGATTTAAAGATTTAAAAGTTGAGGCGGTTGAATTTTAGAGGAAAAGTTTAGTTTCAAATAACACATTCGTACGTCCTCAATAGTGCGTCCATTTGAGTAAAGTTTGTTCACATCAGGACGCACAAAGGGTCTGCACTTTTAATGTTCAATTTTTGCAACTTACATTTATCTTGTAAAGCTGAAGTGTGTACAATATGTCCTATGATGCTATTCAGGTATAAGGATGTATGTGTCTCACAGTCACTTCTCTTCAAACTTTAAGTCATGTTCCATTTAAAGAGATGTCTGATACACAACAAGTGATGTTCATTCAGTTAGTTTTTGTCTAGTGTAAAAAAAGCATATGTTTTCAAAATTGTTTTTCTGAACAAGAAAAAAATTACCCAAAAACAATCCCAAAATGATGCAAAAACTAACCTGTTACAATGATCGATGGGTCATTTTTTTGTCTAGTGTAAGAAAAGCATATGTTTTCAAAATTGTATTTCTGAACAAGAAAAAAATTACCCAAAAACAATCCCAAAATGATGCAAAAATTAACTTGTTACAATGATCGATTTTGTATCTTTTTTTTAAAGGGACAGACCGGCAATGTAAGGTAGTTAATTTGAGTATGCAGAGTTGTGGACAAATTCTTTAGGATTCATTTGTGACATATAACACTTTTAAAGATCTGTAAATTCTGAGTTTGAACGCAAAGTCGACGTTCAAAATCGTACATTTGGGTGGATAAATTTTCAGAATGGTAAACTAATTAGATGTTTAGGAACAGGTTGAGAAAATAAAAATTAACTCTTTTCATCGAAAATATGATCTTATTCAATTATTAGATTCCATAATCTCTCTTTAATCACAAAGATTTTCCGCAGATTTTCTGGAATTTTATTAAAAAAGACGACATTTGAAGAATTTGAAGAAATCTGCTAACAAATTCCTAGAAACAAAGAAATTCAATATAATGATGATAAAGGGAATAATTAATTCTAACTTCGATTTATTAACAATTTTTGTTTACAATAGATTTTTACTATATGTTTTCGTCGTCGTTAATTAGTAATTTAAAAAAAAACGATTCTGAAAACGTACCCACCCTAATTCATGACTTTGAATGTCGACTTTGCGCTCAAACTCAGTAATCGTGGAAACGTTTCATGCGTCTCCAATGAATCCAAAAGAATTTGTCCACAACACTGATGCGCTTTCGTAGATAAAAGGTAATTTTAAAAAATCAATCTTTAAATTGATTAACATGATTATGTCAATCAAATTAAGCTTTATGGGTACCATTGTTAATCGAAAATACCACTCTTTTTTAAAGTTACTTGAAATTACCTATAAAAGCTAACACGCATAACATAAAAACGTTCAAATAAAAATAGTCATTTTGAATTTAGCCTACAGAGTTTTATTGATTGTAAATCAATAATTGAAATGGCATATAACCCTTTCTGTAAACACTCACTTTAATTAAATGAAGTGAAGTGAAGTTAACCTTGAGGCGGCTTGGTGAAAACCGTCAGTTTTTAATTTATTTTAATAAACAGAATTCAAAAGATAACAAAACTTTTTTTGTTTAAAACCTTCTTTAAACTTTCTATGCATATTCTTCGATTTTTCTTCTTTTGATCAGTTTTCAATGCCAGTTTTACGAAAGATTCTTGATAAAAAAAGCTCTTTAGATATTTCTATTGTTGGATCAGAAAAAAATCAGTTTTAATAGTTTCATCATAAAAATTTTTTTAAAGTCTGAACTTAATTGATAAATTGTGCTCGACCACTTAAAGGTCTTGGCAATTTTTCTTTATTTTGGCAAATCAAAATAGACAATGTAATTCAATACTTTCAAATATTAAGTTAATAGGATCTCAAAAATCTTATAAAATCTCATTTAATCTAATAAAATGTTGATGAACAGTTTTTAATGTATTTTTGATGAACTAAGCGTGAATTGTTTAAGAACCCATTTTTTAGATTCATGATTATATAATACGAGTAAAAATCATAAACATCTGTGCTGTAAAGAATCTGCTAGAACTATAATAAAAGCTTTAGTTAAATGCTTTACATTTTTTATATGAATCTTATAAGACAGCGATACATTGAAACAGAATTTGTTTAACTCTACGCCCACTCGGAAGTACTAAAAGAATTGTGCCAAACAATTATTTCATTTTCTTTCGCTTTAATGAATCTGATATAAGGTTGAGAAATATAATAAACTTTGAAAGAATCTAATAAAACGTTGCTAGAATCTAATAAACTTTGATAGAATCTAATAAAACGTTGCTAGAATCTAATAAACTTTGATAGAATCTAATAAAACGTTGTTAGAATCTAATAAACTTTGATAGAATCCGTTAAAACGTTGCTAGAATCTAATAAAATTTGATAGAATCTATTAAAACGTTGCTAGAATCTAATAAACTTTGATAGAATCTGTTAAAACGTTGATAGAATCTAATAAACTTTTTTAAAATCTAATAAAACGCGTTGCTAGAATCTAATAAACTTTGATAGAAACTAATAAAACGGTGATAGAATCTAATAAACTTTGATAAAATCTAATAAAACGTTGCTAGAATCTAATAAATTTTGATAGAATCTGTTAAAACGTTGGTAGAACCTTTATAATAAAATCTGATATAACGTGGATAGAAGCTATTAAACTTTGATAGAATCTAATAAAACGGTGATAGAATCTAATAAACCTTGATAGAATCTGTTAAAACGGTGCTAGAATCTAATAAAACGATGATAGAATCTAATAAACATTGATAGCATCTAATATAACGGTGGTGGAATAGATTAAACTTTGGCAGAATCTAATAAAAGGTTGATCTATTGAGAGGTAATAGAATCTTAAACTTTTAAGAATCGCTTAAAATCAAGGTTGCACTTACATGATCAATCTTTGAAGAATCATTTTTCATTCTAATCAGCACAAAGAAAAAACTTTCTGCAGTAAAAATGCATTGATTAATCAATAATTTTAAAATACTCTTTTTTGTTCAGAAAACCATGTCACGTAATAAGCTGATTTCCAAGCTACTGATATTTTTAAGGACATCATATACTTCAAACAAAGAGAATAGAATATATATTAGAGTGGAATTTAGACAATCCCTCGGTTTAAATTTTTTCAGTCCCTTTCAGCCTGAAAGTGATTTCAAAGTGTACAAATTATGTAAATGTTCATAAATTATATGCAGTAGAGTACATTAATACAGCATGTTCCCTAGACTATCCATTTCAATTTTGAATTGTTTAAAGCTGTTAATTAAACTTTGTAATGAATTAGGTGAACAAAAAACATCATTTGATTTATAGTTATAACGGAAAATCATCGTTTGTAAACTGAAATGCATAGAATCTGTGTGAAATGATCATTGGTCAATTATGAAACCAGCCTAATTCATAATTTGGTTTTCTTTTAATATTAATTTTAGATTTTCTATAAAATGATATTCCAGGACCCAAAAGGTTATTTAGCGCAAATAAAGTACACCTGCAGTATGGAAACAGTACAAAAAAATGGCCGTTTTACACCTTTTCTAGTAAATTCCACTCTAACATATATTCTATTCTCTTTGACTTTAAACTTAAACTTCGTCTTCCCTATTCCACAGTTTTATGGGTTCCACTGTGTTCTCCACTTCATGAAGGCAGAATTACAAAATACTTTCTAATTTCATTGAAATAGTGTTAACCAGGGTATGACAAGGCCGGCGTGCATGAAAACTATTCTTAAACTTTAAAGCGGTGATGAAGCACATTCAATAAGTCTTGTAATTGTTTAAACAGATTTCACTCCATGTTTATGTTTTTCACTTTCATTTCTTTTGTTTTTCTTTTTGTTTTAATAATGCTATAATTTTTATAACATTTTTTAACTTATTTTATACTATAGCTTTCCCTGGAAACTAAATTTTGCTATAAAAGCCGATCTTATCAACTTAAACTTTTAAACCAAGCTTAGAACATTCCCGTGGTTCGACGAGTTCCTTAATAAAAATTTATACTTTATATATATATATACAAGCTAAATTCCCCCGAGCTGCCCGAGTAACTCATAGTTAATACAGCCGTTTACTCGTACTTGGCCATAAATTAGGATTTATCGGGAAACTAGAATTTTCCTTTAAAAGTCGAATTAAGAATCACAAAACTAAGAACATTCCCGTGGTTCTACCGAGTTCCCAAATCAAAATTTGAGGCAAATCGGTCAAGGGGTTTATGAGTTATGATCAGACATACAAACAAACAAAGAGAGATTACTTCTTTTTATTTGTTTATATTGGGTAAATTCCACTTTTACAATCAAAAACGTAAATCAAAAAGTGCATTTTGAAAACATAAAACACATAAACATCTTATTTTATTATTAAATTTTGAAAAGGATCAGGTTGACCGGTTGACCTCTCCAACTCTTAAGCCNCCCCCCCGCTACCCTTACACTCCCATTTCTACCCCCCTCTCTTTACCTTAAGTTCTTCTCTTGAATTCCCGAGTTCCTTCCATGTAGGAAAATTCCTGTTTAGATCCACACCATTCACATTCTCTCTTTGTTCTCTTTCAAACCCATCAGGGTTCATGGTAGGTACAAGATGGACCTAGATATTAGGGTTCATAGTAGGTACAAGATGGATCTAAATATTAGGGTTCATGGTAGGTACAAGATGGATCTAGATATTAGGGTTCATGGTAGGTACAAGATGGACCTAGATATTAGGGTTCATGGTAGGTACAAGATGGACCTAGATATCAGGGTTCATGGTAGGTACAAGATGGATCTAGATATTAGGGTTCATGGTAGGTACAAGATGGACCTAGATATTAGGGTTCATGGTAGGTACAAGATGGACCTAGATATTAGGGTTCATGGTAGGTACAAGATGGATCTAGATATTAGGGTTCATGGTAGGTACAAGATGGACCTAGATATTAGGGTTCATGGTAGGTACAAGATGGACCTAGATATCAGGGTTCATGGTAGGTACAAGATGGATCTAAATATTAAGGTTCATGGTAGGTACAAGATGGATCTAGATATTAGGGTTCATGGTAGGTACAAGATGGACCTAGATATCAGGGTTCATGGTAGGTACAAGATGGACCTAGATATTAGGGTTCATAGTAGGTACAAGATGGACCTAGATATTAGGGTTCATGGTAGGTACAAGATGGATCTTGATATTAAGGTTCATGGTAGGCACAAGATGGATCTAGATATTAGGGTTCATGGTAGGTACAAGATGGATCTAGATATTAGGGTTCATGGTAGGTACAAGGCAGACCTAAATCATAATTAGAATATACATCACATCAAAGTAAGGTTCACTTTAAAGTAAAATGTTTTCAATTTGAACTCCTCTCATCGAAGAGATATTGAGAAAAACAAAAATATTGTGAATAGAAAGCCTGTAACACAAATTTGCTGATCCCTATATCTTTAGAACCTCAAGGTGTAAACTTGTGGTATTTTAAATTTACATTATTTACGACATTGGGTTGCAAAGATAAAATCTGTTATATAATTCTAATCTGTTGTATAACTCTAATCTGTTATATAACTCTAATCTGTTACATAACTCTAATTTGTTATATAACTCTTATTCGTTATTCGTTATAAGGAACAAAATATAATAGTTTGTTCTAACAATTAAATGAATTATTAAAAGTAAAAACTGTTGTGTTCTGAATCTCAAGAATTTATTTAATTCCTCTTTGATATCCCGTGGTGGTCATTTTCTGCATTAAAAATTTAATTTGAGGGATTTATCCGCAAATTTAAAGTTGCCCACATTGGATATTGAGATAAAACTTTCAAGATTAACGAAACTTTACAATAAAGTTCCAACTTTAAATAAAATTGAAAATTAATAAAAATACCTCAACAGTGTTCAACAGTTTAGTTATTCTCTCATCCTCACCATACCTAAAATTATAATTATTACCATTTTAACAAATTTAAAATCGAAATTTTTGGAGGCAACCTTTTAAAGCAATTGAGTCTTTGACACAAACTCTGATGTTCTAATCCCTGTATCTTTGGAACCTATGATATTTCAAACTTTTATTATTTGATCTAACAAAAGTCACATTTTGAAATGTCAAAGGTCTACGAGGCGTAAGGCCTGGGTTCGTATGTGAGGTTCTAAAAAAATGACCAGATTGGTTTAGCCGTTTATATTCAGCCTAATTAAAGGGTACCCACAAAGAATGAGACTACTAGACGATTGTTTTAGTCTGTTTCCTTGCACTGTAGGCCAAAACTGGTTTATTTCTGGGATTTATTGTTAAGTATGGACTAAATATCGCTAACATTGATAGCTCAAGATCGTGCCAAGTATTTGGCATTGATAGTGTATGAGATGTCCGGTTTGACATTAATAGCTCAAGAGATCGTGTTTGGTTTGACATTGATAGTAAAGTGAGATTGAGTTGTACCTGGATAGATATGGGTTTGAGAAACCCTTATGGAGTAGGAAATTTTCTACAAGTAAACTATCAAAAATGAAATGGAGAAACCAAAAATCAAGCTACAATGCGTCATATTTCTAAATTTTGGGTCGTCTTTACTTTATCATCCTTTGTGGGTAACCCTTTAGCTAAATCTTAAACTTACATGTTAACCAATTGAACAGCGAGGCCAAGAAGTAGTTCTCTTCCAACTGCCTCATTTCCATGCATGTTTCCAATATACTTCACCATCGGCTTTAACAGAGGTCGTTCTGATAAACTTCCTGGTCCTCCTAAACCAGGAAATATCTATATAATAATTGAGATCTTCGCTCATATATGTCATTTATATGTTAGCTATAGCTGACCAAATTGGTTGACTTTTTTTGAGGGAGTACCCCCCAATACCCTTATTTGAGGGAGTACCCCCCAATACCCTTATTTGAGGGAGTACCCCCAAATACCCTTATTTGAGGGAGTACCCCCAAATACCCTTATTTGAGGGAGTACCCCCCAATACCCTTATTTGAGGGAGTACCCCCAAATACCCTTATTTGAGGGAGTACCCCCCAATACCTTTATTACCCCCAAGTGTTTGATTCAGAATGTTACGCATTAAGGGTATCCGGGAGAAACATAGGCTAAACAAATTACAATCTTTTTCTTAAAATTTTTCGGGCAACGCCGGGCACTTTTGTTAGTATTTTAGCTAAATATATTGAAAAAGTGTAAAATAAACATAATTTGTCAAACGACTTGACTCAGAACATAATTGGAAAAACGGTTTGAAACAAACATAATTGGACAAATTGAACGGTTTGAAACAAACATAATTGGACAAATTAAACGGTTTGAAACAAACATAATTGGAAAAACGGTTTGAAACAAACATAATTGGACAAATTAAACGGTTTGAAACAAACATAATTGGACAAATTAAACGGTTTGAAACAGACTTAATTGGACAAATTAAACGGTTTGAAACAGAACATAATTGGACAAATTAAAAGGTTTGAAACAAACATAATTGGACAAATTGAACGGTTTGAAGCAAACATAACATAATTGGACATAAACAAACATTAAACGAAATTACGTCTCCAAGATTTGAATCTTAAAGAAAAGGTTGAAGGATTTGACCTGATATTTTGATAGCTTCTATTTCTCTTCCCTCCACGCTGCGTCCGATCCTATATTTCTCAGCAAAATCTGCTGTAGCAAGTGTGGTCAAGATATCCTAGAGTTAAATCTAATTTTGTATTTTGTTTTATTCTTTTTAAATTTGAATGTAAAACACTGATTTTCTAATCTCCATATCTTTTTAACCCGATGTCGCTATAGACCTTTGATATTTTTGGATTAAACAGTTTATTTTTGAAATATCAAAGGTTTTCAACTTAAGGTTGCAAAGATACAGGGATTAGAAAATATGAGTTTGTGGCAAAAATTCAGTCCCTTTGTATGTGAAAAACTGAACTCTTATCACATACTCTGAATTTCTAATTCCCATTTCTTTGCAACCTGATGTTGTAAACCTTTGATATTTTAAACTATGAATTATGTTAGATTTAACAGTTTACATTTAAAATATCAAAGGTTTACAACATCAGGTTGCAAAGTTATACGGAGTCTAAGATTATGGAGATAAGTGTAATTTTCTGAAGCGTGATAATCTGTTTTGCACTGCACCATTAAGATTAGTGAACTTAATTCAAAAGATCTCTGAAACCTCTTTTACCATAATTAAGTTCAAAGACTGACTTTTAGGCTTTATTTCAAAATTTATAAAATATGATAGGAACTTGGTACGGACAAATCTACCATGGATACTGTTTATACCTATAGTTGGTTGTGGTTGTGGTGTTCGGATAGTAGAACCTTATCTAGAATGGAATTATACCTGGAACTGGTTGTGGTTGTGGTAATTAGATAATGGAACTTTATCCGGGGGTAGGACGAGTAAGGACATGGTAGGGACGGATCTACCATGTATCTTTATTATACCTGGAGTTGGTTGTGGTTGTTGTAATTGGATAATGGAACTTTATCCGGGGGTAGGAAGGGTAGGGACATGGTTGGGGTGGATCCACCATGTATCCTGTTTATACCTGGAGTTGGTTGTGGTTGTGGTAATTGGATAATCGAACTTTATCCCGGGGTAGGACGGGTAGGGACTTGGTAGGGGTGGATCTACCATGTATCCTGATTATACCTGGAGCTGGTTGTGGTTGTGGTAATCGGATAATATAACTTTATCCGGGGGTAGGAAGGGTAGGGATGGATCAACAGAATATCCTAACAAAATAAAAATTAAATTACAGTGATAACCAGAAAACTCTGGAAAAGTAAATGACTTTGACATTTAAGTTTTGACTTTACAAAGTTCAATAACCATGAAACTGTAGCAGCAATAATTCTAAATGAATTAAATGAAAGTAAAGAATTATGAGGAAAATACGGGAACAGGAAAACCGGAATCCAGGAACCAGTCAGTCTCCTTCCTCAAAGACAAGAACATATATTCCTGGATATTAAAATATGTTTATTTACCTATTTAGAATAAAGCACATATACTTGTTCTTACTCTATAAAACACAGCAATTGGGCAGTGTAAACAGACCCATTTCACAAAAAAGTAATTTTATAAGTGTCTGGTAAAATATTTGCTTTGTAACGCCATCAAATACACTTATGTCGTCTTCCATTGTTTTCTGGTTAACACTGTAGAAAAATTCTAAAATTGTTGTGTTGTACCAAACAGCATGTCATTAATCTTACTATGAAGGGGGTCAATTATTTGTTGCACTGTACCGTATTGATTTATAAAGTCTATATATATACTTTGCTTGTCTGTTTGGGTGTTTATTTTTGTCGGTTGGGTTTTAACCGATAAATTTCAATACGGCTGAACCGAGCTGGCCAACATTTTTTGTTGGACCTCACATGATCACAAGGAAGATTTATGGATGGTTAGAGCTGAAAAAAACTTTGACTTAAATCTTGATTTTTCAAAATTCACGAAAAAACGATAACAGAGCACATTATAAAATCTTAAGATGGGCGCGAAGCACCCAGAGGCCGAATTTAAAGAACTTGAGCAGCGGCTTAAATTTGAGCCGCAGCTCAAATATGGTTGGTTCCACTTAAAATTGTATTACATTTTTCAAAATTTAAGCCGACGCTTAATTGAAACTGGTTTTTGAGGAATTTGAGACGCGGCTTAAGTTCATTAAATTCGGACAGTGCATAAGCCTATTATTGATCTATAGCTAGCTGTCTAGTTTTAAATGAACCGAAGTTAAATAGTGGCATACTTAAATTCCATATTGTCCTTCATTTTTGTTGCAAAACACCTGTATGTGAGAGAATCATATAGCAAGGATGTTTTTCTATTTAAGGGACTGTAAACGTAATTTCAAGTGACCCTCCAGGGGCAAAGATAGCAATTTAAAACGGTATCCTTGACACCTTCATCTGATCAAAAATGTGAAAGGTAACTTCGTTTTGCTGACTTCAAAAGTGTTTCCTTCAATTCACTCTTGTAGAGAAACCACGAATGAAATAAACAGTTAAAATGAAGAAAAACATGGATATCTAATTCATACTTGATCAGACAAAGCTTTCAAAGGAACCGTTAATTGTTAATCGGACATTGACATTTTTGCATTGAGGGTCATTTGAAATTACACTGACAGTTTCGTTAAGATACTGAAAACACGGGCAGCCGTTATAGTACATTTGAATTTCCGAGCCGGGTCAACCTTTCCAGTCAAAGTTTGTACTGTACCTAGCTCTATGAACAGGACTAGCCCGTGCAACAAGATTGATGCGGTCAGACTTTATGCTTCATATAGCAGGTTGAATTTACTTTTACCAAAGGGGCAGATTTGTGTGAAACCCCATTGAAAATAGCATGTTTCCCACCTTGATTCCATTTGTGTGTTTTGTTTGCCCTTCACCCAACTTGTGCCCCACCAAGATAGAATTCATGACCGAGGACAATAAATAAAAGGTTTTTTGTTTATCAAACCAGATACAGAATTACCCACAAAAGATGACACTCCATAGACGACTGTAAGGAATATTTACTGTCAGGTCCTTCCAATATGATTCTCTGGAACTAAAAATTTGTGTCTTTCTTTTTAAAATCATTAAAAAGGCTATCTTTCATACAGAAGACTTGATCCAACCCTGAAATCGTCATATTAAATGAGTTTCAGGTCGTCTTTAAGTCTCATCCTTTGTGGGTAACCCTGGGTACACACTGAAAAGAAAAAGCCTTTTGTACAATATGCAGATGAGAAAAATTGAATTATTTTTTGGAAAAACTGAAAATCGAGCCTTTTATATTTCTTGAATTATAAACACTATTGCCTAAAAAGGATTTTTCATTGGTTTAAAATCATACGCAAAAATGTTTAGAAATTTTGATTTTTCCGCCTAGTATCTCTCTTTTAACGAAATTTCAAAAATTGGACTTTATAGATTTTCTCTGTCTAAGTGAAAAAATGTATCTAACTATTGATAAACCAAACTGAATGATCAACAGAACGAGGGAGGGGGTGCAGAGGCGCCATGATCCCCGCAAAAATGATCTCCGAACCTCAGGATTTGCAGAATTACCTCCCGGCCCCGCAAAACTGGTCTCCCAGCCTCAGTGACGTCACCAAGCCTCCCGCCATTCTGTCTCCACGCCCCGCATTTTGGCTCCAATAAAAAAATATTTGGCTTTTATTTCCACCAAGAACCTTTTTTAAAAAAATTCTCAACATGATGAAATAGTTCAGAATGATACATTAACATTTTGTATTTAAAAGTGAATTTTAATTGAGATTAAAGGCTTGTATTTTGTTTTTCTAAATTTCACAAATTCCTTAAATTGTGCAGAACTATTGCAGTTTTCTATAAAGATAGAAAAATGTTCTATTATTTATGTGGCGGCTATGAAAGTCGTCTTTCCTTGAAGAACTTCTCGCGGCAAGGAGAAGAATAGGGGAGTTGCTAGAAGCCACGAGATATATATATATATTTTTAACTTTGTAACTTTATATTTAAAATATAGTTAGTCGTTATCTAAATCCTCGTCTTATTGCTATCCGCCAAAACATCTTTTATACATATGACCTGAGTTCGTTTCCCTTTTATTTATTTGACGCCAATTTTCTTGACGCCAATTCTTACAAAGATTGTTTGTTTATTTTCTTGTAATTTGTAAACATTTTTTATCTGTGTGAGGTTTAGAGCATCAATAACACCGAATTTTAAACAATTTATTATGATACACTAAACTTGCATTCATCAATTCAGTTGATAAAATAACATTAGACTTATTATCCCCTAAAATATATATCAAACCCATTCAAAAGCTAAATCAATGATAAAAAGATGGCAACGGCCAAACATAAGAATGAAAAAAATCTAACAGCACTATTATTTTTTCTGAACATTTTTTAAAAAATCTCTTTTTTAAATAACTCGGCGGTCCCCTTTACAGTAAATGATTTTTTCTTTAACTGTTGTAGTCGACCATTTGAAATAATTTTCAAATTTTGGCGGATTTTTTTATGTATTGGCCCATGTTTAAAAATAAAATCCACCTTTTTTCCGAGATTTTTTTTACCGATTTTTGTTCCATTAACCTTCCCTATGGATATGTGAGGTCCCATACAAAATTTGGGCTTGATCGGTTCAGCCGTTTTGACATTTTATTAAAAAAGAATTATACTATAAACATGTTCTTTTTGTTTACATTTTAAAACAAAGAAGAAAAATTTTTGCGGATTTAAAAGAAAAAAATTCGCGGGTTTTCAAGAATTTAATTTTTTTTACAATATTAAAAACCTTTAAAACACATTTTTTTAAATTTTTAACATTCATAAACCTTCCCTGTGGTCACGTGATGTCCCTCAAAAAATTTGGGCCCGATCGGTTCGGCCGTTTTCACGTTTATTGGATACAAACGAACAAACAGACACCCAAACACCCAGACAAGCCAAATTTATATATATTGATATCTATTTCTATCCCACAATTTGAAGATTAACGTCATTGGTTTATTGTTCCAATTTCGCATCTTCTTCAAGGAACTATAAATACCAACAATAAACATATTATCTTCAAGAATTTAAGATATTTTTATATTGGTCTAACTAGAATCTATTTAATGGGACTATATGACGTAGTTTCAGTGATCCTCTATTAATATACAGGGACATGGGTCTCATTCATTCACAACCGTATTCTGTCAAGAATAAAGATTTATCCTAGTTTTCCAATCTGAAAATTTATCATTCCAATTTATGGTTTCCCAAAAAAGTGCTTGATGAAGGATGATGAATGCAGCAGAGACGATGTAGGAAATTTTCAGGATGAGTCACTTCTCAAAATAGGAAAAAGACCATATCTTCCTCTATTTTGCTATTGAAAGATGTTGAAAAAGTAAAGTTGTGATTGAGACATGCATGAACCAGTGAACACTCTACAAACGGAGGATGTAAAGTCCCCTTATAGAGTTGAAAACTTTAAAAAGTATATTTTTCTAATGTAAATTGTTTTTGTTGCTTATTTTTCAAGATATAATTATAATTATACAAACCTGATATTCCGAGTAAAAATGTTGATATGAAAAACAACTTCATTCTTTCTGCAAATATCCATAATTAACTTTTTCCTGGGGGTTATTTGAAGGTTAGATGAGTATTAAATATTTTATGTGCCAAACGAAAGAAAACTTAAATTTTCAAAACACTATCCATGCAGCCAGAAATTTAATTTGAGATTACAATTGAAGGAAACAGGTTTAAAGCTGACAAATTTCTTTTTCTATGATCCTTTCATTTCATAATATTTTTAAACTAATTTTGAATTTCTTGGTTTTAAACTAATTTTAGTTCCACTCCAAATATAACTTTTTAATGGGTTGGGAAGTAGTATTTATACCGATATAAATAGGTCAAAATATCTTAAATTCGTACTGTATCACTCCCCCACCCCCCTCCGAACATATTAAACCTCCCCCACTCTCTTCCTTCCCCAATCATCCACTGTATCCTCACTCCTTCCCCCTTCAAGCTTCAACCAACCCATCCCACTGTTCACATTTTTATTCGAAACACTCCCTCCCTTCCTCATTCTAATTAAAATTGTGGACCTCCCCCTCTCCTAAGCTTCAACATACCCCCCCTTTATCTTGATATGGTTGCTCTTCACTCTAGAGTATCCCTGCTCCGACTACCAGCTCAAACCATCCTTATATCATGTAGATACTAGATACACGACCTATATAGTTAGCATAGGTTTCTCTACAGGTTATCCTACAGGGTGTCCCGATAGTTAGCCTAGGCTTCTCTACAGGTTATCCTTTAGGGTGTCCCGATAAACATCTTTGTTTGGAATTATAACGTTAACTACATAGTAACAATTAACATATGAAATTCCAAAACGAGGTCTGCTATTTTTGCATCTTCAAATTGACGGAGATATATATACAATTAGGCAATTATGCAAACTACATTTTGAAAAGTATTCAGTCTTGTATGTCATTTGTCCACTAGCGGTCATCAAAGACGATTTTTGATTCGTCTCTTAGCTCCAATTTTTTTGTGACCCCTGGGACTAACCATAAATAATATCCTGGTCAGAGAAAACATAAATGAATTATCTACATAATATAACCACGGAAGATCAAGTATTTGAAAACAAACTAAATACTAATTTGTCTCCAGTGCAGGATAAAGTCCGAAATCAATAAAATACTCGCTGGGAAAAATTAAATGTTTTATTGGTACTTTTTATGTGGCTATAGAAGCGGATCATAATAAACTCTTTCTGAACCAAATCCTTTGATTGAAATGATTTTTTTATTTGTAGAAAACAGACTTTTTTATCCTTCATGGAAACAAATATATTTCTCACTCTCAAATATAAGAGTAAATATAAAAACTGTAAGAGTTCAAGGTTGCAAGCAAGTCATACCAGTAATTGTTGGTTTCCTCTAGTTCTGGTGTAAACCTGTAAACGGAGTGATAATGAATCTTTGAAGGAAATCTAATGAATATGTGATAACAAATGATAAGATTATATTAAACCAAGAAAGATACACCAGGAACGAATATAAGGAAATGCAGATAGGTTTCTGAACTAACTACAGCTGGTTTAAACCCTAAATCTTTGATTCAAATCTTCTTGAATCTTTAACTTTGAATTGGTGATTCAAAATTTGAAGTAGTTTAGAGACCTCTCTCCAATTCAATCGGTTCTAGGAACTCCAAAACGCTTAATGTACACTGAAACCCTTAATAACGAATACACCGGAAGAATTTTTCAAATTTATCTAGACAATTTTTTAACGAGTTTTATACTGTATTACGTAAATTTCAGTATTTGCGAAAATAAATAAATAGCCATGAATATGCTGGAACAGTTTTAAAGAGTTCCATATAATCATTTAATTAAAAAACTAAGCATCTGCAACATTCCATTTTCAGAAAGTGAAGAATACGACATTTGATAAATTCTTTCGATGTATTCGTTATTAAGGGTTTCACTGTACAAAAAGTTTATTGCATTTTCTAGGATGATTATAAACAAATTTCATATAGAGTTTGTTTACAATCATTTTAGTAACTGCAGTACGCATCATTTGTCCACAAAGCATTGAAGATTCCGTTTATATTTTCCTTGAATTGAATAATCTAGAGTCCTTGCTTAGACATATAAAAGCAAACAGCTTTAGAGGTTATGAGGCCTTTGAGAGGTGCCGGGGTTGTTAAGGGGTTCAGCCTTTTAGAAGTTTTGAAGAAACTTAGAGATCAAAAGCTTAGAAAAGGAGTGAAAGCTACATAATTATTTTTAAGATATTTCCAATTGCTTCATTAGCAAAAAAACATTATTATTTAGATATAGATTGTCTAGTGCCCACATAACTCTAGTTTGTGTCACTTTCTATTATGTAATAACCTTATAAAAAATATTTTGGGTAAAAAAGATTTAATTTAATTTATCTGAAATTTCTTTGACCCTGACAAGTGTAGTAAAACAATAGAATGTTAACTAACATAAAAGAGCCGTTCATTTTCATTACGTGAAATGAAACCAACATTTATTTATCCACTAAAATGAACTTTTTTTCTGTGACCAGCCAACGTTCCGCTTAAAGTGAACAATCTTCTCTGTGACCAATGACCAGCCAACGCTCAGTTATCTGCTAAAATGAACTATTTTGAACAAGTGAGGATTTACAATTATAAATAATAAAGTACAGTTTGCCAGGCGGAGCTAGGGAGGAATCAATGCTGAAGAAAGGAGTAACCTCCATGTATCAAAGGCCATCTTGTTTGTATTGTTGTAGTGTAAATATAGATTTGTGTGCAAATATGTTTTGTTATTCCACCCAATCTGGGACTTTTACTTTCAGACCTTTTTCTTCTCTTTGACCAGTCAACGTTTGGTTATCCGCTAAAAATGGACAATCTTCACTGTGATCGGCCAACCTTCTTTTATCCGCTAAAAATTAACAGTCTTCATTGTAATAACTGGCCAGCCAACGCTCAGTTATTAGAAAATTTGAAATCTTATCAGTGACCAGCCAATGTTCTATTATCCGCTAAAAATGAACGATCTTCTCTGTTGCCAGCCAACGTAAATTTATCCGCTAAAAATTAATTACCTTTTCTGAAACCAGTAAACGTTCAGTTATCCGATAAAAATGAACGATCTTCTCTGCGACCAGCCAATATTCAGTTATCCGATAAAAATGAACGATCTTCTCTGCGACCAGCCAATGTTCAGTTATCCGATAAAAATGAACGATATTCTCTGCGACCAGCCAATGTTCAGTTATCTGCTTAAAAATGAACGATCTTCTCTATGTCCAGCCAACAGTCAGTTATTCACTAAAAATGAACAATATTCTCATGTGACCAGCCAATGTTCATTTATCTTCTAAAAATGAACGATCTTCTCTGTTAACAGCCAACATTTTTTTATCCGATAAAAATGAACAATCTTCTCTGTGACCAACCAATGCTCAGTTATACGCTAAAAATGAACGATCTTCTCTGTCACCAGCCATAATGCTCATGGTTATCTGCTAAAATTGAATGATCGTCTCTGTGACCATTTGAATTAAGTTAAGTTAACTTTAAAATGATCTAATGTCGCCAACCCCCCATCCCCCCCCTACTTTACCTTCAAATATATTTCTCTGGAAAATTCCACGTTGAACTGAGAAAAATCTTTGCCTTTACTCTAGACTTTATGCACCTGGTTACCATGACAGTAGTTCTAAGGGTCCGGATCCGTCCTATACAAAATGGATCCGGATCCGTCCTGTACAAAATGGATCCGGATCCGTCATGTACAAAATGGATCTGGATCCGTCATGTACAAAATGGATCCGGGACCACATAAGTATTTCTTCAAATTTTGATGATTCTTTCCCGAAAACCAACCAATCTTTTATGCAGAACATTGATTAACCAATTAATGAAAGTTTTAATTATAATTAATTTGGTTGTCACTAAAATGTTTGAGAGAAAGTTTTTTCCGCAATGTTTGATTACAGTTTAACTTTTGCAGATTCAACAGATCTATAGAAGGGAAAAATTAGTGCATTCATTCCCATCTTAATTGTTTGTGCATTCATTCCCATCTTAATTGTTTGTACATTCATTCCCATCTTAATTGTTTGTGCATTCATTCCCATTTTAATTGTTTGTGCATTCATTCCCCCTTAATTGTTTGTGCATTCAGCATTCATTCCCATCTTAATTGTTTGTGCATTCATTCTCATCTTAATTGTTTGTGCATTCATTCCCATCTTAATTGTTTGTGCATTCATTCCCATTTTAATTGTTTGTGCATTCATTCCCCCTTAATTGTTTGTGCATTCAAATTCCCATCTTAATGGTTTGTGCATTCATCCTCATTTTAATTGTTTGTGCATTCATTCCCCCTTAATTGTTTGTGCATTCAAATTCCCATCTTAATTGTTTGTGCATTCATTCCCATCTTAATTATTTGTGCATTCATTCCCATCTTAATTGTTTAAATTATAAACATATAAAATACCAATCTTCTATATTCATATCTAAATATAGATTGTTGTCACCATGTGTACTAACTGAAGAGGAGGAATTTCTATTAATGAATATGAAAACTGAGAAGCTGCGCTGATGCTTTACATATAATTCTTCTCTATATAAGTTTATATACTTTATAAACATCAAAAGTTGAACCGATCGGGCCCAAATTTTTATGACCCCAACCTCAAAGGAAGAGTATATGACTGGCCGAAGTTTAAAAAATTAATGTTATTTATTTTTCTTCACTTTTATGAAAAATCTCGGAACTTCATAGTTTTACAATTACGAAGAAAAACTGCCATCTTGAGAGTTTAGACCGACGAGGTTATAGTGTATACTGTATATAGTGATGATGTACGCTAATCCCTAACTAATTGTATAAACCATGAACTAAACCGAAAGCGTTAAACGATCGTTTTTTGCTTCGTTTTTTTAATCGTTTTCAAAAACGATCTTTTTTAAAAAGACCCACTTGTTTTGAACTTTTAGAAAACTGCCCCCACCCCTCTATTTTCTTAATTGTGATACAAATCTATAACATTTGATACGTTTTTAGGAAAGCCCTTGGACTCTACTTCAATAATCAGCAACAAAAAATGACAAATTTGCAAAAATCCAAAAAAGAAAAATCTAGTAATTAAGCTAAACAAGTACATAAACAAAATTGCGTAAATTACAACAAATTATACATCTTTGAAAAGCCCTTAACCCAGCAAATTCAATTGTGCCAAAACATCTGCAAAATATTTAAAACCTAAATGTGTATTCAAGAATAAATGAAAATGTGCAAATTTCCCGTGAGTGTCCATAAAAGTTTCTTCCCATTCTGTCCAGCCTTTTGGCCGGCTATACGCAACATATATATTATGAATGTCAATTATTTTTTAAATAGATTAACGATTTTAAGTAGAAGAAAATATCTGATATCATCTGTTTTGTAAAATATTACCATTAACTTACCTGGATCTGATAGTTTTATACCAAGCAGTTGAATAATTTATTTATATGAATGATATTGCTACAAACTATTTGTGATTTGATTTTTTAAAATCCACTAAAATGTAATCGATAAATCTTCAAACTTTGTATAATTAAAAAGTTGAATACAAAATGTATAATTATCTATATATATATATATATTTATATTAAGATTTCTTTAACATAAAGGTATCGCAAGCATATTCAGGGTGTCCCAAAAAACATGTGAATTCAGTGACGAATTCGATATTGTCTTTTTAAATAATTCTTTGATTTAGTATAGTGATACCTACTGAGAAAGCTGTAATCTGTAAGAGTTTCGTCTGCTATGTGCTCATTTTGTTTGTATATGTTTTGACTGCATACGGTTGTACTTAGTAAAAAAAGAAAATTGCAGTATACAAAAAGAGTAAACTTGTCCGCCTTCACTGTTCATCAGTATAAACACATCTTTGCCGTCTTTTACCCTTTTCATAAAAAATACTTTAGCAGACATAATACTTTTATATCTTTAAATTTATTATTACAATGCTAATTCATAACAAAGACGATATCGAATTCGTCACTGAATTCCCATGTTTTTTGGGACACCCTGTACAATACAGTCTAAAATCTAAATGCATTAATGCGTAAATCAAATTTTTAAAAACTTTTTAGAATTGATAGTTTTTTACAAAGAAAGATATGAAAATTATTTTAAAAATATTTCATCTAAATATTTTAACACAGGAATTTGTCCAGGGCCCGGGGGACTTAATTTATTTTTCATTCCAAGAGGTAGTAGTAAGCAGTAGGTAGCAGCCAATGTGGGGGGGAGGGGGGCTGAAAACCCCCTGGAAACCCTTGATTGAATGCCACGTGCTTATTCAACTCATTTCAAAATATTCTTTTTTCGTCGTTTTTCACGCATTATGTTTTCTTTTCATGTGTGATCTCAGATTACCAAGTGTAGATGCACCATAGTTACAATGATCACAAGGAATTTTAACACCTTCATGCATTATTTTAATGTGTTTCTTCAGACTTCCTGCTTCAGTGGCAGCGTAATCACACTCCAAACAGGGATGCTTGATTCCTTCGTGTATGTTTTGAAAATGCCTTTTTAAATTACTGGCTGACGCAGCTGAATATCTACACTGATCACAGGGATATCTCAATCTTTCGTGTACAATTTCAATATGTTTCTTCAGATAGTCTAAATGAGACGCTGCAAATTCACAACGATCACATTGATATCTTATTCCTTCATGTTTACACTGAATATGAGATTTTAAATTATATGGAGTGTACGCAATATGTTCACAAAAAGCACAAGGATATGTCGTACCTTGATGATAGCTTACAATATGTCTCTTTAAACTGGATCCTGTTGTGGCAACATATTCACACTTATCACAGGGATATGTCACACCTTTGTGCTTATTGTCGACATGCTTTTTCAAACTTCCTGCTTCGGTTCCAGCATAGTCACACAAGTCACAAGGATACTTAATTCCTAGATGTATGCTCTCAACATGTTTTTTTAGATGTTGTTTGTAGGATGACACATAATCACATTCCGTGCAAGGAAATCTCGTTTCTTTCGATTTACTCTTCTTGAGTCTTTTTGATTGAGAGTGAAGGGGATCTTCTGCTTTAACAATTTCACCTGTAATCAAAGATGAATCTATTAAAAAATCTGAATAAAATAAGTATTAGTTATAATAAAAGATTTATATTCAAATAAACATGGGAATTTTGAGAAGACTATAAAGAAAGTCTTTTATTTTGAATAAATATCGTATATCTTATGAGCTTTCCAAAAAAAATAAAAACTAACTTTTTATCTTAAAAATAGACGGAGATTGTTGATAATTGCGAAATGTTTTTAATAACTTAAAATGTGGACAAATAATGGCAGACCACATTTTGGAAAATCCAAGACAACGAGTTTTCATTCGTAACTGGATAGCATGCTCTAACAGCCTTGTGGAAATATTAACCCTGATAAAAGGAAATAAAGAAAAAAATGAAGAGATCGGAAAACTGTTTTGGTAAATTGTGTTCAGCAATACCTTTGATATCTGGGCTTTCCTTTTTTACATCTTCTTGCTTTACATATACTGTAACTGTATCCTCTACAGTACATGCATCATCTGCCGTACATGTATCCTCTACAGTACATGTATCCTCTGCAGTACATGTATCCTCTGCATTACATGTATCCTCTACAGTACATGTATCCTCTGCAGTACATGAATCCTCTGCAGTACATGAATCCTCTGCAGTACGTGAACCCTCGGCAGTACACGAATCCTTTACAGTACATGTATCCTCTGCAGTACATGTATCCTCTACAGTACATGTATCCTCTGCAGTACGTGAACCCTCTGCAGTACACGAATCCTCTGCAGTAAATGCACAATATGTATGACTAGTTTCTTCCTTTATAATAATTTTCTCCTTCATTATATTTTCTGCCATTTTATCTGAAATGCAAAGATTTATTCAAGGTTTACAATTTTGATAATGTACATTATTACCCATAAAGGATAAGACTTCAGGGACAACTGTGTAGAATTTATGCTGCCTGCTTCCTTATATTACTCATTCACTGCTACAGTAAACTTGTTGCTTTTTTCCTAATCATTATAATATATATTAAGCCATAACAAGATTATATTCAAAGCAGAAAACTTAATTTAACCTTAAAATCATCAGATTTAAAGAGTTTTTAGGTCGTCTTTACAGTTTCATCCTTCGTGGGTAACTCTGTAAACACATTATGCTCTGATTAAATTATACTACAGTGAAATCTGCATAGGTCGTCTTTACAGTTTCATCCTTTGTGGGTAACCCTGTAAACACATTATGTTCTGATTAAATTATACTACAATGAAATCTGCATCATCATATAAATATGTAAATTTCTGTTGTCCGTCAGGTGTTGGTTTGTTTGTTTGTATCCAATAAACGTAAAATCGATCAGAACGATCGATTCAATGTTATTTGTGGGATGACAGTAAAATTTAAAAATGTTGCCTCCAATAAAATTTAATACAGATTTATTTTGTAAATCCGCCAACAAAAACGGGATAATCCGTACAATTGTGCTATGGAGATCAACGTTTAAGAGCTAAAAATAATAAAAGTAGGTAAATAATTTCTTTTAAAAAATCTAGTGATAGAAAGTTCAGCTTGATGTTGATATTGTTGGGAAACTATTTGGGTAAACATACATACAAACAGTCAACCTCCATTCCGTAGAAGCCATATCTGAGCCTCCTTCCAAAATAACAGTAAATACTTCTATCAAAATAAGGAAATAGACTTTGATATTTAAAGGTATGTTTTCTTTTGCCTGCTTTCGCTACAGCTTGCTAAGTTTAGAAATGAATATCACAGGTTAGAGGTAAAAAGTATCCATTGGAAAATAAATGCTGAATTCTGTTTTCTTTAATATCAATAAAAAAATTAAAACTAGTTTGGATCAATTACAGGGTTACCCAAAAAGGATGAGATTTCGGAAACGACTTTATGAAATTTATACTGTCTGTTTCATTAAGAAACATAAGAAAAGAAATCTGAAAAAGAGGTCCCGTTATGAACCCCCCAGACCGCCGGCAGGCATGGGAAGCACCGTCCCACACCTACTCTAACTGGACCTTTAAACCCACAACAATTAGCCCATTGTCAGAAGATAAAAAGGTGATACTATCCAGCCAGTGGCTCATCAACTAACTCCATTGGAAGGTTGGTATCAAACAACCCTTTAGGCGAAGAAAAGAGGTTACCCGAATTAAGCTGTTCCTGCCAAATCCATCCACCGCTCCAGCAGTAAGTTTATCTTTTCAGTCCTTTTCAGCAGCACTTCCTTTGAGACATTATCTCCCCCTAATATCCCAGTAAGGATTGCCGTGCTGCTCCGTGGCCTCCCTGACATAAGGGCTCCTAGCCCTGTTTTAGACCTCTCATAGGCTACTGCTTGACAGGATACAACAACGTGATGCTCCGAAAGGTGGTTAACTATCCCTTTACTTAGGCATAGCGGACACCATTTAGTGGCGGAGCCATGGATGTTTGGGCGTCGGTTTCCAAGCCCTGCATCCCCGGCTCTCAATCGGTTCAATACACCCCCTACCTTGCTATCACATACATGTGGCTGGAGTTTGAACCAGACTTGTGGGGTTGGCATACATTCATGATTCCCTACAACTTTAAACTTCTTTCTTTCCTTCCAAATCATTAAATTAGAAATTTAAAGACTACATTCATAGCAGGAGACTTTATTTAAACTTAGAATAGATTTAAGAGTATCAAGTCGTCTTTACAGTATTATTCTTTGTGGGTAACCCTACTTGGTATTTTTTTCGTTGTGCATTTTCCTTCTGTGTGATTTTAGATTCGAAACTGTTGTGAAAGCATACTGACATAGATCACATGGATATCTCACTCCTTCATGTTTATTTCTTATATGATTCTTTAAATGACCTGCTGTAATGGCAGCAAAGTTACACTGATCACAAGGATATCTCACTCCCTCATGTCTATGCTGAATATGTTTTTTCAGATTACTTAATGTAGAGCCCTCATAACTGCATTGAGCACAAGGAAATGTAATACCATTATGTTTACTGTCCGTATGCGTCTTCAAATGACATGCTAGGGTGGCAACATAATTACACTGATTACAAGGGTATCTAACACCCTCATGTTTACTTTCAATGTGCTTTCTCAAATGATCTAGTTGGGTGGCAGCATATTCACAATAGGTACAAGGAAATCTCAATCCTTCGTGTTTATTCCTAACATGTCTCCTCAGATGTCCAACTTGGGTCGCCACATAATCACATTGTTCACAATAAATGTATTTTTTATTGTCATGTTTAATCTTCTTAATTATCTTTGGTTCCAATTGAAGGGGATCTTCTTCATTATCCATGATTTCACCTAAAATATAAAAAATTCAAAAGTTTGGAATTCAAACTGACCTAATATTTCCCAAAAATATAAGCTAACTTAAATTAGCCAAGAAAAATAAATCATTAAAGTAATATTCAAGTTTCCTATCTTTTATAGTGTAGCATGTCCGTTTCACAACAATACCCGTATTAGCTTGACTGAATGAAATTTACGTCAATTGAATTTACTACTAAAGTTTCTTTATGCATGATCAAAAAAGCTAATCTACAATTCTTATTGGTTATCTGGGAATAGTTTTTAACAATTAGAACGGTGAAATCTGTAAAACTTGTAAATAATTAAAAATGTTTGATGACAAGTTGATAATTGAAAACACACTAAGACAATAAATAAAAATTATCTGTTAGAGCCATCTGATAAAAATTCATTTTTAACACCATACTTCAAAAATTACGTGAAATGATACTATTATTTAATTAAGTATATTGAGATTTTATTCAAAAAATCGAAAACAAGATTTTAAAACCTGAAGTCTCATTAAATTCAGTCTTTACATCTTCTTCCTTAATGTATACTGTGCATGTTTCCTCATCAGTTGAGATTTCTTTCTTGGTCGGAACCATTTCTTCTTTAACACTTTCTGCCATTCTCTCTGGAATTATTAATATTCAAACTTTAGAGTTGGTTGGAGCATTTTCTACGTTTGCTCCAATAAATTTTCCATGGTAATATAGGAAAAAAATGGAAATACAAATATTGCCAAAAAAACGCTTATTTTACCACCTTAAAAAATTTCTCTTAAAGCATAAAATTTCCTTGAAATTAAAACTGTAAAACCAAGGAAATCGGAAAATACTGGAAAATCTTCTCTTTAAACTTACAGAAAAATATTACAAAGAGAGAGAAAAATCATTTACCAAGTTGAATTACTATCAATCTCTTTCCATTGTCACTGTCATAGACATGATAGGTTGATACAGCACCCAAAAATATAGCGGTGGGTACAATTTGGATATACATACTAACAGATCCATGGACTAGGCATCAAATAAAAAAAATTGTAAATTTCTAGGAATTGGTATAAATTTTCTATAAGTCACTGATTATTCAGAAACTGGGATCTTTTCAATATTCTAGTATTTAAGAGATGGTTTACAAATTTTGTGAATGATTGTTGTAATAAAAAGTGAGATCCATAAAGCTGTGGAGTAAAATAACGGCTATAAGAATAAACTTTTTATTTTAAATAGTTCAATGAAGATGAAAACAGTAATTGTGCAGAGTATATAGACACATTTAACAAAACCATTTGATTTCAAGCTACAACTGGTAAAACACTTTGCTCCGTACGTAACAACATTAAATGTTTAATATTTAAATGTCGTCTTCTATTCCACAATTGTATGGGTCTCACTGTTGTAAAGGTTACTATAGGATAATTTTCTTTTTGATCAGAAAGCAAAATATTTGAATAGTTAAAGCTGATTTGCAATCCAAAAAGTGAAAAATCCAAGAAATTATATCAGCAGAGATAAAAAGAGTGTTTTATTAGGAAAAAAAGTAAAGTAAAAGTGTCTGAGTCATAAAACTTTTTCAAAATATATCATTCACATTTCACTCAATGTGATCCCTCTTTTTATGGTATTTTAGATACCTCTGGGAAGTTCCAAAAAAATTGCACTGATCACAAGGGTATCTCACACCTTCATGTTTGTTTTCTATATGTTTCTTCAGAGTATCCGGTCGAGTAGCCGCAAATGTACACTGGTCACAGGGATATTTTATTCCATCATGAATGCTTTCAATATGTGTCTTTAAATGAGCTACCTGTGTGGCAATATAATCACACTGGTAACAGTGATATCCTCCTTCATGTTTACCTCTAATATGTTTCTTTAGGTCACTTGTTGTGGTGGCAGAATATGGACATTGTTCACAAGGATATCTTACCCCTTCATGTTTACTTTCAATGTGTCTCTTCAGGGTAATTGCCTTGTGTGCGGAAAAATCACATTTAGTACATGGATATTTCACACCTTCATGCTTACTCTCAATATGCATCTTTAGAATATTTTGTCGGCTCGCAACATAATCACACTTACTACATGAATACTTCACTTTTTCGTGTTTACTCTGAACATGCACTTTTAGAGACGAGGGAAGAGTGGTAGAGAAATCACATTCAGTGCATGGATATTGAATCCCCCTATGTTTACTTTCAATATGTGTCTTTAGAAGATATTTTTGGGTTGCCTCGAAATTGCATTCTTCGCATGGATATCTCAAACCTAAGTGCTTTCTCTCTATATGTATTTTCAGATTTCCTGCTAATGTTGCAACAAAATCACATTCTCCACAGGGATATCTCACACCTTCATGCTTACTCTTCATGTGTAGTTTCAGGTTACTCGCTGTAGAGGCAGAATATTCACATTTAAAACATTCATATCTGGTCAGCTTTTGTTTCTTCCTCTTCTTGGGTCTATTCAGTTCCGAGTTAAGTGGATCTTCTTTCAAAACCATATCTTCATCTAAAAATTTCAGTGTTAAACCATGGTATGGTGACCTTCTACTGTTGCCATTCCAAATTAGGAAATGGATACTTAAAAACAAAAAGAAAGATAAGATTTACAAAAAACGTTTCACTAAAAATGCTCAATTTTTGGTGGGTCGAAATTTCATTTATCAAAGTTTAATTTACAGGGGATATCAAGCAAAAAAAATAACAACATTATGAGAAGAAAATTATGTCAGAAATTATACAAAAAGACCAGCTGTAAACCTGGTGAATACGCATAAAGAGAGTATTGATGTAAAATATTAAGACACAAAGAGTTGTCTGGCAACCTTAAAACCTTAGATTTAGCAAACATGTTGAAGATATCCTTGTTAATTTATTTAAAAATTGATAGTTTTCAATTAATATTTTCTTTAAAAGGGATTTGCAAATTTAAGCAGCAGAGACGAAAAGGGAAATTGACAGAATGCAGCAATTCAAAATATGAGATAGAAAATCAAGGATATCTTCCTAATTGTTGCTCAGGTAAAGGATTAAAGGGTACCGTCGTGAAAAGGGAAATTCATTTTTAATTAGGGTGACAGTCTCTTTAGTAAGGGATTTCTATCTTAGTTCCTGACCTTTGATTTCTGAAATTTCAGTTTTGACATCTTCTTCTTTTAAATATACAGTGTATGTATCAACTGAACTTAATGGAGTTTCCTCTTTTATGGGGATTTCTTCTTTAAGCACATACCCTTCCAATTTTACTTCTTCCCTGGTGTTTTCACCCATTTTATCTGAAATTTTGTAAATAAATTTTAATAGTTCTTTGGATGTTTCAATCATAAATTTTTAAGCAGAGCGCCACATGCACACTTTTTGGACCATTTTTTTAACCAATAAAAATTGGTTTTCATGGACAAGAAAACTTGAGTTTAGACAAAAATTTCTTTAAACGACTGGTAAGATTACATCGTCTATGCGCTATAACACGTCTGTCCTAGAGGACGATTTTTTGTTATCTGCTTAAAAATGAACGATCTTCTCTATGTCCAGCCAACAGTCAGTTATTCACTAAAAATGAACAATATTCTCATGTGACCAGCCAATGTTCATTTATCTTCTAAAAATGAACGATCTTCTCTGTTAACAGCCAACATTTTTTTATCCGATAAAAATGAACAATCTTCTCTGTGACCAACCAATGCTCAGTTATACGCTAAAAATGAACGATCTTCTCTGTCACCAGCCATAATGCTCATGGTTATCTGCTAAAATTGAATGATCGTCTCTGTGACCATTTGAATTAAGTTAAGTTAACTTTAAAATGATCTAATGTCGCCAACCCCCCATCCCCCCCCTACTTTACCTTCAAATATATTTCTCTGGAAAATTCCACGTTGAACTGAGAAAAATCTTTGCCTTTACTCTAGACTTTATGCACCTGGTTACCATGACAGTAGTTCTAAGGGTCCGGATCCGTCCTATACAAAATGGATCCGGATCCGTCCTGTACAAAATGGATCCGGATCCGTCATGTACAAAATGGATCTGGATCCGTCATGTACAAAATGGATCCGGGACCACATAAGTATTTCTTCAAATTTTGATGATTCTTTCCCGAAAACCAACCAATCTTTTATGCAGAACATTGATTAACCAATTAATGAAAGTTTTAATTATAATTAATTTGGTTGTCACTAAAATGTTTGAGAGAAAGTTTTTTCCGCAATGTTTGATTACAGTTTAACTTTTGCAGATTCAACAGATCTATAGAAGGGAAAAATTAGTGCATTCATTCCCATCTTAATTGTTTGTGCATTCATTCCCATCTTAATTGTTTGTACATTCATTCCCATCTTAATTGTTTGTGCATTCATTCCCATCTTAATTGTTTGTGCATTCATTCAGGGGGGGGGTCCAAAAATCGTATACTAGGACAGACCCAAAAATCGTTCTCTAGGAAATTAACCGCTATAACCTCCCTATTTAACTTCTGACCATACTAACTTCCCGACCTATTGCAATATTAGACCTACGACAGGAGGGAGGGAAGGCAACCTCCCATGCACTGCTTCCGAACCTCACTTAACCTATTTACGGCAGTGCGCGTCCCCAGAGGACTTCTGAACCTCCCCTAAACGACCTAAACAGTCTCCCTCAAGAGAGCTACATCTTGGACAGGCTATAGGCCTCGAGCATCGCTTCTAGGGGGCCGGGCACTGCGGCCACAATTCCAACTAGCAGCTGTAAAATAACGTGCGCCTAGGTCGGAAGTGTAGTATAGCTGATGTGCGTAGGTCGAAAGATACACATTCAAATAACTGTCTCTACAAACTAGTCGATTAATTTGGAAAGAGTGTTTATAATCAGACAAGCTCGCGCATTTGCCGCAGTTTTATCCAATAAAACAGTGGTAGCGTTACACATTCTCGGATGTATTCTGCGAAATCCGTACAATTCAAACAAACGGATTAAAAATAAAATTTTATTTCACAACGCTATCAGTTCAGTTTACAGTTATCTAGGGTTACTTGCAGACCACACACACAGTGCGGGATGACAAAAATTGAATAAAGTAGAAAACTACACTTGGAATAAATTAGAAAACTTCACTAGGGATTTTAAAAATTTTAGGTCAGCCTGTCCTATGCCGCGGCGCTTGGCCCCCTATCCTGTCCTAGCCGCAGCGCTCGGCCCAGAAATAGTCTTAACCTAACCTGACCTAGAATAGTAAAACAATAAACAGTAATATAATTTTTTTTCGATAGCTTTGACCATGTTTTCGAGCAGACACATCCATTTGCAAATGCAAATTGAAAAATATAGAACTGAATCAGATGTCATTTTATTTTAGGTACGAAAATGTCTGACAGACCGAAGCTTATTGTTTCGTTTGTGGAAAGCAGGTTGGGGTTTTCTTTAGTTTTGTTCGTGCCTTAGCTGCAGCGCTTGGCCCCTAGCCGCGGCACTCGGCCATCTAGCATGGTTTCGAGTCGGCGCTTGACCTTGAAATAGTTCTGATCAGTTCCTGTTAAAAAATATCAAATGGGGTGTGCGTGTGTGGGTGTGTGCTGGTGTGTGTGTGTGTGTGTGTCATTAATCAAACTAATTCCTGCAGATTTATCAATCTAATGTGATCGATAAATCTAATGTGATTGATCTATTTAATGTGATTGATCGATCTTAATCTGAGTGATCTTAGTTGATCCTATATAGACACTGGTCTGTGTAAGACCTCTCTCTCAAACTTTACTTGTTATTTCTGTATTGACGCTGAGAAAGCTGTAATGCTTAGTCAGACCATAATATACTTAAACAAGAGGGTGATACTCAAATAGAGTAAGAACAAATAAAAAGAGCCATGAACCATTCTGGCAGTACATTATACACCAATACGGCTTTTTGCTTAACTTAATTAGAAACGGCCTTCACGGTAGAATCTTAATCAAAACTTTCCGAGAGGGATCAGCATTTTGACATGGGAGTTCTTGTCCTGGGGGGTGCTCCTAGATCATCTTGAACCTAACTGAATGCAGTTATAGGCTATGAAGATCTCTTGAATTTTTTCTCCAAAAATACTGCAGGATACATGAATGATGCAGCAGATTAAGAAAATTCTAAATTCTACTAATTAATATCAGGAGTATAATCCTGCAGAAAATTGACAAAGTCAGCTTCGTGAGTTTGAACAACCTTGTGGAGGATCGAGTGTGCTACTCAAATTCAGGCTGTACAGTTTACACAGCAAAAATTAATCTGTCTAATGTAATTGATCTATTTAATGTAATTGATCTATCTAATATAATTGGCCTATTTGACATAATTGTTCTATCTAATGTAATTGATCAATCTAATCTGATTGATTAATTTAATGTGATTAATCTGTTTGATCATTTAAATTTGATTTATCTTTCTTACCTTATTGATCTATATAATCTTATTAATTTATCTAATCTGATTGATCAATTTAATGTGATTGATCAATATCATCTGATTGATCTATCTAATCTGATTAATCCATCTAATGTAATTGATCTATCCAACGAAATTGATCCATCTAATTCAAATAATATAACTAATTTAATTGATATATATAATTTAATTGATATATCCAATTTAATTGATATATCTAATTTAATAGATCTAAATATAATGTGATTGATAAATCTAATTTAATTGATATATCCAATTTAATTGATATATCTAATTTAATAGATCTAAATATAATGTGATTGATAAATCTAATATAAGTGACATATCTAATGTAATTGATCTAATGTAATTGAACTAGATCTAATGTGATTGATTCCAGGAGACTGGACAAGGATGAGCTTGATAGTGACGAAGAAGAATTGGAAGAAGAGGATTTTGAATTCAGGTTCATTTTTATTCATCCATTAATTTAGTCTTCTTCATCCTTCTACAGGGGTGTATATTTTCTCCCCTCCCCCCCCCTCTTTTGAAGATAATTTCCCCCAGAAGTATAGTTACGTTTACGCATAACATTTTTTTAGAAGTTCATTGGGGAACAAATCTTGTTAGGAGAAAATAAATAAACTATTAGGTTAAAAATACGAAATAGAATAAAAGACCTGACTGTCCTTTTTTCCATTTTTCCGCTCAGATCTTCAAAAATCAATACCCCTCCCCCCGTAATTCTTTAAAAATATTCAACTAATCTATTCTTATTCCCTTCTTTTCATCCTTCTCTTTGAAATTTAGGTACTCTTTCTTTTATGTATTCATTTGGGGGGGTCAGGTTTTCCATACTTTCTATTCTGCTGCCATTCTTTTGTCAACATTTCCCAGGGAATTGTTGAGGTGGTTGTCTTGAAACGAGGGGGGAGGGTTTCTAAACTGACAGTGGTCTTTTATGGGTCTTAATATCTTTATTATTCTTATTGTATTTGTTTGTTTTTAGTGTGAGTGGACTAAAATCTGTAACTCCTGAACTACGTCAAGTAACTATGAGGATTCTCAACCTAGACAAACCAGGTGCAGTACAGAGTCAGGGGAGAATGATAACAGCTGGAGGGGTGAGAAGTAGAGTAGGGAATCACTAAATTTTATACAAATTAACACTTCTTGTGGACCAAATAATAAGTTGACCTTTCTTGTATTTTCTGCTTTATTTAGTGGAAACAGTGTCAGTTAAATGTCGTCTTCCTTGGACTTGGCCTTGGCTTCAGGTCAGGATATTGAGAGATTTTAAACTAAACTAATTTAAATATTCTCGTTGTGTTCAAACAGGGGTTTAAATGTGTTGTTTTCTAAGAAGTTTAAAGCTTTCAGGATTACAAATTATTAAAAATGAGACTTCTAAAGCTTCGTTTTAACCGATCAAAAAAAATTCTTCAACTCCAATTTCATAATTTAGAGCCAAGACAAATATGTCGTTATATTTTGGAGACATCAATGATAAAGTTTTAGGGGAGTGATGTTTTTTACGAAACTATACAAATGAACATCACCTAATTTAAGAAATAAAAGAGTAATTAATTACTCTAAATATAAAACCGAAAATCTTAACAGAAACCTCTTTCAAGATAATTTTTTTAATTATTTATTTTTCTAGGCTACCATACAGCTGAAGTGTAAAGTTACGAAGGGAAATATGTTTTGCTAAAATGCAGTTTTAAAGTATTTCACCAATTTTATCAACACAATTGTTGTTAAGAAAAATAGAATCTAACGTTTCTTTGGCTCAGATTTTTTAGAAAACTTTTAGAAAAAAAATTAAATGGACTGTTTTTGCAATTATTAAGGAAACCCTTGATTAGATGGTATCTCAAATTCACAACGGTTCCCCTTAATTCATATAAACTTGAATGCGTATTTCAGCTACAGATAGCATATTAAATGGTCTGAATTGAACCCTTTTCAAGCTAGAAAAGCAAAGATATCTTCCATATTATTGATTAAGGTATAAAGTAACCCGTTGAATTTAGTGAAAACAAAAACTGGAATTTAAACAAATATATTTTGTTTTCTGAAGTACTTATCGGAGATTAATCAGCTGCATAATGGAACTTTCAGCGTTATTCAATATCATCTTAACCAGACTCAGGGATTCATTCATCAATTTAATTATTCATCCTTTCATTTATTCTTTCGTTAATTCATCCTTTTTATGTTTCATTCTTTTATTCATGCATTCATTTATGTTTCAATCTTTTATTCATGCATTCATTTATGTTTCATTCTTTTATTCATGCACTCATTTATGTATCATTCTTTCATGCATTCACCTATGTTTCATTCTTTCATTCATACATTCATTAATGTTTCATTCTTTTATTCATGCATTCATTAATGTTTCATTCTTTTATTCATACATTCATTAATGTTTCATTCTTTTATTCATACATTCAGTAATGTTTCATTCTTTTATTCATGCATTCATTAATGTTTCATTCTTTTATTCATGCATTCATTAATGTTTTATTCTTTTATTCATACATTCATTAATGTTTCATTCTTTTATTCATGCATTCAGTAATGTTTCATTCTTTTATTCATGCATTCAGTAATGTTTCATACTTTTATTCATGCATTCGTTAATGTTTCAATCTTTTATTCATACATTCATTAATGTTTCATTCTTTTATTCATGCATTCATTAATGTTTCATTCTTTTATTCATGCATTCAATTATGTTTCATTCCTTCATTGAAAATTCATATAGTTTTTACTTACAAAATTTCAATCAATTAACGAGCGAAAAATAAATTGATCAATCGATAAACAATTGATCAATTATAAACATTACATTCCGTTCATAAATAGCAGTCGACAATCAACTTGTCGATTATTCAATAAAATATTATTTACTGATGTACAAGAAATAAAATAATCAATTAATTAATTAATCAGTCATTCAGTTAATCAATTAACCAATTAATTATTAGTTATATATAAATCTAAATTATGAATGACTGAATTAGGGAGACCTTGGTATGGGTATATGTATTCAGTTTATCAACTCTTTAAAGGACAAGGTAGGTTTAACACTAGACTTTGTCTTTGTCCTCATAGTGCAAGGAATAAATCCACCAAAAATAAACGACATTTTGTCAAATTCGAAACAAGTATTTTTTGAGAGAAAATCATGAAAAAATTGGCTCAACATTCAACTCTTATTAACTCTTAGTATAAATGTAAATATTTTATCTAATAGTAATAAATGTAACTTTTAAACCTATATTAAAATCTCAACTTATAAGAGAAGCATACAAAAAAAAAACATAGCTTACAACCTTTTCGATTTGGAAGGGAAATAATCTCAACAATGTGGAAAAGACATAAATACAGTGGTTCCCTTAAAAATACGGCTGATGATTTTAAATATTCACATGAACATGACGCGCAATTGTGCAGTGTACACAGACCCATTTCACTCAATAATTGATTTTTTAGCTGCTAGTAAAACTATTTGCTTTAAATACATACATTAATGTTTATTAATGTCATCGTCTAATTCCACAGTTGTGTGGGTCCCACGGTTTGTTTGTTTAAGGATACAGACGACGGTCTTGTGGCAGGGTTTGGAAGTTGTAAGGATGAATTTGGGGTTTTCCTTAGAGATCTTGTATACGAGAATCCAGCTGAAGTCAGGTGATACAACCTGAGTCTACCAAAACTCAATTTTTAGCTAGCAAAATATGAATAATGAATATCTCCATCAACCTTTTATAAACAAAAATTAAAAATGTGCCGTGCTGTATAATCTAAAATGATTTAATAAATTGTGCCATGTTGAATAATCTAAAATGATTTAAATTATGCCGTGCTGTATAGTGTATAATCTTAATTGATTTAAATTGTGCCGTGCTGTATAGTGAATAATCTAAATTGATTTAAATTGTGCCGTGCTGTATAATCTAAAATGATTTAAATTGTGCCGTGCTGTATAGTGTATAATCTAAATTGATTTAAATTGTGCCGTGCTGTATAATCTAAAATGATTTAAATTGTGCTGTATTTAATAATATAAAATGATTTAATTGTGCCGTGTTGAATAATCTAAAATGATTTAAATTGTGCCGTGTTGAATAATCTAAAATGATTTAAATTGTGCCGGTATTTCCGAGAGGATTTATTTTACATAAAAAAGTTCTAAAAATTCGTTTAATACCTTTTTGGGTGAGAACTTAAAATTAATATTTAGTAGAAAAACATGAAAAAAGTTGACACATAAATTAGTTATGGCTTGCTGGAGAGGGACCGAAAATGGAAACAAATTAATGATTTATATCTTGCTGAAGATAGTCCGAAAAATAAAATGTTGACCCATTAATGATTTATGACTTACTGAAGAGGGTCCGAAAATGTTGACAAATTAATGATTTATAGCTTGCTGAAGAGAGTCCGAAAATGTTGACAAATTAATGATTTAGAGCTTGCTGAAGAGAGTCCGAAAATGGTGACAAATTAATGATTAATAGCTTGCTGAAGAGAGTCCGAAAATGTTGACAAATTAATGAGTTATGGCTTGCTGAAGAGGGTCCGAAAATGGTGACAAATCAATGATTTATGGCTTGCTGAAGAGTGTCTAGAAATGGTGACAAATTAATGATTTATGGCTTGCTGAAGAGGGTCCGAAAATGGTGACAAATTAATGATTTATGGCTTGCTGAAGAGAGTTTTAAATGTTGACAAATTAATGATTAATGGCTTGCTGAAAAGGGACCGAAAATGGTGACAAACTAATGATTCATGGCTTACAGAAGCGGGGTCCGAAAACGTTGACACATAAATGATTTATGGCTTGCTGAAATGGGTCCAAAAATGTTGACAAATTTATGATTTATAGCTTGCTGTAGAGAATCCGAAAATGTTGACACATTAATTATTTATGGCTTGCTGAAGATGGTCCGAAAAACTTTATTACTTCTTTTTAGGTTGAATGAGTGAACGTTCATTAGTTCACTAAATGTTCCCATGGTTTTCTAATCTTAAATCTAGATATTTATATGATAATTATTTTTTGTATTTTTTTCAGACTTGGCAATCTTTCTGAACTGCTGGATAAGTTTGAATCTTATAATTCCGCTGCAGCTCAACTTTTCCGTCAGCTTATATCTTCTTCAGGAAAACAAATAGTTTTTCAGCTTTGCGGTCACTCAGAATTTTGAAAGATATACAATATACATTCATGACTAAATAAGGTTCCTATTTTGAGTGCAATGTTCTTGGCACCTTAACGGTTGTCAGATACCAACCATCCTATGGACTTATTTGGTTTGCCAACCACCAGAAGTATCTCATTGACTCTCCCGGCTTGGAAAAGATAGTAGGGGGTTAAAGGTCCGGCATTAGAACGGGTGGGGGATGGTGCTTCCCACGGTCTGGGGGTCCACATTGGTGTCTCTTGCATATTCAATTTCTTTATGTCATTTATGGTCAGAAATGGGTAATATGTTTGAATGTGAATGATTAAGAAACATTTCAATATTCTTATTTTAAATTATTTGTTTTGTTCTGCAGTGGCTGGTAAGGTTTGGTTACTAGCAACAAATCAACCCTTTTTCTTCAGAGCTGCACCAATACTCTTTAATAAGAAAATTATTTCTATCTTACCATCTGAAGGTAGGAAAATTATTAGGGTTAATTTGATTTATCAAGATATATATCCCTAAAAAAGAACTTCACAAATTGTTCTTGAAGAAAATGCGCATTTGTTTTTTAATATTCAGTGGGTTATGCCTGAAAAAGCTGGTAATAAAATTTTAGCTATAAAATAAGGATATCTAAGTAATCCTTGATGGTACAATTGTAAATGGTCCATTTGCTGCCTGGGACACCACTTTAGAAGTATGTTTATTCACCAGAGAACGCAAAATCACATATTTTTTGAGAGTATATGTTCTCCACTCCGAAACTACTTACTTGCGGGTAGTATAACATCTTGTTGGTGGATTTTATTCTTGACTAGGAAATATATATATAGACTCCGCTACAACAGGACATCTTTTAAAAGAAGGTTACACTCACTTGAATTTACGTCTACAGTCCCTTTAAACTCCAGAATATTTCAGATGATTCACTGGAGATGGTTCGGAAGAAGAAAGCTCTGCTGGATAAACTTGAAGAGATAACTCAGGAGGCTCCATGGAAAATGGGGTTTTCAGATATTATGTACAGTGAAACTAACTTTTCAGGTAGGATTTAAAGGGACTGTAAGCATAATATTAAGTGACCCTCCATGAAAAACTGGTACTGTAGTACGGTTCACGACAGTACTCTTGAAAACTTTACCTGATGAACAATGTGGAGGATATTGTAATTTGTCTAGGTTTAAAAGTGTTTAAATCTGTATTTACTATACTTTTTCCCTGCAGTAGAAATGAGCAAGTCACTTTTGCCGCGAAACAACAATTGAAGTTATCTGATTTCAGGAGTATAATCATTGTATAATTATTACTTTATCAGACAATCATTGTAAGGGTACTGTTGTTTATCCGGCATTGCCATATTTGCATGGAGGGTGACTTGAAATTTAAATGATATAAGTCACAAATAACTTTAAGCCAATATAACATCCAATGAGAAGTAGCAGGTGTTATTTTAAAATTTGATACTCAGGAAAAGACGACCTTTTGTGCCTAAACTGTTAATCTGAGGTAATTATTACCTTAGAGAGAAATGTAAAAATTGAAATTTAAGTTACATCTCTTTAATTGTTACGGGTATGGCCAGCTAAATAGGTAACAACTAACATACATACACGCACATTACACACACACACACAACCTGACGCAAACACACATAATATTTAGAAACTGCTTTATTACTTCTATTTTATCAAATGGTAGGTTGTATAATAATAATAATAATAATTTCTTATTTCTATAAGGGATATTTTTACAATGTAAGATTTTTTCTGAAGGTCTTGAAGCCCCTTACTTCGCTATGAAGACTGCTTGGTTCTTCGATGGGCTCGAAGATATCCATAAGTCCAGTCTACTGCTGTATGATGCCATCAAGACAGAATGCCGGAACCGTGGGCACACCTTTGTTCTCCAGGGGAATATGAATTTCTGGTTTGAAAGCTATTTAAAATCTAGAAGAAGGTAAAATAGATTTACAATTATTTCATTTAATTAGATCTTTTTTTAGTGCAGAAAAATCTATGCAAAAATATTTAATCATTTTAACTCTGTAAAGTAAAACAAGAGATTTTATATACAGGGTGAGGGAAAAAAAGTGTGATTTGCGGCGCCTGGTGCAATATTGTACGTTTTTTGTGCATCTCTCCTATATGGTGTTTTTTTCAATATTTTTTGAAAATTTGTAATTTTTTTTGGTACTCCAATGAGCCAAAAGAAAATCCCCGAGCCTTTTTTCTCTCAAAATCAAATTTTCAGAAAAGCAAAAATGTCTATATAAATTATTTCTTTCAAAATCTAAAAATTTTTAAAGATTGAATCAAAGAATTACCAAAAAAACGCATAAATGTAATAAGGAAATTCGCAATTTTAGTTCTAGTCTAATTTTTAAGGAAAAGTTACTTAAATTCTCTTGTTCCTTTCTTCTTAGCATTTTCTAAAGTATTAAATAAATATACTATGGTCAGTTGAAACCTTAACAACCATTAAAAAACAATTTTTCCGTAAAATTTAGACCAGAAGTGAAAATTGCGAATTTTCTAACTACAATTTTTCAAATTTTTTGAGATTCTGTGATCAATCTTTTTAAAATTTTAGATTTCGATAGACAAAATTTATTTAGACATTTTTGTTTTTCTGTACTCTTGATTTTGAGAGAAAAAAAGGTTCGCGGATTTTTTACTGGGCCATTGAAGTACCAAAAAAAATTTCAAAAAATATTGAAAAAATACCATACAGGAGAGTTGCACAAAAAAAGGTACAATTTTGCGCCAGGCGCCGCAAATCACACTTTTATCTTTGACTCATATATATGTTGTCTATAGCTGTCCAAACGGCTGAACCGAATGGGCTGACAGGGGTGTCTTAGGCTAAATTTTTTTTACTTTTTTCTTGAATTTGAACATGAATACAGTCTTTAATGGTTACAGGGGATATGTAGATCACTTCCCCAAAAATTGTGCCTTTATCTTAATGGGATCAGCTTCATGTAAAAATTGAGTGTTACCGCTACAAGGCGATTTTAAAACTGAACTAAACTACATTTATTAGTTTAACAATAATAGTTGATTTCAATTTTTCACAAAAAATCATAACAGTCAAAAAGTAATGGTTTTAGGTAATTAGGCTTTAGAAATTTCAGTTCTAATTACGGCATACTTTCCTATGCTCACAAACCACCAATAGCACGTACAGGGATTGGTCCTGAAAATGAGATGTATTAACAAAGCCGTTTATAGCTAGGAGATAAATCAAGGTAGCTCATCGAGATCAAATAGGAAGCAGTTCATTGCTAAGTGGTCAATCAGGTAGATAGTTTATAGCAAAGGGGTCAATCAGATAGATAGTTCATAGCTAAGGTAAATTAGGTGGATAGTTCATTGCTCAGGTAGCAGTTCAATGCAAAAAGGTCTATTTTGAAAACTCGGTTTTGGCAAGCACACTTTTAAAGTGTAACATGGTATATTTATTTAGTAATATTTTGATTTTTACATATGGCTGTTATTGGCTTACTATTCATCTGACATTTTTTTAGGAACACTTATATGTGTATGGAACTACTTGAGCTTGTGTGCTAAAATTTGTTTTTTTTGAAGGATTTGGGTCACCCTAATATATATATATTATATATTTTTATATTGAATACAACTATTTTATTCCGGGTATAGTAATGTATGTGCTAGATGAAATATATACCTATCTTAAGTATTTTTATAAAAGTTATTTCAGACTTGCTAAAAAAGAAGAAGATCTTGAGGAGATGCCTAGGAATTCTTATGATGCTCTCTTGTTTTTACTGGTAAGACAATATTTGAGACTGTTCATGGGTCGTATTTAATGAAAAAGGGAAGAATAGTTAAACTAGGGAAGTATTACAACATTCGATATGTAGTTTATCAACTTCTCTTCATTCATGGAATCCGACCACCGATATTTAACATTTTTAATCTGGATTGTTTTGAAACTTTTTTCTTCTATCAATTTTTTTTTAACATACTACAGAACAGAACCTATCTTAGACAGACACTAATAAACATCAAATGCAACTTTTTATTTTTTTTCAAGAATTTTGGAAATCCACAAGATGGAAACAAAAAATCGGCGAAATTCTAATTCAATATTATTTAAAAATTCGAAGAAAAATGGTTATATGTTACGTTACATTTAGAAGATAAAAATAAAACAGAATTTAAAAAAATCAAAATCTTTCCTGAACTATCTCAAGGTCCTATACAAATATATATTCCCTTATTTATAGGTCCTGAAAAACAGACCAAAAATATAAAGGTCATTATTATGATTATCATCATTATTTTTATATTATTATTTTTTCTTCTATGATAATTATTTGTGTTTTGCAGTGCAGATGGACCATTCCATTTGTACAGTGTGCGGCCATGATCATACAAACCATAAAGTGTGTGGTCCAAATAGGCTCCCTCCCTTTGAGGCTTACATCCCAGTATTTAGAGGGAGTGTCTGACAGGTCGAGTGACTTATTGGCTACGGACAGATAAGGACTTTTTCAAAATTAATTAATCATAGGAGCACGACGTCCTGATGCAGGAGATTAAAGGAGCTGAGGAGAGGTTTCATCTCATGAGATTCTGGAGAGCTGAGGAGGGAATCTGTTCTCATTTGCAGGATATACTTAAGTCAGTAATTATGGTGTTAGGTATTTTCTCAAAGGCATCTTACCAAGAGCGACTTCCCAAGTGACAATTTTCCCAGCGGCAACTTCCTAAAAGTTTGTTAAGAATTTTTTGGCGCTGCAGGCTGCAATGAGGGCGAGCGCTGCAACTAGGGAAGACTGGAGAAGTTGCCGCTTGGAGAAATGCCTTAGGCGAAGTACGTAACATTACATTGTAATTACCCATTTCGTTAGGAATATTAGAAATATGTATTTCAAATAGGTGAACAATTCCTTTAACAAAATAAGATTAGTAATTAATCTCAGGGAGCCTGATTGGGAGCTTCCTGTGGATCTCGAGGAACCTCAGTTTAAAAGGATACAAGAAGATGAAGATCAGATGAGAGCTGCTGGGTATGTTGGCTGTAGTAGATTAATCTCAGTAAATGCCAGGATACAAGTAGATGTGAGCTGCTAGGTATGTGGACTGTAGTAGATTAATCTCAGTAAATGCCAGGATACAAGTAGATGTGAGCTGCTAGGTATGTGGACTGTAGTAGATTAATCTCAGTAAATGCCAAGATACAAGTAGATAAGATTTTAAGATTATTAGAGACGAGATCTGAAAGAAGCTCCAGCTTGGGCAACCCAGATCGCCGCAGGATGCAAGTATATGTGAGCTGCTAGGTAGATGGACTGTAGTTCCTGTAGTAGATTAGGGTACTGTGTCATGTAAACAGATTTTTTACGAAATCCCAAGATCTCCATTTTTTTTAGATCCCTGTCAGTTTTTTTGCAAGGAATTCTAGCCTGTAGAATTTTTTAAAACAAAGCAGACTTAAAAACCTCTTAGAATAAAATTGAGGGAAAAAAGAGCAGGTTTTCTCAATACTGATTTTTTATTTGATTATTTGTTCGACTTCTGTAGGATTGTTAATAGTTAATTTTATTATGTTTTTACCCATGTAAATGTTTACAAAGAGCGTTCCATATCATAATGGAATTGGACTATCTTTAAGCTCTAACGTTAAAATACTTACAAAATAATAAAAGAATTGCTTGTCAATTTAAAAAAAAACATTATTCTTCACTATTCATTCATTCATTATCACTTCTGATATTTTCATTTTCATATATTGCAGTGCGCACTTTCATTGTTGTTCTTTACATTGTATACACATTACACAACCTTACAGATCGTTTACATTGTATACAACACAACCTTACAGATCGTTTACATTGTATACAACACAACCTTACAGATCATTTAGTCTGAAAATCACAATTCAAAGCTCTGCATGATCCATTATGATGTGTTCCACCCTGTATTATTAGGTGTATCCGGAGTAAGCCAATAACCCTAATCAGTGGTAGAGGAGGTACTGGTAAAACTGAAGTAGTTTCTGCAGTTCTCTCAGCTGCAGAGAAAATGATGCTCTGTGAAGATGCTTCTCTGCTCACAGATGATCTTAACAGCAGCGTTCTCACAAATGATAACAGTACGGATAACCAGACAGATGTAATCACATCTGATGAGGAGGATGCTGATAGCGCGGCTGTGATGTGGAGAAAACATAATCCAGATGTTTTTAAAGATACTGAAAACTCCATTTCCAAGGTTGGATAATCTTTTTTTTCTGTTTTTTTCGCTTCATTTTATGCCAAAACTGTCATTTAAAGATAAGTACATTTTTATAATATCTCTTTTTTTTTAAGTTGATATTTGGGTTTGTGAGCTAAAATTTTTTTTTGTGGAAGTTTTTGGTTGATATTTTGGCCCTTTTATTCCGCATATATATTTGCGGATCCTGATCCTAAGCATATGTTTTTGCGGATCCTGATCCTAAGCATATGTTTTTGCGGATCCTGATCCTAAGCATATGTTTTTGCGGATCCTGATCCTAAGCATATGTTTTTGCGGATCTGCAATGGATCCTGATCCTAAGCAATGAAATTCAGAACTATGGTTTTGATTTAACCCTGTTCTTTAAAATCTTTCAATGGAAATGTGTGATTTTTCATCATTTACATTCTTCCCTATTTTGTTTTTTTTTCGAATTTGAAAATTCACCAATTAATGAATAAAAAGGTTCAACATTGTGTAGTGGTTTCATTTTCATATGTACAGGGTTACCCGCAAAGAATGAAACTTTTCACTTTAAAATTTTTTTTACTTAATTGAAAGTCTATTTTCCAGTTTTTTGGTCGTAATAAAAGACTCAACTTTGTGAGTAACCCTGTTTCTTCAGAAAGTTCATTTAAAAATGAGAGCGTGAGTAATATGAAAAGAATTATTGGTCAAAATGTTGAATGTTTTCCAGGCGGTAGAAAAGACGACTAGTAACGGCCCTATCCTCTACTGTGCACCTACCGGTAAAGCTGCGAGTGTTATTAAAAAGAGAGTTGGGAAAAAGGCATTCACTATTCATCAGGTTTTAAATATATTTAATGAATTATTATTTTGGTATTTTTAATATTAATATATCGATCTACCAATAGATATATCTATTGCTGAATTGATCTAATAATTAATTGATCTGTTGATTGATTGAGTGATTGATTTGATTGATAGATTGACTTATTTATTGATTGATTATCCAGGTTCTAGCTAGTTGGAAGATCTATAAGAGTGGGGATATGTTGGGTGTATGGAAATTTGCTGAAACTAGAATAGTTGCGGTGGATGAGTGTTCTATGGTCTCCCTGGAACTCTTCCATTGGTTGATCAAATACCTGAGGAGTGGAAGCATGCTTCAGAAAATTGTACTCTTAGGTACAGGAGTTTATATATGATTTTTAATGTCATTGGCCTCACAGGGGTAGGGAATAGTTTCGAAGATTATTTTATGGTTACACATGGCTGGCTATATTTTTCTTCCTTTTTTAACACTTTTTTTCTTTCCCCAATTCCATCATAAAGAGAAAATATGTAATTAGTAAATAGAAAACGATGGATATCTCATTCATTCTTGATCAGACAAAGCTTTTATTACTACCTTATTAAATCGAACATACTTGTTTGAAGGGTAATTCGAAATCACGTCAACAGTTCCTTTAAGTTAAACCTTCAGTGATGATTTTATCTCAATTTTCTATTGTCAGGTGATCATCTTCAGCTGCCCTCTGTAGATCCTGGAAATTTTATGGCTGATCTTCATGCAGCTCTCAAACAGAAAGGTAAACTTTCAACCTGTTATGTTCGCCCGCTGGTCATCTGCAGATTTAGTGACTAAATATCAATAAACATAAATCTACAAAGACTTTTTATCTCGGAACACAAATATATAGGGTTATTATAAAACAGAGATCGGAAATATTTAGGGGTATTGTTGTTAATCGTTTGTCATCGTTTTTTAGAAAAAAATTTATAAAACTTGATAGATTTCAAAACTGACTTTTGTAAAAGTTTGCTCTTATAAAACCTAGCAATATCTTTCACCTAACAAAATAAATATGCAAAAATTATTGTTACAACATGTTTTTGCATATAACGTTTGCGAGGATCAAAATTTGACATAGTATAAGATCTTTAGAAAAAACAATTCGAAATACATTTGCTTTTCTTTTAATTTGATTTCAAGTGACATCACTGAAAAGAGTTCCATTCCTGATTCACAACATTAACCTTTAAACCACTATCTCAGCAAACAAAAATTTTTTTTGCTCTCTGAAATCTCAATGATAAAGTTCAATCTTGGTTTCTTTGAAAGTTACTCTTAAATGCATTCGAGAGATTAGGTAGATTTTTAATAAACAAAGATGGAAAAACAAGGATATCTTCCTCATTGTTATTCAAATAAATGGTTTAAATTACCGTTGTAAATAAAGTTGACAGCCCTTTTATTCGCTTTTATCTAGTTTAAGATATACCTATATTATTAGGAATGGTTGTAGAATTAAAAACCAACCACAGATCAGAGGGAAACCTAATATTCAACAATGCAACCAAGATTTCAGAGCAGGGGTGTATATTTTCTTGAAAAATAATTCCTCCCCTTCACCCCCTGTGGAATATCATTTTTTATTTAGGTATGTTTTAAGGTTTTATCCGCTGAAGTGAAAAAAAATTCTTAATGGAAAATTGATAAAGTTTCGGGTAAAAAGTAAAAAATGAATGAAAAAACCTTCCCTTTGATGTCCAATTTAATTTTTTTTGTATAAGTAAACACCCCTGTTTCGGAGCAGAAGATTCCAGAGTTTGATAAGGAAGCAGGCTTTTCGTTAATCATCCCTGGATCTTCTAATTTGTACAAACTTCCACCATTGATTAGAAAAGGAGCTTTTAAACTAGATCCTTCAACAACTAAACCATTAGATACTGTAGTACCGAGGCGGGTAAGAATTTTTAATATTTTTTTCCAATCAATAATAATTTGTATTATATCATATCTGTTCGGTTCCATAGTAGTAAACCTATCGTGTAAGAATTCCGATTATTACACGGTTCAGGAGGAACAATTTTAATATTGTTCGCTTCCTTGCGTTTAAGAATGCTTATTCTTACACTGTAGGTGTAGAATTTTCTTTCTTTAACGCTCAGACTGTATAAGAATAGAAATTATTACACGGTCAGAGCGTGAAAGAATGTATATTCTTACACGCTCCAAGCATTAAAGAATGGAAATTCTTACACTAGTTGAAGAATATTCATTCTTACACGCTCCTTATATTGATCTTTTCAGTATAGATCAATATTGATATTAACTTAATTATTTTGTACTGACAGCATGCACAGGGCAAACTCACCTTTTTCTTTTACATTAATACATGCAAACTTACCTTTTTTAACTTAAAAACAACATGCTTACTTACCTTTTTCTTTTATATCAAAACATGCAAACTTACCTTTTTTACTTTTGTAAAACATGCTCACTTACCTTTTCATGCTCACTTACCTTTTTCGTTTTTTGAAGTATTGATATACCTTAATTCAGAAATATCAATTTGAATCTCAACACTAGTCCTGACAGAAGAGTGGAAATTAACATTTTCTGCCCATTTCCAAAAATATGGACGATGCCTTTAGCCTTACATTAGACACTTTCATCAAACTGCCGAGTCTCAAAGCTTACTGCCCACTGCCTACTTATTATTTTTTTTTTAGTTCATCCTCCTTTCAAACCAAGTTTGGTGAGATTTTGCAAATCTCTGCATACTTGAGATAGTATGGTCAGAGCTTTTCAGTCCGAGTCACCATATCTCGCATAGTTCGAAATGATGAAGTGAAACCACAATCAAAACCAAAAAAAGTATAAAAACTTATCATTGAAATGTTAGTGTCACACTTTTAATGGAGTCTTAGCACTCCATAACAATGAAAACAAACCAGAAAATCTTGCTTTATAAATAAAAGACAAAGATCTTCATCAGTTTATGTCGAACTGATTCTTTATCTCATCTTTTTGGAAGATTTAGGATCTAATATCCAGAAAATGATTTCTTCTATAAATGAAGACACGATATTGTTCAGTAGATTAAGACAATCCACTACTATACCTTCTCTCCATCTAAAAAAACTCAGGGCAAATTAAACATGCTGTATCTAAATGTAGTAACTTAAAAAACGAGCAAAATCATTAGAATTTGGTAAACAAACAAACTAAACTAAGGAAACAAACACACCACATGCATTAATTTCAAATTAAGAACCAATTTTTACTTCTAAAAGGTTTTTTTTTACATTTTAACATTAGAAAAATAAAAAAACAGTGTTAGTCAGAACAAGAGCATAAAACTTATTTGCAACCTTTCATAATGTGAACTGTTCCAACTTGAACTAGTCAGATTTCACCAAAATTATTTTTTAATATAATTTCTTGGGTATGTGCCCATGGAACCTCACAAATATGATATAATATTTAAAATTCAGTGATGGTGATGGACCAAACCTCTGTAGAGTAAAAAAGTAGATGTTAGTTCCACATTTATTGAAAATATATTTCGGTCTGGGTTGACCCTCGTCAGTTCTTGAGATTGTTTCTTTACAAAGATTAAAAACAAATATATAACAGATATAATAATAATCTTATGAGGATAAAAATGTAATAATGGAATTCTTAAACTCGATGAAATAATCTTGATGCATTCTTTAACTCAGGCCTGCGGCCTTCGTTAAAGAATACATCAAGATTAGTTCATCTCGTTTAAGAATTTCCATTATTACATTTTTTTCCTCATAAGATTATCATATTATTTTTTTTTCTAAAATGGAGCGTGTCTTTTATCTATGTTTTTTATAATTTGTACTGTATAATATCAATTTAAAATTGCGTTTCTGCTGCAGACATATATCTGTAGCGAAGTCGTGATTTTCTTGCTTTCAAACCTGTTTATTTTTTAAGCGCTAAACTTCATGAATCATCAATTAAGTTACTGATTCTCATTTGAATATTTTATCAAGTGAAATTTTTCCCAAACCACAAGACAATTTCTCTAATGTAAATGAATGAATGCTTGTGGAATTGCCATTTTGTTGGATGCCTCATTGGAAAATATTTTTTTGAGTAATACCTTGAAGAAATTACTCCTAAAAATTTAGATCAACTCCTCCTACCAAGTTATTTCCAGGGTCGTGAAGGATTGGGAGTAGAGAGAAGAGAACTGTACTGGGCTCTTCTTAGAGATAATCAGCTGAGGTTCAATATCAAAGATGATGAAAAATCTCAAATAATATCATTTATCAACAGGAATAGTCAAACATTTGAGAACTGGGACTTAGTAGTTTAAAGGAGACTTAAAGCAATACTTTTGATCCAAATTTGGGTTTTGGAAGTAAAAGGTTTTTTTTACAGTTTTTGTTGATATTTTACCCATTGGAGCCGGATCCGTGGATCCGGATATTATTACGGATCCGGATGATTTCTTTATTTTCAAAAGCTTCCTTCCCTCTTAACTTTAACAATATATTAAGTGGCCGTACTCAGGAATTTTTCCAAGGGGGGAGCTGAAAGTTTTTTTTCTTTCCAGGGGGGGCTCAGCACCTGTTGGTCCTTTTGAGCCTGAAAACCCCTGGAAGCTATAGATTTTACTGATCCTGTTTAAGCCTTTGGATATATTAATTTTGTTTGGTTATGCCCAGACATTTTTTACTTTTTTTAGTCTTTAGATAATTTTCCTCGTCAATTAAATTTTTCCTATAATATTTGACTTCTTGCTGACTCTAGGGATTGTGAAAGCTTAAACCAGTTTGGTTGTTTTGTATACAACAAACATACTATGTACGAGCTGACAAAGGAAATCAAAATAAATTTATTATGACCACGACCCAGTACCTGTACTGTCTTTATGCATTGTTTTTGGCTGTACGGTGTACACTACACTGTATATTGAAACAAGTACTGCTAGAAATAAGTCACTTCAGCATTGATTGTTTGTTTTTTTCAGCAACTTAAGTACTTGTTTTTTTCTTGTCAAAAATAATAAAACGTTATTCTGAATTAGAAGTGGAAAAAACAATTTCATATCCGAGATAAAGTGATGTGCACAAAAAACGCCGACATTAGGTAAAGATATAACAGGGTTGAATATTTTTCAGAAATGATTTTTAATGATGGGAGGGGGGAATTAGACATAAACAGGCAACTTTTTTCATTCTTTTTATTTACTTTTTACCGAAAAATTCATTTATTTTCTCTAAATCAGCGCAAAAAATATGTGCGCAAGCATATATACAATATAAATCCCCCATCCTCTAGATTAGACTCTAATCACTAGAGTAAGCCTAATTTCAAGTGACCCTTCAAGCAAAGATTTACAACGGTACTGGTTGAGGTTTTAAGGTTACTTTTGTAAATCGGGCCGTGCCATCTTTACATTTTGGGTCACTTGAAATTACGCTTACAGTCCCTTAAGATCCAACATCAAAAATGTTTGCTGACTTTTAACCGAATCTATTTTGGAGACTTCATTTATCATTAAGAACAGGGGCGTATTTAGAGGTTTGTCAAGGGGGGGGGGGATCAACCGACGCTGTTTCAAAGGGGGACAGGGCACTTCACCCTCCCCCCATATATGCCTTTGATTAACTATATTAAACTTTTATCAGCGTTTATGAGCCTGAGGATAAATCAGAAGACGAAGATAATATAAAATCTTGTATTCTTGAAGAAATAAACGATGGAATCTACAAAGAACCAAATTTAGGTACTGTCAAAACTCCAGAAAACTCTGAATTAGTCGGCTTTTAAACTCAAGTTTTGACTTTTAATAGTCCAATGATCATGAGGCAGCGATCGTGCAGTGTAAACAGGCCCATTAAGTGAGCTAATAACTTACTAGTAAAGCTATTTGCTTTTAAAAACATCAAATGCACTTCAATATTGCTTTAATGTCGTCTTCCTATAGTTTCCTTGTGATCGCTGCACCTCCACAATTCCCCCTTCCATTTAAAAAACTTGTTCCACAGTTAATGTTGGATATTAAATGTTGTGGTTTTTCAAAGACCAAAATGAAAATAACAATGGAGTTTTATTAATTTTAAAAATATGCACACAAGTAATATGCCATTTATTTCTAGTTCTCCGTGAGAGAAAGGAGAGATTAATGAATGGTAGCCTGTACAAGATTAGAGCAGTTGTAAAGAAGTCTGTCAAACTACAAAAAGAGGAACAACAAGAATTGCAGGTAGAAGCTCTTTAACATGTTGAGGATATTTGGATCACCAGAGCTGAAAACTTTGGAATTGTGGATATAGAGATTGGAGCTTGATTGTCTATTTTTCTTAATATCAAGACTAACCCAATCTAGTACTTTTATCCTAAAGAGTGTAAAAAATTCCACCAACCAGAGTCGCGTATATGAAGCCGATAAATTAAAATTTTGCGCGCCATTTATAGTTATATACAGAAACGGGAGGGACTCTCTATTTTAAATAGCCGGTTTTTGATTTCTCTCTACTATATCCAAGTAAGAACGATTTAAGAAGAAAATCAAAAGTGTGTCCAATGGATATTAGATTAAGTAATCGGGATTAAGAATATCTCATTATAAAGTTTTCAGCTCAGATCTATTAGATCTATTACACAGTACACACATAAAGGTAAGCCCTAAAACTGTGGAATAGTTAGACAACTGTTTTACTCAAATTATAATTTTAACTAGTAATTAAGTAAACGCACAAACCACTTATTCATTAATTTAAAATTTGGTTTTGATGATGGACCAAACCTCGAAGAGTTAAGAAAGTAGGTCCACATTTTATTGAAAATATAATTTGGTCTGGGTTGACCCTCGTTAGTTTCAACGATATAATAACCATCAAAATCAATAATTTACAAAAAATGTTAAACAACCGCGTTTAAAAATAAACAAACAAATAAGATTTTAAAAAAATTGATGTAGGCTGAAGGAGACGACCCTGGAGCCAATCTAAGCTCTGCTGGTTCTCTACAAGAAGGAAAACGAGGAGGAGGTGAAGGAGGAGGAGGGGAAGGAGGAGGAAGGGAGGAAGAGGAGAGGAGTATGGTTACTGAGTACTATGTACTTGATGATCTAGCAGGAGATATTGTCAGAGCAAACAAGGATATGCTTAGGTAAATTGACAAGGGAAAGTTGTTTATCTCTTAAGATTTTACTTTAGATCGTTTTTAAACAAATCCCAACCCTACTCTCTAGCACTAGAATTATATAATTTTCTTCTCAATATATTTCGCCAAAAACTTTGGCATCATCAGGAGTTAGTCCTATAATATAACAGATATAAGCAAAAAATAAAAATAAAAAATACAAACACAGCAACTATAATAAATACAGAAGAGAACAAAAATAAAAATCTTTTTTATTGTATTTTATCTTAAGATACGTTTAATCCAAATATTTATTTATTTTCCCTAATTTTCGCAAATATACATAATTTCTGGGGGAAAAATGATTTTCAAATTAAAGGGGGGGGAGATTTTTGTAAGAAAATGTACAACCATGTTGATAGAAATTTAAATCTTTTCTGTGAAATCCCTTAGTCAAAGTTATCCCTGCGGGTTATGATCACCACGGAATATCAAAGAGGAATTTATTTTATCCGTTGATGTGCACAAGATGAAGAAGTTATGGCCTCTGATCAAATTTACTTATTCCCTTTCATCCTGTGTAGCACAATTTAGTAAATGCTATTAGCATAGGTTTACTTTAAAAGACATATTTTTATTGTTATCTTTTGAATATGGAAAACTGAATTATATTTTAGCAAGAAGTGCAAGCTGAGTCATGCTTGGGCATTGTCAATTCATAAATTTCAAGGTGAAAAGATTCTGAATATTTTGCTAAATTTTATCAAAAATAATTGAATCACAATCAATAATCATATTTCCAAGGTAGCGAAGCTGACACTATTGTATACGCTTTGTCTGGTAGTCCCTATGAAACATGGCAGCATGTGTACACTGCTGTAACACGTGGTAAAAAGAATGTCGTCATCCTTGGATCATTCAAGGAACTTCAAGATGCTATAAGGTAAAATTTGACCCATAATTATGGCTTAATCTTACTACTTAACGAAGAAAAACTAATCAACAGACTTTTAACACTTATAACTTAATTAATTACTTTACCCAAAACTTCCCAATAAATTGAAATGTAAACTTTATCACATTTCATAAATTAAAATTTCTAGACGACGACCTCCTCTTCGCCAAACTGCATTGAAAGAGAAAGTAAAGAGTCTTCTAATCAAGGTATAATTTACAAGTTAGAAATCTTGATACCCAGAGGTCGCTATTTAAATATTAACAACATGAATAAAAAATTATAGTAAACCATGATGCCATTCATTTATTTCAACACCATAAAGAAGAAATATTATCTGAAATAAAATAAATCTTTTTTACGATTATTTATTATAATATCCATTATTTAGGTTGAAAAGGAAAAGAGAGAAAAACTGATGAATCTTGACTCTAATATGACAAAGGAAAACATTATTGTTCAGTTTAATCTTAAAAATATTTAAATTCTTATTACAGTAAAGGGACCTTTCCTGTTATTTTACACGACTCTGTATTTATAGAGTGCACACTGCACACCAGGGTGACCCAAATCACCCTTTAAAAAAAAACAAAGCTCAAGTAGTTCCATACACATAAAAGTGTTCCTAAAAAAATGTCAGATGAATCGGAAGCCAATAACACCTACATGTAAAAATCAAAATATTGCTGAATAAATATACCATGTTACACTGTAAAAGTGTGCTCGCCAAAAGCCGAGTTTTCAAATTAGACCTATTAATGTTGAACTGCTACCTGAGCAATGAACTATCCACCTAATTCACCTTAGCTATGAACTATCTATCTGATTGACCTTCTAAATATGAACTGATTTCTGATTTATCTTCTAGCTATAAACTATATACCAGATTGAACCACTAGTTGTTAACTTTCTACCTCCTAGCTATTAAATGATATCTAATTGACTTCCCAGTTATGAACAGTTACCTGATTGACTCACTAGCTATAAACTGCTACTTTATTGACCCCCTAGATATAAATTGTATTCCTTGTTGACCCTCCTAGCTATAAACTTCTACCTGCAGGGAATATTTTATTACCCTTCAACATACTTAGAGCTTCATTAAATCAGGCAGGGAATATAGCATTTCCCTCAAACATACTTAGAGCTTCAATAAATCAGGCAGGGAATATATCATTACCCTTTAACATACTTAGAGCTTCAATAAATCAGGCAGGGAATATATCATTACCCTTTAACATACCTAATAGCTTTAGATCTCTTTATCATGTGAATTGAAGTATTATGCATTAAATTAAGAAATAGCGAAAATGTCAGGGGTGTCATAGTATCAAATCTTGAAGTTTTGCTGTCTCTGTATGCTGACGACTGCTCTATATTTCTTAATTATGATTCAAACAATGTATATGCTGTCATTGATATTCTCGATGAATTTTACTCTGTGTCCGACTTAAAAATACAGAATCAAAAGACACAATGTGTAATTTTTGGAAAGATCCAGAAATGAATTACAAATTATGTGATGACTTAAACCTTAGATAAGACCAAAACTTTTAACTTCTGGGAGTCGAATTTGATGGGATGTTAAGTAACATGGATCAAAACGTTGTTTTCCAAGAAACATTTTAGTTGTTTTGACTTAAAACCTAATGGCCCTTTTCAGCAGTGTACGTGACAAGTCCTATTCACAACAGTACCTCTAAGAATGCCACGTAAATTAAAATTCGTTTCCGTTTATTAGATTATAAAGTTGAACAAATTTATATCTAATATTTTTTCCGGCATCTTCATTTTAAGATTCATGAATGGAAGACCACATTTATAAAAGCTCATAAGGTGTATTTCTTGTATATACTCTTTGTTATTTATTAATTGTTGGAAATCAAAGGCAATGCCTCATTCGTCTCTTCATTCTTAAATGATAACATTGCTGTTTAACTGACAATACTGTTTTTATTAGAGCCAAGGAAATAGGAACAAATCTCCAATACTACAATATATAGTGCCCAGGTAGCATTGTTTTACTAGAGCCAAGAAATTTGAAATATTTAGTGCCCAGGTAACATAGTTTTACTCGAGCCAAGGAAATAGGAACAAATCTCCAATACGACAAGCCCAGGTAACATAGTTTTACTAGAGCCAAGAAATTAGAAATATATCTCCAATACGACAATATTCAGTGTCCAGGTAACATAGTTTTACTAGAGCAAACAAATTAGAAATATATCTCCAATACGACAATATTCAGTGTCCAGGTAACATAGTTTTACTAGAGCAAACAAATTAGAAATATATCTCCAATACGACAATATTCAGTGCCCAGGTAACATAGTTTTACTAGAGCCAAGGAAATAGGAATAAATCTCCAATACGACAATATTTAGTTTCCAGGTAACATATTTTTACCATTAAATTTCTAAAATGATTCCATATTCTTTAATTAGAGCAGGAAGATAGTAAACTTTATTCTTGTTAATCAAAAAAAAAATTTAATTTTTCTCCTGCGGCTTATGCCTATTATTGCATCTTTTCCAGAAGTAAGTCACAGATTTACCATGAATTAATGTTAGCTTTTCATTTTTTATTAGATTTTTTAAAATCACATCTTTTTAGAGATTCGAATGAGATGCTCCTACCATCTCCATCTAAACTAATAGCAAGGCTATCAATGTCAACTTCAAACCCTATAACCTCCGGAGAGCCTCAAAACTCAGCCTCTAACTCCTCCATCCCTTCGAGGCCACTCCTTAATCCTAGATCATTAATTCCATCTGTGATAGTAACTCATGACTGTGATTTGAATCCAATCTTAGTTGAATCTTTCGACGATACCGACGGTTTTAATGAGGCCATCTCTCAGATTCCCACAGAGATTCCTCAGGTAAAATATATTTTTGTATTTATCAACACTAGGCTTTTAGGCCACTTCGCGCTCATCTTCTATTTTAATTGTAAACATTTTTTATACATTGTAAAACAAATGCAACCTGATTGCATTAACCTTGGATATTTCAAACTTAAATTATTTGATTTAACATAATTTATAGTTTGAACTATCTAAGGTCTACGACATTGGGTTGCATAGATATTGGGATTAGGAAATCAGTGTTTGTGGCAAAGAATTAATTCCGTTAAGGTTTAGGTGAAACGTGAATTAGCAAAATGGACGATATAATCTCAAAGCCAAGCCAATTCAATAGCACAATCATAAGTCCTTTATAAGCCCAATTTTAATATTTTAGGAATATCAAATGTCTGTTGAAAAATCTCCAGTTAAGCGTAAAAATGAATCCAGACCGTTGATAAAAACACCACCAAAACTTTCCAGGTAATTCCGAGGTTAAAGGGACTGTTGGCATAATTTTAAGTGACCCTTCAGGCAAAGGTCACAACGGAACCCTTGAAACCTTTTTCTGATCAATAATTTGAAAAATATTGTGGTTTTTCTAGGGTTAATACAGAAAATTCTTATATGTGTTCTTGCAGTAAAAATTTGCAAGTTACTTTTGTGGAGAAACAAGAATTAAGAATATACAGTTTTCCAAGTTATAAATTTGAATGTCTAATTCATACTTTATCAGACAAAGCTTTAAGGGTACATTTGTGAATCGGGCATTGCCATTCTTGCATAGAGGGTCACTTAAAATCACATTTGCAGCCACCCCGTGCATGGATAGAAAGTAGACTTTTGTTTGCACTGGTACACGAGTAACGGTCACCTAAAGTTTTTAACTATTTGTGTTAACTTTGCCGCAAATTTCTTGTCTATTAATAAATTTAGGTTCAATTGCAATCATTTAAACCGTTTTTAAACTAATAGAACATTTTTTCCATTTTAAGATTGCTTTTAGACTTTTTTTACATCTATTGAAAAGAAACAAGACCTTTTAATCATACTGTGGCAAAAAAAAATAATCTTTAACACAGGGGTCCAAATAATTCCATCTAATACGATCCCAAATGTTAATTGATTGATATTAGGGGCAGAAATTAACCATGGTATTGTTGTAAACAATTGGAAATATGATGTCAGAATGTATACTGCAAGGGGGTGTTTATTTTTCTGTATATCATAATTTGTCTCTTATATTGATTACTAATATTTACATCTTTTAGCACCCCAAATGCCGTACACATTTCTGAGGTGTAGTACACGAACACTAAAACTTGCCAAAGTTGACAATGACACAGAAAGTGTATTTGTATGCTCCTAAATGTACTTTTAATCCCGATTTCATTGTTAAACTTAACCATTAAGACAAATGATTCTGACAACATTATTAATTTATTTAACATTAATAATAATTATTACGAATATATCATCTCAAGGAATAATAATATTTAGCACTAATATTGGTTCAAAATTGAGGCTAAGCTAGCCAGCACTTTTTTGGGTTCACCCGGTAAATACAGATTTTTATTTAAGGGTTGGTTTGTTGAGTGGGAAACGTATTGCTGAGAATAGTCCTGCATCATACCTCAACCAGTGCCAGGTAAATCTAATAGTTTATCAAGAGGCTGAGCTAAACCTAAATTAAAGTGACCTTTCATGTAAAGCTGGCATTGTCCGATTTACAACGGCACCCTTAAAACTTTAACTGATCAAGTATGAAGGAGATATGCATGTTTTCATTTGTGGTTTCTCTGCAGTGTAGAAAATCACAGAAACACCTCATTCCTCTTTCATCGTTTTTTGATCAGATTAAGGTTTCTTGGGAATTACCTCATTCCTCTTTCATCGTTTTTTGATCAGATTAAGGTTTCTAGGGAATTGCTGTAAATCGGGCTTTTTATCTTTGTATGTAGGGTCTCTCCTTACCTTACACTTTACAGTCCCTTTAAATCATTCATTCATTCAAATTCATCAGACCAACGATTTTCTTCGTTCAGACCACACAATACACATGCTTTTTTATTAAGACTGATAGTCCTGCAACCTACACTTCAAGCCGAGCAGGTCCTCGTGATAGGACGCAGGACACAACTAATCAGGAAATGGTAAGGCAGGAGGACATAATCAGGACACAGGATACAACAAGTCAGGAATTGGTAAGGCAGCAGGACACAATTATGAATTAGGACACAGGATACAACTAATCAGGAAATGGTAAGGCAGCAGGACTCAATCAGGACACAGGATACAACTAATCAGGAAATGGTAAGGCAGCAGGACACAATTAGGACGCAGGATACAACTAATCAGGAAATGGTAAGGCAGGAGGACACAATTAGGACACAGGATACAACTAATCAGGAATAGGTAAGGCAGCAGGACACAATTAGGACGCAGGATACAACTAATCATGAAATGGTAAGGCAGGAGGACACAATTATGACGCAGGATACAACTAATCATGAAATGGTAAGGCAGCAGGACACAATTAGGACGCAGGATTCAACTTTTCAGGAAATGGAAGAAAAAAATCTACAATCGAAAACCTTTAGATCTGGAGGAAAATTTATCTTGACTTCTTTTTGTTTTAAAATATTTGTTACCATTTGAAGGAATAAAATTTAATCAAATATTTAAACAAAGGAACTGAGTTTTTGTCACACACTCTGTTTTTATAGTACTTATATCTTTGCAACCCAATGTCGTAGACCTTTGCTATTTAATACTATGATTTCTGTTCGATCAAATAGCCTAAGTTTGAAATTGAAATATCAAAGGTTTTCACCATCAGGTTCTTAAAATACAGGGATTGGAAATTTTGAGTTTGTCGCAAAAACTCAATTCCTTAAGGATCTATATTCTATGTATAAGTACATATTTATTTTTTATGTATTTTAATATTTTTAATATTTTAGGTAGACTATAGTGGTGTTCTTTTTGAAGACTTTGATTCCGAGGAAGAACAGATTTTTAGCCAAGCTGCTGATAGTGCTGAAGCAGCTTCTGGTTCAGGCTTCTGACAGTGAAGAAGCAGCTATCAGTGCAAACTACTGACAGCGCTGAAGCAGCTTCGAATTAAGGCTGCTGACAGATTGAAAGTTGATTTTATTCCAGGCTCCTGACATTCCAGAAGCAGCTTCCAACTTAGATGCGGACAGTGCTGAAGTATCTTCTTGGTCAGACTGCTAATTGTGCAGAAGCTGCTGACAAATTAGAAGCAGCTTCTGGCTCAGCTGCTGACTGTGTTGAAGCAGTTTCTAATGCAGGCTGCTGAGAGTCTAAAAGCAGATTTTAATGCACTGAAGCAGCTTCTGGCTTAGCTTCCAACATTGTAAAAGCATCTTCAATGGCAAGGATTTTTGTAAACGACAAACCAGTGAATAGAATCTAAAAAATTCCTTGTTGTATTTGTATACTTTTTAATCTTATCAAACTTTAAGACTAGTACAATAAAAAGCTCTAGCAATGAAGTATCTTTAGAAAAACTACGTTTCTTATATAATAACAATAAAAACGCAAGGAGAAATAAGTGTTAAGTGTTAAATCTGTTTTGTTTGACAGATTCAAGATCTCGCATTTTTTTTGGTTCTGTTAGTCACATGGAACCTTTGTTTACAAACCAGACTCAATAGTATTTTTCCGACAAATGTACCTACGTCCTACAGGGTTACTCATAAAGAATGAATGACAACCTGCCCCGGGCCCAGGAGGAGTTTCACAATCTAAAATGTAAGAGCATTTTGGATCTACTTCTGTTTTTAATGAGAGATTGAAGTTTGCAGCAGCATATTTGGTCCCCTCCGCTGTAGCGCAGCGAAGGCCACCGGAGGGAAATTATTTACAATGGAGGGAATACACATTTTTTATTGAATGCTTTTAACTCCATCGGAGCATGGTAATTTTCACTCCGCACACTAATAACCCCACCGGAGGGATGGTAATTAACACTCAAGAATTTAATTACGAAACTTGCGATGGAGTATATGGTGTCCTGACTGTTAATTACCATCCCTCCGAAGGAGTTTGTAAGTTAGTAGGGGGGGCTAACAAAATGTTTAGTTGCGCGCCTGATATTTGGGCACTATTTATGATAATTACTAAACACTTCTCATCTTTGGGAAATCTATAATGCCAGTGTCGAAAAAAAATTTATTTAAACTTAAAACGCAAGTTTTAAAAACCTCCTGTTCACGTTTTCATTATCGTTTCGTAATGAAAAATTCGTTTATTAAAAACGGTCGTTTTAAAAAACAAAAAGTTTTTGTAAAACTCGTCGTTTCGTAGAGACCATTAACGACGACCCGTTGTAATTATCATTGAGTAGTTCTAAGAAAATATCAAGAAGTTTTAGCTCCCCCACAACTGTTTAACTTCATGGAAGACGACATTCAATAAAGTATTTTTTTTTCAAAAACGATAGTTTTTTAACCTTTCGTTAACGATCGTTAATGACGACCCTTCTTTCACGATCTTAAACATAATTTTCAATAAACGTTTTTTTTCAAAACTATTGTATTTTCAAAACGATCGTTTTTTTAAAAAACAATCGTATAAAAAAAACTGTCGCAAATCGTATTTATGAAAACGATTATTTTCAAAAAAGATCGTTATTCGTTTTCTAAAAGTTCAAAACGAGTGGGTTGTTTTTAAAAACGATCGTTTTTTTCCGAAAACGAAACGAACGTTTGTGAAAACGATTGAAAAACTAATCAAAAACGATCGTTTATCGAATGATTAACAAACCTAATTGCCTGAATTTCTATAAACGCTACGTCGTTTTTAACAGATAGTAGTAAGATTAGTAGCAAACACCTTCGAATATTTTTCGACGCAAGCCTTTACCCCCTTTCATTTTTCGCGAAAACTCACTTCAATGGAAAGAGTTTAATGAGCAATTTGGTATTACTTTTTATTTTGGATTACTTAATTTAATGATATTAATCTTTTACTTATGTAATAATTTTTTTTATAGATTGAAGTAGAACAAAATATGAAAGGATGCAAAAATTTGAAGCTTTTGAAATAGTTAATTTTGTAATACTTAGTTTTGAAATAGTAAATTTTAAAATAGTTAATTTTGAAAAAGTTAGTTTTGAAATAGTTAATTATAAAGGAAAACAAAAAAGTATTATTTATTTATTTTATTCTATATTCATATAGATAGATAGATAGATAGATACGTTAAACTTTGTTGTATACTTTCAGGTTATTTTAGAAATAGGCGAGACTTGAAATGACAATTGAGACACTTAGTGTTCTTAAATTTAGGGTTTTATTACTGCCCCCTCAACGCTAAAAAATTAAAATTGCGTAAGTGGCGATAAAAAATACTTAACTTTAAGGGTTGAAATGTTAGAATCAGAAAATTGCAACATGAATGTCATCTTTGTTTTTTCTTTTGTTATTTACAATCTGCAAAGATATATTTCTATTTATATAGTTTAGTAACAGATTATCCTACGCGATATTTCATGATTTAAAGAAAAAAAGACTACAGGCTATGGGCTCAAAATATCTAGATACTCCTTGGGGCCTCACACCTAGTCAAGCTCTGCTTATGTTGATCAGAACTTCCTACAAGCCTCATAAACTCGACTTGAATCTACCCTCTCTGATCTTCATCTCAAGTATACCAGTGATCTAGATGTAGTGTACACAGTTCAATCTAAAAGATTGACCGAAATTATTTTATTCAAAACAGCAAAATATTCAAAATAAAACGAACAAGACAAACATATTTAATCATATAATAAAAGAACTTCTTAACGAATAGATCCAGCAAGATAATAAACACATTTAACCATAGAATAAAAAAATATCAAGATTCGTTATTTACTGGACTAAAAGTTCCCACATTTGCCAACTAAAAGTTCCCACATTTGTAAACTAAAAGTTCCAACAATTGCAAACTAAAAGTTCCCACATTTGTAAACTAAAAGTTCCAACATTTGTAAACTAAAAGTTCCAACATTTGTAAACTAAAAGTTCCAACATTTGCAAACAAGATCAATTTTCAGTTTAAACCATAAAAACATACATAAATCGTAGAAGAAACCTTAATATGCCTTAGGCAAAGTCATGACTCAGGTATCTTGACAAATATCAATGTCTAACTGTTTAGAAAAGTTAACTCACAGTATGGTTTCTAATACTAAGTTTACAATTTATAACCGGTTTCGGTGCTTGGGAACAGACTCAACTCTCCTCCGTCCGTAGGGACTTCACAACTTTACTCCAGGGTATTCAGGGGCGAGGAAAAATAAAACATGAAGAAAACTTTGCGTAACACAAGCACTAGGTCAGGTCTGTTTGTTTGTATCGAGAAAAGTTAATGGCTGAACCAATTAGACTCAATTTTTATGGCCATTCACGTGACCCAAGGCAAGGTTAATGAGACCCAAAAAAAATTGAATAATGTTGACATACTTATTGTTTGCACCTAACCTAAACAGAAAAATCCGCAACTTTTGAACAGTTCTAAATGGCTACTTTCAGAGATAGCAACTGTTTAACGCTAAAATTGTTGAACAAAAATCTAGGTAGTCTGTTTAAATATGACTCTTTAATGTTTCAAATCAGTTTTATTAATTTTCTATAATTCCTGTAGAGACAAAAATACTTCGTTGTTAAGCTTGTTAATCAAATACTTTAATTATTCAAATGTTTTGTAATGTTTTCTTAATTTGTGTATTTTCTAGTTTATGTTTTGTGTTTATTCAAATATTGACCATTAATACTTTAGGATCCAGTTACAAAAGAAGATTGACATTAAAAAAAACACTTTTTATTTTCGACATAAAAACATTCTTTTAACCTTTAACTCTTGTGCTAAAATGTTGAATCAAATACTTATATAATAAGAAGCTTAAAGGTTAGCTAAGTGATTATATAAATATAGTAGTTATCATCTAACTATGCCGGCTTCAACAGTTCCTACCTTGAGCAATAGATTGATCCTGGGGATACTTCTTGCACTTGTCTTAGGTAATACACTCTTTTCTATGGGTTTTAATTGCGTAACTTATCATAAAAAAACTTTTGCACAGTTCACTGATTTTAAACATAATTTTTCTTATAAATAACTTTTAGTGAAGCTAACCTATTGTTAAAATATCTTTTGTATAACTAACTTCTATGTATGTACTTTGCCCAAATTTTGTGTGTGACTTCACAAAAATTTGCCTCCAACAAAATTTGATTTTGATTAAATTTTGAAAATCCACAATCATTTTTTTTAAATCCACAAACTTTTGTTTGTATTCAAATATTATAATACTAATTTTTATCAATTGGGACATCTTTTCAGTCAGACCATTTTGGATCAGACATAGGGATAAGAATGTTCTTAAAATTTTAAAATTTTCTATACAGGTTTTCTATACAGGTTTTCTATACAGGTTTTCCATACAGGTTTTTGTTCTTTTCCCAAATTTCCTTCCTGTTAAAAAAGAAAATAGGAAATATGAAAAGATGAGACTTTAAAGACTACCTGTTCAATTTCTATAATTCTGAAATTAAAATTAGAAGGGTCTAATTGTCCTGAAACTTTAAAAGTTGCATGGTCAGAGCTGGCACAACATGTACTGTATATGCAATGAGTTGAGCTGTCCAGTTGTCGTGTAGAGTCAAACCAGCACGTTTTATGCAGTAAATTTAGCCTGGCATGAGCATAGTGAATTGTGTAAAACATTTCCATATTCTAGACCCAATTGATTTGTGTCAACCTTTTCCTTGTTTTAGACCCAGTTAATTTGTGTCAACCAGATTGGAAGGAGAAGTGGTTTGGACAAGCAAACTGCACTAACGAGGCAGGTGAGAAGAGACCAAATGAACAGCATTGAATTATAGACACAAGGGACATCTTTGAGAAGACCTAAAAAAACATACATTTTGAAATACCTGTAATACCTCAGAACATGATTTTGATTAAGGTTCTAATTCTTCTAATGAGACCTGTGAAGACACTTCTGGAAACGGAACTGAAAGCCTGGCAGAGAATGTCACAGCTGTTAGTCTAGATAATGCTACAGTAGAAAATATTCCATCTGAGGATTTAAAAGAATACCCTTTTGTAACATTGTCAGGTAAAGAAAGTTTTTCTAGTTTTCACTTAAAATTGAATTTAAATAATACCTTTCAAGGGTAAATATTTTTAAGAATTGGCCCAAAAGAAATGTGAACAAGATGGAACTTTAAAGTTTCATTTCTTTAATTTTTCCACACACAAAATCGAAAAGTTCATTACTTAATTTTAAATACAATTATTCCTAAAGTAACTTATCCTGTAATAATTTATGATAAAATAGATTCTATTGATGAAGACGCTCTAGCAGCACTCCAAAATTCCAATATCTCCAATATAACCGTGGCAGAATCTAAAAGTAATTTGCCAATCAAGCAAGCAACTGGGAATTTAGAGCTAAAAATTCAGGGAATAGGACCAACAGGTCCACTGAAACCTGCAGGAGGAAAAATAGATAAACATGCAAAATCAAGTGAAACTCAAGATTTGAAGAAGAACAAAACAGAGAATCCTGATGAAATGACTGACAATGAAACACCAGGTAATTCAATATGGGAAATAAGAGAAATAAAACACTCCAGTTTCAATAGCAAATACAATTAAACTTTTACTTAAATGATAATTTCTTACTCAATTATAAGTCTTTGATTGGTCAGATTCCTATTCAAAATTGAAACTGGGGTGAGAGCTATCATATTCAACTTTATATTAATGACCTCAGGCATATTGGGTTGGAAAGTGTCTCAAAGTAAAATATGGATTGGTTTATTGTATACTTACTTGTACTCTAATATTCTCATTTATACTATACAATAACCTGATACTCAATTTACCAAAGAAATCATTTAAAATTTAATGAATACAATTGATCTTTAGATGTGCACTACTTAAGAAAATGTCAAGTTGGGTGGGGGGGGGGGGGGCAGGTATTGCCAACCTGTACCTTTTTGTAAAACTGTTTAACAAACTTCAAATTTGTTCATCTAAAAACTTTATAATCAAGCATCTAAAATTTACTTGTATCCTAAAAAATGTGCTTGTAAGGTTTATAAAAGCTATCAAGCATTTATTTCCTTTGCATGATTATACAGTGTAAACATTGGATTTACTTATCAATTGTGTTTACTAGACAACATGAACTGTGGGAATTTTTAAATTTCTCTTCAATCACTTACTTTGTGTTTTCTGTGATAAATAAATTTTCATTTAAATTATCCCATTTAATTTTATTGGGGTATTACAAATGAAAACTTAATGAAAACATTTTTAGAGATTTCAAAAATATTTCTCATCTGGTAAAACCCTGATATTAACATTTAGTGCCATGAGCTTGAAGCAAGCTGATGAAATAGTGCTGCCTCAGGGTTACAACCATCCAAAACTGAACAAATCAAATATGAAATATATGAAAAATATGAAATAAAATCACAGTTGTATGTTAAGAATTCTTTAGGTTGAAATATATTTCACTGCAAATGCATTCTATCTATTTATTGAAAAGAAGGCACCTTTCAATAAATTATTTACTTGGTTGGAAAAATGCTCTTTAACACAGGAGTCAAAATTCTTAGATAATCATACATTGGAACGCGGACTAAAAGAAGAATCAATGATAAAGAATGAAGTAACAGGAATACTGAGTGGTCCTGAAATGTATGGATTAAATGATGGCCTAATAAGTGTAAGTAAAATTTTATAAATGTGAAGAATAAATTTTTTGCTATTAATCTTTTAAGGATAGAATAGTTGAAACTGCTGGAAATCTTGGGGGTAAGTAGCACAAAATGTTTCATTACTAGACAAGCATCTGACACAATGTTAATTTCAATAATAAAAGATTTGGAAAAATGTAATACACTAGATAAATATGGTAAGCTCATATTCTAAATTCCTTGTTGAGACCCCATACCTTAATTTCAGAGCATGAAGTACCAGCTAGAAAAAATATATTCTATGCAGTTCACATAAATTATGATAGCTTGAACAAAACTACTAAGCCCCAATTTGTTGAATCAAGTGATTTGCTTAAAATGATTGATACAGATGGTATGCCAAAGCTTAATGCCAGCATAGAAAAAAGCATTGAAAGGTCGGATTTAATTCAAAATGAAAACACTAACAATGGAAATGTGACTCAACAAAAAATCAAGCAACTGAGTCAAAGCATTCAATTAAATAATACGGTTGAAACACCAGATGAATTCTTAAAAAGAGTTGACAAAGAGTTAGCAGAGATTGGTGATAATTCATCTCAAGAAAACCTATATGGATATGGTATGTTGGGTCAATCGGGGTATTCTGTGGATTCGTATCAAAGAATGGAGTCCTATCTAAATGATAAGGATGTTAACCTTATAAACCCACCTGAGGAAGATATCAGCCTTGCTAAGAAAAAAATGAAAGAACACGCTGAAAAAGACTTGAATTCTGTGCTCAGTGAAAAGATTGCAGCTGATCTTACGAGGAAAATACACAAGGATTCAGGGCTGTAAATATTTAATGATAATTTATCTTAGTTGTTTGTCTCACTGTTTTCACACCTATCCCCATTTTTATTTTTATATAAGGAAAATTAAATTTCAAAAATTCAAAAACTATTAAAAATATAACAGAGATTATCCTTGTGATGCATGCTGGCATCAAAGTTACAGTTCTGCTTTTCAGAAACCAACTTGGATAAATCAAAAATTAGACAATCAATAAAAGATGGTTTAAATCTATCAAAAGGTCTAAAAAAGACAGGGAAGGGTTCATATAAGTAAAATTACCAGATCACTTAGGCCCTTTATGAATTTATTTGTTTGTGCCAAATAATGATTTTCATCTAAATTAACTTAAACACAGGTGTTAATAGCGGAAGTTCTTCAGGGGGAGACAGTACAAAATCCAGTACATCAATAGGAAGAAGTATATATTATTCACACCTGCAGAAAGATGAACCAACCAGACTTCCCAACTCCGAGTAAATTAAGATTTATTAGATCATAACTCATAGAGCAAATCTTTTTGAATCTTAAACTTGCAACTTCAGAGCACAGAAAGTTTATTTCTGCTATAACAGTTAAACCTAAGGCTTACTTGAGATAAAATACAAACAGTTTGTGCAGTGAAAATCAAGTTTAGTCACTAAAGCTAAGCCCTAAGCATGTTCAAAGTTTTTGTTATCATGTTTGAATATCAAACTCTCAATCTGTTTAGATCAAACCTTCATGCTGTGAAAGAAAATTTGAAACAACAATTAAAACAGGAAAATGCTTTAACTCATAACCTTAAAAATCAAGAGTTTTAAATTTTGTTCTTTATGACCCGAAGATATGGTTATTGTTTAAAGTAGTTTTAATTTAGATCGGAAACAAACATTCAGAGGTTTAAAATGACTTTTGGTGACTTTTGAAAAGTTCAAAACAAACAAAACTTTATATTTTTTAGAATATACAATCAATTTCAAACTTTATTATAGGAAATGAGAAGTACAAAATAAACTACAGGAAACATTATCAAAATATACATGATTTCTGGTCCTTGTTACTAAAACAATCTAACTTAAAGTGCTGCAATTCTGCTGTTTCCAAATTAAAGTTTTTTTTGAAGATAAGGTCCAGACTTTTGGCTTGTTAAGATACATATTGGCTTAGTTTTGCATGAATTCTTGAATAAGTTACTATTCTTATTAATGTTTTTATATATAGAAGACAGCAGATTAGATTTCTTTTCTTAGGCTTAGGCTTAGAGTCTGCTGTCACAATTTTAAGTGATTTTCCATTTATAGAGAGGCATGCCAGATGCACAACATTACTCTTGTAACCTTTATCTGATCAATATGTGGGGGTTTTTTTGCTTGAAAAGTATTGATTTCTGATCATTTCAGACAAACCACAAATGAAAATTAACAGTTTCAAAAATAAAAACATAGACATCTTATCATACCTGAGCTGAAAACTTTAAAATGGGATATCCTTAATCCCCATCAGTTAATTAATCTTGAGATTAATAACAAGAGGAGAACAAGCATTGTTTAATCTCGAGATTTTAGCTGAAAAGAAACTTTGAAAACATTATAACAATTTTTAGGGTAAGAATAACTGGTTGCTTGGCAAAGTTTCTTTCCATATAAAAATATTCAAATTTTGTGAATGATGATGTCATTAAAAAAAAAACGAACGATAAACTAACAACTGGAATTGTTCAGATACTAATAGGGGTGGATACTGGATAGGGTTCAAATATCTGTTTTGTACTATATGCCCAAAGAACTCTAATTGGGTTTATGCTGGTAGGTGTCTATCTGTTTGTTTGTATCCAATAAACGGCTGAACCGATTTAGCCCAAATTTTGTGTGTGACATCACATGACCCAAGTTAAGATTTATGGATGCTCAAAACTGCAAAAATTTCTGTCCCAAGTTTTTATTTTTGTAAAATTTTGAAAATGCTCCAAAAGCTGGTATTGAATTCACAAACTTTTTTTTTTTTTATATTGTACAACAAAAAGATGCTAACAGATAGAGCCACAATTAAAAATTGAAATAGAAGATGGGTGGGAAGAACCCTAAATCCTAGTATTGCAAAAATATACTATCTGAAATGCTTTATATTTCAAAGAAAAATTACCTTAACATGTTTGGATGATTTTTAATTAGCTCTTCAACCTCTGTAAATAATGACTGAACTTAAAAAATTAATAATATGTATTAAAATAAATTCAGGACAAATGTAATTTTTACCTAGTTACAAATGTTTAAAAGCTAAGGTATCTAATTAAGACTAAAAAAGACCAATGGTTGTGTGTTCTGAAGTATTTTGCTTTATCTAAAGTTCTAGAAATAGAGGGTTACTTAAAGAAAATTGTATTTATGAAATAATCACCAAGATCAAAAGAAAATGGTTTCTGCATTAGATCGTGTTGTGAATATAATTTTAACCCCAATAATGGTTTGTGAATCTATCACAGTTACAATCATATTTTTAAGCAACTAGGTTTTTTCTAAACACCATGCTAGTAAAAATATATAGTTATGAGTGTTTGCAATTATCTCAAAAATCAACTTAAATTTTAGAGTAAGACAGAATTTTTTTTTATTTAGCCACCAGTACTTCCCTTACAAGTGTTTGACATTGGAACCTAAAGTTGTTCTGTTCTGGTTAATATGAAAGATTATGAGGATCAAAATGTTGCTTGTTAGAAGGCTTAAAACTAACTTGATAAAGAAACTAATTAACAAATAATGAATTTATTTTTCAATACTTAACGCTAATTGCTAACAGACAAAAAAAAGGGAGATTGTGATGCTCTCAGTTAGGGTTTCCAACGTAATTGATTTTTTACTTACGCAAAATTATGCACAGTTATGCGAAATGCTCATTTAACATAATTTTGCAGAATTATAAGTAATTAGCAAAACTTTAATTTCGAGAAATTATGGGGTAATTTCACATAATAGTTTGGAGAAATTTTGCAATAATATGCCTGATTAACGAAACTTCGATTTCATGAAATTAGAAGGTGATTTTGCGTAATTTTTACTAAATAATTTTCCAAAATTTTGCATTAACTAGCGAAACTTCAATTTTGCGATTTTATGGCATAATTTCATCAAAGTAATTTTGCAACATTTTGCAATAATTATGGGTAATTAGTGAAACTTCAATCTTTCAAAATTACAGCTTAATTTTGCTATTATTATGCCTGATTAGAAAAATTCAAATTTTGTGTAATTACGACCTTTGACTTTGACACTTTGTGACACCAAATTTTTTGCAGGCTGCATTTGGTCCTAAAAATTGAGATAGTAGACTGAAATTTTGCATGCAGCCTCTTATTTCGGTCGTTTACATGGATCACGAAGAAAATTTAAGATCGGAGGTTATTGACTTCTATTTTGACCTCCATGAATTCAGAAAATATGGGAAAATACCACTGTTTTCCCTCTAATTCACTTTTTTAAAGTTAATCAAACACAATTATGTGCTGATATTGACACATATATCTGACCTCCAGTTTGACCTCCCTTAAAAAACTACCTCTGAAAAGGTTAAAATATGAAATCAATGTAAATGGGTCATGTGATGTATCAAATCATAGGCTTTTTGGTGTTCCAATTCCATTCTGAGACCCCTTTTAAACCTCAGATGATCCTGGAGGTCGTGACCTCCAAATATCAATGACCTCCGGTGAAATGCATAAATAGTACTTTTTGAATAGTAGAAAATGTTGTCTTCACAAGTTTATGTTAATTTCTAGTTTTTAAGGGAATCTTCCATTCCAATCAAATAAAGAAAATGAGATCTAAATTCTTTAGGGGCACCAAGCACCCTTGATTCTATGTTCACGCTAAAAGGGCACATACACACACTTAACACTCACACAAACATCTTTTCTTCCTATCTCACCTTACACAATAGGATACGAAGGAAATAGTGAGAAATATGTTAAGTTGAAGATGTAAAGTAGAATTGCATGTTTAGAATAGATTCCTCTTTACTCCTTCTTCCATTCTTCTTTATGCTAGATCTATCATTCCTCTTTCCTCGTATCTTTCATTCCTGATTTAATAGTTCTTTGGATCTTCATGATTCGTCATTGTTGACATTTATCCTTGTTGCCCTTTGTTTATCCCTCTTCTCTATTCAGACTCATTTCTCTTTTAACTAAACATAAAATGTTATAAATATTGTGAACTGTTCGTTTTGAGATAACATGTATTTTATTAAGATTTTACTAGAACTGTGTTTTGAGCCCTCCCTTTTTTATCTAAAAGAACACAGAATCTATAGGGGTCCTGAAAGGGTTCAAGAAAATACTAACTCTCATCTAGCAGTTATAAGTATAACACGGAGCTAAAAGTATGATATCTTGTCTTGTACTGGGATGGATTAAATCTCCAATCTGACACAACCCCCTAGATAGAATCCAACTCCTATCCTCTTTCTTACCTCTCTCTGCTAATGCCCTGCATACCATTGGTTCAATATTTTACTTGATATGCACCCCCCCCCCCCCCCAACTTATTAAATAAACCTCACCTAAGTGCAAATCACAAATACAAATACAATTAATGTAGATGTGGGTTTAAATTTAGGAAGGTAGGACGGGATACATTGCCCCTGTTTACGAATTTCCTGTAAGAACAGTATTTAAGGTTAAACCCATGGATTCGCACTGTTTTTAGTATTTGGTTATTTTTTAATGTTTATGGATCTTATCATCATGTATGTTTAATTGATATTGTTTAATTTTATATTTCACACAGTTTATTTTTTTAATTTCAGAGAAGATTTTTGCCGCAGTGAAATATGTAAATTTGTAATTTGTTATTTTCTAATCAAGCATTAAAGCGGTTGGAAGATCTGGTTTGGTAGAAGTATTGGGCACAATTGGGCTCAATTGGAGGGTCAGGTGCGGTTGGAGGATCAGGTGCGATTAGAGGATCTGATTTGGTTGTAGGATCTGGTTTAGGAGCAGTATCTGGTTCTGTTGAAGGATCTGGGTCAGATGCAGAATCTGGTTCTGTGGAAGGATCAAGCTTGGTTGGAGGATCTGTTTTGGTTGAAGGATTGTGTTCAGTTGATGGTTCTGGTTTGGTTGAAAGATCTAGATCAGTTGAAGAATCTGGTTCAATAGAAAGATCAGGCTTGGTTGAAGTGACTGGTTTGGTTGGAGGATCTGGTTTGAGTATAGGATCTATAGTTGATGCAGGATCAACAAGTTGGAGGTCAGTACGGAGGAGGTCTTTTATCACTGGTGTAGTAGCCTGAAGGAATTGAGTGCTGTAGAAATTCCTGTAAGTCGTAGAAATCCCAGTAAGAGGCGGGAGTATGTGAGCAGTAGAAGGCGTGGAAGATGTATGTGATAATTGCTCGGGCTTAATGGAGGTCAAAGCAGTCATAAAGGAAGAATTCCGAGTTGGATTTCATGTTCAGAATGTATCGATGGTCGATAGTTTCCGATTAA